GTAGATATCTAAAACATCGCGATCCAATGCCATTGAGTAGTTGGTGTGATTTTGCCAATGATCTGGAGCCTTCATTGGAATGAACTTGTCTATCCATTTGACTTGTCCGTTTGAAAATTGGATATCCAAGCCCATTTCGTGTAGAAGGTCGCGTCCGATTATGACGTCATGTGGACACGTTGGCGAATCGAAGACATTCGCCTTGACACCGTCGACACCTGCGATTCTGCGGTGTTTGTCAAATTCGGGAAAGACTCCGTCCCGCAATTTCACACATTTGTCAGAAACGAAATCACCAGCAACAGTAGTACACTTCTTCGCATTTTGAATACTTTGTACCTTAGCATCTTTAGGAATCGCCCTTGCATTGACCATCGTATGCGATCCTCCTGAATCAAATAATACTCGTAAAACTTTTCCACTTTCAATTCCTCCAATTGTCTTCCAAATCACCAAAGATGTAGGTGAAAGTCGCTTTTTTCTCATCGAATCCTCCATAGAATTTACGTCTTGTTTTGGCGTAGGTATACGAAGCAAAGAATCATTCAAAAGAAACTCCTTTTCATCTTTAGTCATGGGACCATTTTCATCATCAAATTTTTCCAATGCTGAAAGAAAAGAAGACAAATCAGGTTCCAGAAATGGGTTAGGAAGCTTAGGAAGCTTTGTTAGTTTACGAGTATTTTTGGGTCAGTAATGCTCTTCATGAAAGGAAAATGGCGAATCCTCATCATAGGAAAAATGTTCGTGCGCCTCCTGTTCTTCAGGATAATACTCTTCTTGTTCATAGTTGTATTGATCATTCCATTGCTGATTTTCTTCAGCTTGATAATATTGTTCCTGATGCTGGTACTGCTCGGCACTTGGCATTCCGCCATAAGACATTCCGTCTTGGTTCCATTCCGGAACGCTGCATTCCGCAGCAAAGCTTTCAGCTTCTTGATTGTAGTGCGACTCAGCATAGAAATTTTGACTGTTTTGTTGATTTGATTGGCCTCTGCCTTGATAGTTTCGTCCTGGCTGAAAACGACCAGATTGGGAGCGTCCACTGCGCTGGCCATTGAATCCACGGCCTCTGCCACCATTGTTGGGGTGTCTTGGTTGAAATCGTCCTTGGTTTTGTTGATGGGAATTGCCTCCACGTTGAAAACTTTGTGAAGTCCCTTGAGAATATCTTGGAGAGCTCGAGGGCCTTGGATATGGTTGATAACCATTGCTTGGTCGACCATGACCACGACCACCACGAAAACGATTGTGGTGAAGGCCTCTTCCGCCTGTGCGATTACCAGGTCGAGTTCGACGGGGAGAACTTTCCTGCATAAGTCTCTTCCTGTCCACTGTTCTTTTCTTTTGTGTCATCCAGCTGACAATATCCTTCCACGTAATATTATCGTCGTTCGCCGGATCATTCCGCGAATTGATAAAATCTCCCTGCCAATCAATTGGAAAGGAGCGGAACAGTGCCAGCTTTCTCTTCCGAATTTGCCCCGGATCGTTCTCATCGTTCACGTTGGAACAATTTCCAGGAAGCATATCATGATACATAAATAGAGTTTTCAAGCGATTTGCGTGAATTCCAATTTCAGTATTATATGGTTTGCGAATGTGGTTGGAAGTATCAAAGAGATACATGTTCGCCTGATACTTTGGATTCTCGCCCGTGTATTCGCAAATGAATTCATCGACAGAATCTTCAAAGTCCTGAACTGAGTTCCCATGAGCTTCAGAAATCCTCTGATAGGTCATGTGTGGTTCAGCAGTGAGGAATTGCTTGAACAAGGCCTTCTTTTGACGACCCTGATTGAGTCCCCACTCTGAAGAGATGTTGCGAAAGGATTGAATGGACCTGAGGAGTGGTTCAACATTCTTTCCACTTGCACCATTCCAAACTTCAACCTTTCGCTTGCGCTCAAAGTTGTTGTCGAAGAAACTGACATACTGCATCACTGGATTAGTGACTTCCCTGGCCTTGTATGCCAATGGAGAGTCGCCCTCATTGACAATGATGGTTTGACGGAGCATGTGCGTAGAAGCCATCGTAGAAAAAGTACTGGTGTGTAAAACTTGTTGTAAATCTGAAAGGATCGAGGTTTTTCGATCAAATCAAACAGCAGTTGCTTGTGTGAGAGAGAGTATACTCTTGTAGTCTTCAATCTAAGCCTTATGGCTATTCGAATAGTGAACCAGCCTAGAAGAAGAGATAGGAATGGGTCACAACAAAAGTTATAGAGTCTCTCAGAAAGCCACAGAAAGGAGTGACGTGAGCGTTAGGCCTAAAGCTATGTCTGTACCTCCAAAGGGTCTAATCTAGTTCCAAGGTCACTCCAAGGTCATTACACCATCTGCCCACCTTACAGCATCGGTAAGTCGATCAGCAATGGTCCCGGCGCAGAAGTATGTTCGACTTCTAGAGTATACCGGTACGGTACCTGGTACAAATCAATCAAGAGCAGAAGTTGAGATGATTCTAACATTTGTACTCCACCGATGATTCATCTCGCCTTCTCTCTGTATTCACGGTGGTACCTATTATAATAGTATACCTTGATGTATACCGGTAGTGGTCCCTTGTTTGCTAGATTAAAAATATGACTAAACATGTCTCACCCTCAAGTCGTCTTCCCTTTGCATTTGTCCTATTACTATGGCAAGTTGTGACCTGAGATCCTGGTTCTCCTGTATCATCATATCCATCTTGCTTTGAAGATTCTGATTCTCCTTCACTCGAACAGCTTCCGACTTTTCGAACAAATATTTCAACTCTTCAATCTGATGCTGCAAACCGCTATCGGTCAGCATCCCGTCAGTCAACCCCCCATCATCCCTGAATTCAACTTCAAGGTCTTCGTTCAGTCTCCCCTTCATCAAATTGTTGCTGAACAAATATCCTCCATTCGTCTCAACTGTATGTGGCTTCTTGGTGTCAAGTGCATGGTGCAAATTCTTGTTTTCAACATCAAACGTTTGAGGCTTTTTGCTTTCAGTGGTGCTGGGAAAGACCCATGTCTGGTACACCATCTTACAAAGAGCGACAAGCACTGCAAGTGCCATCAGCGCCCAGTGAATGAAAAAAGAACCGATCATGGTTTCCAACTCCATCTGACCCGCTTCTGCTCCTTCCAACACAGCTGACGAAGCTGCTGCTTTCGTGGATGATTTCAATCGTCGCCTCCTTGGCAGAGAGGCAGCAATGATATCATGCTGTCTGGACAATAGATTCCGTCGTCTTGTAGCCGCACCACCCGCTGCGGCTTCGGCTGCATTCAATTCGTCCAACAATTCAGGTCGGAAAGAATCGCAATCAACATTTTGATATCGTCGATTCTCAAATTCCCAGGCCTTGTCGACAGTTCCATCTTCAATCATTTGCTCCATGTGAAAGTTGATCACATCTCGTACCAGGCCAGTGCATTTGAATCCAGCATCAGCTTTCGTGGCGAAACCGGCTGCATTCGGTGTTACTATGCGTCCGTCGCCGACCCACTCTAGATCACAGTTTGGATTGTATTTTCGCTTGTCCTTGTTGGCAAGCCATGACTGAACAACATCAACCGCGAACGCACACTGACCACTGTTGACTCCCTTGTACATGTCCTCGAGCGTGGCTGTTGGCTGCCGACGGGCTGATGGGTAATACTTCTGAAGATAGGCGTCTGCATTTGTCCCAGCGACGGTGCAAATTGGATAGGCAAATACGGTTGCTTCTGCGAGTGTTTCAATTTCAAGAGGGGGACTACGTCGGTCGACCAACAAACTGGCGAGGTTGGCAGTGTAGGTAGCTGTCAAGATGAGAGCCCATAAAGCCATACTTGTAGCATAAATCTTTGACGGAAAAGACCTGGGAGTCCCATATTCATACGCCTGCGTCGCATTGATAGCACTCAGAAACAAATTGTCGATGAACCATCTCCACGTATTCCTGCCGTCTATTTCATCATTCATCCATTCTAGCAGCATATACACAAAGCCCGACAATATTATTGTTCCAAACGTCGTTAGCCATACCTCAACAGTAAATGGTTTGGTCCAATTCCAGAAATCATTCCACTCAATCGTATTATCGATAATCTCCTCAGGCTCTTCTTTCCCAACCAGTATGACGCTGGAATCATACCACGGCTTGGTATAAGCAACACCCAAGTTCAATCGTTCGACGTTCGATGCCCACCAATCCACATTTAGGTCATAGCTTTCCACCCCCCAAGCCAGTACGTCCGTCCACGTTTCATTGAAGGCCGCGCCTCGTGGATCGGTGAAGATGCCAAAGCTAGACCTCCAAGTGAATCCAGCTCGCCGAGCAAGCTCGTCCATCAGACTTGCGGCAATGCCTGAATAGGCAGCATTAATCCCATGCTCATTATCGTAGTTGAAGTAACTTCCGTTGTAAGCACCCATTAGAACATTCAGTTTCATTCCTCGTAAGGCGTCCTTCAGTTCGACAGTCTCATTCTGAAAGGCGCGATATCTATCGCAGACATTTTGACGGTAATCGGCTTCAGGTGACATCTGAGGTGTTGTGAACCATGCCTTTTCACCGCCAAGTTCTATTGCTGCATCAGCTTGGGCGGGGACACCTGCTGAAAACCATGATTTACTGAAACTGAGTATGAAGAAAAGTTGGAGAGTACGTTGCAGTGATGCTTGCACAATCATCAGATCGTCGTAGTATTAGTGCGGAAGTGATGGAAACAGTAGTCCGCTGACAGCGCAATCCGTGGAGCATCTTGGTTCGCAGCAACCACGAACCGCACTACAGAAAATTTCAAAATTTGATATTGCTGACGAACGTGTACGTGTACGTAAAATATAAATACCATGCAGTATAAAATACACGTAAATACGATACCAGAAACGTCGAATGTACGTAGGTACGATATTTTATTTCCGCAATCGAAATCCCCCGAAAAAATCCAATTTCAACCTACCTGTACAGTATTATATAAAATATATAATAGAAATAAATGTTAGTTTTTAAAATAGGACTAACTATTAAATATGTCACATATTATATATAAAAAAGAAAATGATTTGCGGTTTGATACTATGTAGGACATGATAGTGATCTAAAATGTAAACAGTTAGAATTGTTGCACGACATTCACACAAACCATGTAATATCCAACACTTGGTACTGAGTTTGTGTGCATCTCAGGTGGGTCTATGTCTCAAAACGACACCTGATAATATTCTGAATTTGAACATCTTCTTTCCTAGTATGAATTTTTTTTCAAGGATTGTGGATAGAAGACTGATTCTGACATCGGTGTTCCATCCGCGCTTCCATTATTCTGCGTCGAGAAGTCTTTGGGTGTACTGTATTCAGGACTTGTATTTTTCCCTTCAGGTCAAGAAGATTGCTTACATTCACATACTTCTTCTCCAACTCCTCTTCGAAACCCTCCAAAGTATGACGCTGGAATCACCTCCAACCTGCTTTGCAGCAGCGAGTGACCGACGCTACTTTTGCTTTCGGTCCCTTTAAAAGGCCGCCACGAACGTCGTTGTTTGCACCATAACTCATAACCCAACGATATGACACCAAATGACACCACAGATCAGGAAACGGTTAAGGTTGTCTAGTCAGCGCCTACGTGCTGGCAAGGCACTTCATACCCTTGCGCGACGGTTAGGGTACAGGCATGGCATCTACCGATATTCGGATCAAACAGTTACAGCCTTGGTTTCAGGAGTTCCTCAATCACAGTTTTATGAGGACGATGCAATGCTGTGCGTATTAGGTCATGGGTACTCGAACCAATAACGAAACCCACCACTTCATAGCCAATTTAGTATCTCTCTCGAGTTCGATACTGTCAGGATGGTATAATGATCTAAAATAATATTAACAGTTAAAATTAGTGCACGGCATTCACAGGATCACGTAAGATCCAACACTTTGGTATTGGATGTGGGTGTATCTCATCAAAACGACCCATTTATATGAACTTCTTTCTTTCCTTTGACAATTTTTTCAAGGATTGTGGATAGATTCTCAATCTGATCTCGTAGCTCCATCTGTTCTTCCATAAGTCTGGTTTGAGAAGTCTTTGAGGATACTAGGGCTCGATTCAGGACTTGTATTTGTTCCTTAAGTTCAAGATTGCTAACATTCGCATTCTTCTTCTCCAATTCGTCGAACCCCTCCAAAGCAGGGTGACTGGAATCGCCTTCAAGCTTACTCGTAGCAGAAAGTGATTTACGTTGCTTTTGCTTTCGGTACCTCTGAAAGGCAGCTACGACCACCGCGATAGCCATCATAACCCAATGAACCATGAAAGACCCAATCATGGCACCTAATTCCATCTGTTGACTATCGTCTATTCCTCCGTCAAGAGCTCCTGCAGCAGACGCTGCTGACTTCGATCCAGCCTTCATTCGTCGTCGCTGGTGAATTCCGGACGACTGGATTGCTTCCTGCTGCAAGCGTCGAATACGGCGCCCACTCTCATCAGCAGCACTGTCCTCGGCAGTTTGAATTTCGAATCCACCCAAAGCTTGTAGATCAGGTCGGAAGCTGTCACAATCAAGGTCTTGTTTTCTCTGATTTTCTACCTCCCATGCTTTCTCTATCCACCCCTCGCTCACCAACTGTTCCAGGTAGTAGTCGAGTACATCTCGAATGAGACTTGTGCACTTGACGCCAGCATCCGCTTTGGCGACGAAACCAGCTCCATTAGTGGAAACCTTTCGGTCCCCACCAACCCATTGCAGTTTACAGGCCGGATTGTATTCACGCTTACTCTTATGTTCCAACCATCCTTGAACTGTGTCAACAGCAAAAAAACACTCATTGCTGTCCAAAGCACTGTAAACATCGACCAGCTCTTTTTTTGGTTTTCGAATGGTGGAGGCGTGGTTGGCTTCCAGATGAGAATCCAGAATGGTCCCGGCCCAGGTACAAACTGGATACTTAAGATAGGTGATATCTTCGATACCTTCAATTTGGCTCAGTGGAGAGTCATTTGTGGTCACCAAAAGAGACGCCAGGTTAGCCGTGTAGGTTGCGGTCAAAATCAATCCCCACAGCGCCGAACTGAACCCAAAAATCTTTCCAGCCGCAGTGCGCGGAGTTCCATATTCATAGGCCTGTGTGGCATTCATTGCACTCTATTATTTGTTTTCAAAATCAAAGAAGGTACGCAAAAAGTCGTGGTGAGCAAAAAATAAGTCTATCATGAACCCATCGTTTCATCATTCGATCCAAGTTGTTGTTCTTACCAGGTAAAAACTGTCTGAAAACCAAACCCAGAATTTTCGATCTCCACGATCATTGGACATCCATTCTATGAGCTGGTATGCAACTCCTGACAAGAGAATAGTTCCAATGGTGGCCCACCAAACCTACCATGATGATCAAGAAGAGAAAGAATGGTTAGACATATTGTGTTTGGAGCGATGAGCATCAAATCACGGTAAGAATGCCACAGCAAACGCACCTCCCATGTGAATGGTTCCATCCAGTTGCCAAGGCTGATTTTAGCTTCAGTGCCCACTTCGTCGGCAAGATTCTGCTTTGAGATTAATATAATACTGGAATCGTACCAGTCTCTCAAAAAGGCAACTCCCAAGTTCATCCGAGGAAGGCTCTTTGCCCACCAATCGATTGTAATATCATAAGTATCAGTACTCCAGACCAGCAGATCTGTCCAGGTTTCATTTACTCCACCGGAGGGAACATCATAAATGCCAAAACTATCTCTCCAAGTAAATCCCGCTCGTACCGCCAATTCGTCCATAATCTCAGCCACAATCCCACCATATGGTTGGATTCCGGTTTCATTGTTATAATTGAAGTATGATCCGGAGTAAGCACCAAATATGGCGTGTAACTTGATCCCTAACATCATATGGAAACCATTGTCAGAAACGGGTTTTATTCACAAACTAATGATAAGAATAAACGAGTATAAGCGCAGAGACACCATAGCATTATCTTCAAACTCACCTCGAAGAACGTCCTCCAGTTTCATGGTACCATTGTTCAGTGCATAATAGCGGTCACATACATCCTGTCGATGTGAGATTCCCTCTGCAAACAGTGGGGTATCATAGAAAGCAAACTGACCACCGTTGGTTTCGCCGGCCAAGTCCTGCGCGGCAACATCTGTCTTGAAGAAATAGGTGCTGCACACCAGACATGGAAACAGAAGAATCATTGGAAAGGCTGACCTGCGGATCATCATGAAAGAGTAGTGTTTCCTTTACCACCGATTTATCTCCGTTGTGAGTAAGTTGTGTGTATGTTGGAAATGTGCCGTAAATGTGGGAGGAGGATTGTTCTTACATTTAGCAAAACTTTCGCAGTTTCAATATGTCTGTCAGCGTCTGCAAAAAAGCCTGCGCACAACAGCATGCTATGCAGGAGCTACAGTACGTGTACGTCATCATGCCTTGCTAGCTCGTTTTAGATCAAACTATTCGGATGAACATGATGGTCGTTTCACTGCACTGTCCGTCTACCGTGCGGCTATTCTTTTAAATTAGTCGAGTCAGTCGTCGAGGTGTGGAAACACGCGTACGCGAGGCCAAAAGGCCTTTTTTTAAAACATTTTTCTACGTTTTTGGTTCGATGGAATTAGGACGGATCAATATCTTTTATTAAGGCCGCTAGAGTAGGTTTTCATGACATACGGTAGGAACTTTGCTTCACTTCACTTCTTCGCCACCACAAATTATTCGTTGTGCGAATGTGGCGAAAAGTTTGGGGATTGCGACAACGATTATTTTGATAAACTTCCGACGTCCATTCGGCAGGCACAACACAGCAAAACAGGCCCAAAACAACAAGAATTTTTCCAGCGTTGCTACCAACTCTGATAACCATACTAAAAAAGCAACAGGAGCCTCATTCAAAAATGAACAACAGCACCATATCTGCTGATATGAGCAATAGCACCATGTCTGCTGACTTTGATCCCTACCAGCCAAGCGACACCACACAAACTGTCCTCAGTTTTCTAAGTGTTCCATTCGGCATTCTATCTATATGGGGATCGTCCTTCATCATTCGCAGCATCCGGACCGAGCGGAAATGGAGTCCTTATCGACGATTGATGGTTGCCCTGAGTTTATGCGATATTTTCGGAACTATAACATGCGTGATGCAACCATTTATGGGTCCTCGGGACTCGCAGTATGCCTATTCCGTGTCGATAGGAAACGATGCCACTTGTACCATGGTGGGAACCTGGTTTCAGTTGGCGCTTATGGGTCAATGGTATTGTGCAGCCTTGAGCTTCTACTTCGTTTCCACTATTCGACATGGCGTTACGGAAGCTGCCTTTGCCGGAAAGCACGAACGATGGATTCATGCCATCATTATAACATTTCATGTTGTCACGGCTGTTGCTGGGGCCATCTGGGACTTGTACTTTCAACGACAGATTAACCCTGGTTGCTGGATTGCAGAACCACCGGAAAAGGGTTGTTCTGGAATGAACTGCTATTCTGAACTGATGGCATATATATATGGGTTCCCGACTATCATGGCTCTCTTTGTGATCCTCATCAACCACCGGCTGCTGTACGTTCATGTCAAAAAGACGATAGCAGAAGGACAACACAAGGCGTTGGAAGCCGAACAGAGACTTCGAGATTACCAACAGCAAGACGACCAACTGCAACTGCAAAATTCTGATAGAATCAACAAGTCGGATAGATTCAACAAGTCGGAGAGGATCAACAAGTCCGATAGAACCAAATCGGATAGAACCAAGACAGAAGGCACTCTCGACCAAACGAGCAATCATACTTCTCGTATCAGTGTACTGCAATCGTCCGACAAGCAATGGGAACGAGTCCGACAAGTTCGGCTTCAATCTACCTTGTATGTTACAGCATACTTTCTCACATTCATTTGGTCTGCAGTCATTAACTTTCTCAACAGTCGACGCTTACAAAATCAATATGAACATGCTGGATCAGTGTACTTACCCCTGTTGATATTGCAATCTATTTTTTTGCCATCCCAGGGTCTGTTCAATGCCATGGTCTTCATTCGTCCCAGGTTCAATGCGAACCGCAAGAAGTATCCCAGACAAACCCGTGTTTGGTATGTTAAGCGATCTATCTATGGGGAATGCGTTGAACCTTCTTCACACTGGCAAATCAGCGGAATGAGCAGACTCAGCAAAATGAGTAGAATGAGCCGAAACAGCAGAACGAGCATGAGCATGAGTGGACTCGTCGCCAGCGGTGCAGTTGGAAGACTAGGGAAAGACTCTGAAGACGAAGGTCTCGGAATATCGAAACTAGACCAATCGGCAATCTTTCCACAGGGTCCTCGTATTGTATCTAATGACGATGAGCCTTCCAAAGGCAGGGAGGACGAAGGAGTCCCAGAAGTGTCGAAAATAGAAGACGCATCGTCAATCATTCCAGAGGGAAACGAATCCAGCGACGAGCTTGTCATTGCCGAAGAGAAGAGCGAGAGGTAGTCTTCAAGTGCAATGCATACCTTCGAATGGAGAACCGTCGATTGAAAACTTGCGAGAAAAACAGAAGAACAAGATGAAAGGAAGTTTCAACAATGATGACTGCCAAACCACAAAGGCGGCTGGCCTCCAAACAACAAAGCAATGATACGCCGAACATCTTAGTCTGTTGTTATTCCTTCGTTGACAGATTGTCAGGATGAATGAGCACCAACCAGAAGAAACACTATCCAACTGGTAATCGGAAGACTTCCTCGACAGAAACAGTGCATACATTTCATAAAAATAAACTGTATTCGAACTCAATATCAATATCGATGCTGGATGCCATCAAAAAACTTGTTCGACTTGTGCTCACAATATCACCATCTTCACGCCGTCGATCCACTTCACCTCTTTCATATCAAAGAAACTTGTTTGCTTGTTTGTTTGCTTGAGCAACTAATTCAAAAGACATTTTGTTGCAATTGACAAGAACACATAGGTAATTGCGATCCACACCACTTTCATGACGGTCAAGGCTCACCGCCAATGAAAAAGGTACGAATCATTTTGAATATACTCGTATACTCGTATTCAGAATGTCGTGACCTCTGCGACGTCATCGTTTTTTAATCAAACTAATCGTATCGGTCGACTGGCAGGCGTGCGTGGTGTGTACATACAGTACTAATATGTATCATATTCATCTCCTCCACGGTATTCAACTTCCGGACGTCATGCAGCAGTATTACCCGGTACATGAGGACATCACCAACGCAGCACTAAGAACACTAGCATGCTAAGCGCCGTACTTCATAAACGAACAACAAGAACATGTCTGCTAATTTTGACCCCTATCAGCCAAGCGATACCATACAAACTGTCCTAAGTTTTCTAATGGTTCCAACTGGCATCCTGTCTACATGGGGATCTTCCTGCATTATTCGTAGCATTCGCAAGGAAAGAAAGTGGAGTCCCTATCGACGATTGATGATTGCCTTGAGCATATGCGATATTTTCTCAACAGTAGCATACGTGTTGCAACCATTCTTGGGTCCTCGCGAATCGCCGTATGCCTATGCACAGACGATAGGAAACGATGCTACTTGTACTTTGATGGGAGCCTGGAGTCAGTTGACTTTTATGGCTCACTGGTACTCCGCAGCCTTGAGTTTCTACTTTGTTTCTACTGTCCGATATGGAGTTTCGGAAACTACCTTTGCCCGAAAGTACGAACGATGGATTCATTTCATTATTGTCACATTTCATACTGTTACAGCTGTCGTTGGTGCAATTGGGGACGTGTACTTTCAACGACAAATAAACCCCGGTTGCTGGGTCGCAGAACCACCGTATACTTGTTCTGGAATGAATTGTCACTCTGAATTGATTGCATACATATTTGGATTCCCGACTGTAATAGCTCTCTTCGTTGTGCTCATCAACAACCGGTTGCTGTACACTCATGTAAAAAAGACGATAGTCGAAGGGCATCGCAAGGCGATAGAAGCCGAAAAGCGACTTCGAATGTACCAACAGCGACAACAAGAGCAACCACTACAAAGTTCGGACACAACCAAGAGAGAAGGCACCACTAGTCCTGATCAAACTAATACTGGCACTCCAACTAGTGCGTTGCAATCATCCGACAAGCAATGGGAACGAGTCCGACAAGTTCGGATTCAATCTACTCTGTATGTTGTCGCATATTTGATTACATTCGCTTGGTCTGCCATCATTAACATTCTCAACAGTCGGCGCTTTCAAGAGCAATACGAATACGCTGGGCGGTTGTACTTGCCCCTGTTGGTGTTGCAATCCATATTTTTGCCCTCCCAGGGTCTGTTCAATGCCATGGTATTTTTTCGTCCCAGATTCATGGCGACTCGCAAGAAGCATCCCAAACAAACCCGAAGCTGGTGTGCTCGGCAATCCATCCAATTTGAACATATCAAGCCTTCTTCAGACCTAGGAAGTCAAGACATCAGAGGTGTAGTGGTAATGAAAGAGGAGGAGGCAGGAGAAGACGAAGTCGTACAAATGTCGAAACGAGATCCATCGTCAATCATTCCACCGGATATTGTATCGGGCGAGGAGCCCCCCAGTGCCGCGCAGGAGAGCGAAAGGTACTTTTCGAGTGGAAGACCGTCGAACGGAAAACTTGCAAGTGAAAAAACATCTGTTCTTATTGCTTCGACAGATTCCTGGGATGGATGAGGACGAACCAGAAGACATTCTACCCAACTGGTAAACGATACAGGCAGCATGCACATATTTTATAAAGGTATTATATTCGAAGTTAGAACAACACCGGACGAAAACAGCATCAAACTTCTTCGACTTCTTGTTGATCCGTCGCATCCGGGCACTTGAAGGCAAATTCTCGCGAGGTACCATTGTCTAGACTTGAATTTGTTGTTGTTTTGGAATGTTTCTGAACCAGATTTTGTGACTGCGGTACCACACCATCTTCCTTCTCTTTTTTATCGAAGCAGTACCAGACCTTGTTCGGTTTGGGAAAGAGCCACCAATTCAAAAGGTATTTTGTAGTAACTGGCATCAAGATATAGGTAGTTAGGACCACCACTGCTAGGACAGTCAAGGCCTCTGCTAACAAAAAGGGTATGTCAAGACCACCAAAGGCTGGCCCAAGGAAATGGACTTGCACCCAAATCAACAAAAAGGTGACGACCACCATTTTTTCATCACTTGGTGGCCCTGAGGCTGGTTCCTTACCCTTCTGATCTTGCACAAACCAATACTCTAGGGAATGATAGGATGTTTCTATAGGTGCTTCGTCAAATTCGTTGGTGCGTTCTAGAAGCTGTTGTCTCTCTTTAGAATCCATCCAGAGCTGTAAGTGTTCGTAATTGTCAAATCGAAATATGTTAACATATTCGTTCGACTTGCAAGTTGTCGGTCGAATCGTTTCGGCCCCTTGGTAGCCTTCGAATCTGGACTGCACATCATTGATTTCCCTGGCCCATTGCTGAAATTGCGATTCCTTGCCTCGGACGACCTTGTGTTTGGCAAAGATGGTCAGATTTTGTGCACCGCCTTGAGAATGGTGCTCAGCGGCTCCTTCAGCGTAGTGACGACGTTCCAGGATCTGTCCCTTTTGCGGCCCTTCAATATCTTCTCCTTCTGTCATCATGGTATTGCGTCTTAATGTAGTAAAGAGAGGCAGTTTAAGATTTTATACATCAGTAGTCGTAATATGTTGATACTATAAAATATCTCGTCGTCATTTTGACACACGTAGTTTGTATTTTCGTGCGTGTTATTTCCGGCTGCTTTATTTTGAACTTCTTCGAAGCAAAATGCCAGCGATACCAATTTGTCGTGCCATTTTTTATGTTCTTCCTCAGTTGTCCAAAATAAGGTACTACAAACATCCCATGTTTCTATATCGCGACCGTTAGTACCCTTTCCTCTTTCTCCCGACACATAAAACGTTTTGTGTGTATTGTCACCTGCCGCGATACCATTACCATCAAACTTGTTCGACTTCTTCTTCACGTGGTCGACCCGCCGAATCGGGGCACTTGAAGGCAAATTCTCGCGGGGTACCATCATCTAGACTTGACTTTGTTGTTTGCATTGATTGTTTCTTGACCAGATCTTGTGACGGTACCACACCATCCTTTTTCCCTTTCTTATCAAAGCAGTACCAGACCTTGTTCGGGTTGGGAAAAAGCCACCAATGCAAAAGGTATTTCGTGGTAATTGGCATCGAGATATAGGTCGTTAAGATCACAACTGTTATGACAGTCAAAGCTTCCGCCAATAGAGGGGGGATGTCAAGACCACCAAAGGCTGGCCCAAGGAAATGGACTTGGAGCCAAATCAACAAAAAGGTAACGACCACCATTTTTTGCTTGCTTGGTGGCGCTGGGGCTGGTTTCCCAACATCGGTCTGATCTTGAACAAACCAATACTCTAGGGAATGATAGGATGTTTCTATTGGTTCTTCGTCAAATTCGTTGGTGCGCTCTAGGAATTGTTGTCTCTCTGTAGAATCCATCCAGAGCTGCAAGTGTTCGTAATTGTCAAATCGAAATATGTTGACATATTCATTAGACTTGCAAGTTGTCGGTCGAACGATTTCAACCCCTTGGTAGCCTTCAAATTTGGATAACGTGGCATTGATTTCCCTGGCCCATTGCTGAAATTGCGATTCCTTGCCTCGGACGACCTTGTGTTTGGCAAAGATTGTCAGATTCTGGTTGCTACCTCCTCCTCCTTGAGAGTGGTGCTTTGCGGCTCCTTCAGCGTAGTACCGACGTTCCAGAATCTGTCCTTTTTGGGATCCTTCAATATCTTCTCCTTCTATCATGGCGGTGTTGAGGATATTTGTTGTCTGGGAAAGTGTATACTGTTGTTTTGTTTCTTTTATGTTTGTATGATGTCTCGCCGCAATAACACTTATTTTGTATTTTCGAACGTGTTTCGTGTTTGTACTAGTATGGGAACTTCTTCGAAGCATGTGCAGGATATTTGTCGCGTCACTGGTGGATGGATGTTCTTCTTCGTTGGTTGTACAAAATAACGAGCGTACCTACAGCATCTACCGGCACATCAAAAATGCCTGCAACTGTCTTTTCTTCCCATACATCAAATGGTGTAGGTACATGTAGCATTAATATCATCTACAGCAAAACCTACCGGTATACCAGACCGGTACTAAAAGAATTCTAGTCTGGTCATGATGGCAGAATACCAAAAACTATGACTCAGTTTCTTGCTTACCAAAGGTCATCGTCAAACCACGCACCCTTTTGAGGTGTCCTTTCTTGCTCCTGAAGCTCAATAGTATCGTCTAATTCTTCGTCTAATGATCCGCTAGTAGTATATTCCAAGGCTGCCTGCTCCATCCGCCGTCGTTCTCTTGCAACCATTTCGCCAAGCCATTTAAGTTGCGTCTCGGGAGAGTCCAGACTGAGCAAGGCCAAAAAATCCAAGACAGGGTCCAACTGTAGCTGAAGAAAATCTTGTTCGGCCTTGGTTTCTAACTCTTGGACACGTCGTCTTGCTGGCAAGTCCAAGTCTTCCAAATGAATCGGTAGCTTCAGAGGACCACCATTCTTGGTGGCAGCCTCCACCATGAGTTCGTTCCGATCCGAGTTCAAAAGTTGTTGCCGTCCGGCTTGTATCGTCAAGCAAAGAGATTGCCAAACTTGAGCGGCCTGCCAAATATTCGTACTATCATTGGAATCCTTCTCCACTATCAAATCATCTGGCAGGGCCTTGGCCAAATTCACCAATGCGTTGGGTGGCATTTCGTGAGCCCAAATGCCCAATTCGTACATGGTTTTCAGCAACCGAAAATCGGTCGACATTTGGTTCAAAATGTCTTCGTTTTGGAGTTTCTCCCCGTTCGTAGTGGCAAAACGCTCCTGCTGCCGTATTCTCACTGGGCCCTTTAGGTATTCCGACGATCGCATCAATCGTTGTTTGCGGCATGCCGCCTCTGGATTGTCAATCCCACAAATGTCCACGACGCCTTCACTTTGACAGTACACTGTAATGCGTCGGATTACTTTATTGCCATCACCATCATCACCCAATAGTGGATCATAGGCAGCTTCCATGTCCGTGACTCGCAACAATGTGCCCGTCGTGGCAATCTTCCCCGTATCAGCAGCCATCAAGGTGACGCAAAAGAGTGGAGGCGTATTTGAAGAAACATTCAGATCCAATGCCATTTGCAAATTTCTGGGTTCGACATTGTTCAGTGTATGATTGCCAATGGGAAGATAGACGGCTGGGATTGGGTAGATTGGTACCGTCATCATTGTGGTGGCATCCTCCGAATCATTCTTGGAACTAATAGTACTGGTACTACTACTAGTTGGCACCGATGGATCTATCCATCGCACATTTTGATAGGCTGGTTGATGATATCGCTGCTCTGCTATCGATTGGAGGTTGGGACGGATGTAAGCATGAAGCGAAACATCGCGTCGGAAAGGAAGATGCTGCTGATGATGATTTCGGTTGCTGATGGAAGGCATCATCATGTCAGAATGCCAAGAATGATGATGCTCATCACCATAAGTAGAGGGACTGGATCGTATTGGCTTGGCATTGGAAAAAGATTGTATGCATGGCCACAATCGACAAAAACAGATCACTAATAGTACATGGACGGTATGGGACTTCATCATACAGAGGATGATGACATTCGATGGGTCGGTTCGTTCGTGTGGAGAAGAAGATTTTTTGAAAAGATGCGTCAGCTGAGAAATTAAAAATTCGTTCGTATTTTTGTATTTTGAAAAAATCCGCACAAACCCGCAATAAGGGCAGCGCAAAGTCAGTTTTGATGGCGGTACCTGGTACTGGTAGCTTGGGTAAGCTTGGGGACAAATCGAAAGAAATTATTTTTAACAACGCATGATGTTGGGTTGCGGATTTGACAGCGGTACTGCAATAGCCCAAACCCACTCGAACCTGCGATGACGAGAAGAAAATAATTCTTAATCTGGTGACCTCGAAGAGCTCAAATAGGATTTTAAGTAGCATCAGATGCAAACAGAAGGGTGGTATGTTGACGTCGAATGGGGATTTGAAGTAATAGCGACGGGTGCACACAGCAGCCAGGGCAGGATGTTCTTGACCTCAAAGAGGATTTAAAGTAGCGACAGAGGCGCACAGAAGGGCGGTTTAAAGTAGCAACATGTTGCACACAGAAGGGCGGTAAGTTGACCTCGAAAGAAGATTTAACGTAAACCACAAATGCACACAGAAGGGTGATGGTATGTTGACCTAAAAGAGAATTTAAAGTTGCAACATGAAGCGCACAGAAGGGCACAATGCTGACCTCCAGTAGGACTTAAAAGTGGCATCATGTTGCACACAGAAGGGCGTAGTGTTGACCTCGAACGAGGATTTTTGAACCCATCAGCATTTGAATGAATGGCAGTGCTATGCTACTACCATCGGTGCTGGGCGGGATATGCTGAATGATTGAAAAAGGAAGAAAAAATACTGTCGAAACCAGAAAAGAAATACCAAAAACGCAAAAGCTGACAGTCTTGCTTGACCATGCAGCTATGCCCCTTCTAGTGTCTTCATCATCTCACAGGCTCCCACTGCGAACAAATAACATCGTGTCTAACCTTCGCTCCGTCCGCCAACCCAACCACACTTATTATCCACAGAGCAGAGAAGCTGTGCACGTTTGTCGACTCGACGGAATTTTGAGACCAGCGGGAAGCTCTGCCGCTCAAAACTTAAAGTGCACAAAAGCCGCAAGGGTAGCGCAAAGTAATTGGTTGCGGTTTTGATTGCGGTAGCTCTAGGTATCATGCAGGAACGAATGGAAATTAAATATAAAATACTGAAAACCTTGGGACAAAACTGAAAGAAATTATTTTTAACACCACATGATGTTGGGTTGCGGATTTGACAGCGGTACTGCAATAGCCCAAATACACTCCAAACACACACGGCAATGACAAATAATATTCTTCATCAGCTCTTGCATACCGGTAATACACATACAAGCAATCTTTACCCAACCAAGAAAGATTATTGCATGGACGATAAAGTATTGTGAATCATGAGCGAGACGAATAAACTCCTTCCCAGTCATGTCGAGCAGCATGAGCAAAGAGAAAATGAGAAAGTCAATTCGACAGTGCTCGTGAATGCATATGCTGTCATTTGGACGTCCATGATTCTGTTTGGTGCCTTTGCTCTTGGACAATACATTCTACCAGCTTTATTACACGGGGAGTGGGCACGATGGGATACTACGGATGCTGGACTGTATCGTTCCAATGATAAATCAGCTAACATTATCATGGTGGCCCACATGATTTGTGGCGTATGCCTCCAAGCCTTGGGACCCATTCAGTTGATTCCATCCTTTCGTCGAAAATATATCAAAGTGCATCGGATTATGGGTCGCATCTACATTGCTTCCGCACTTGGTGCCTCGGGACTTGCCACAATCTATGTATTGCTGTATAGAACCAGTCGACAATGGATCCACGAAGACATTGGCAATGTTATTTTTGGTTCTGCCGTCTTTGGGTCGGCTGCAATGAGTCTGTGGCACGTTCGAAACGGCGACATTGCAAATCACAAAATTTGGTCCATCCGATTATTCTTGGCAGTGTTTGGGGCAACCCTCTTCCGGGTTGTTTCCGTCCCGTACGCAGTGGCGGTGCTCTTGGGTGCACCAACCTCCCAAGCAGTGATGAATTCTCTCTTTTATGTCATGATTTTGCCTCCCTGGTTGGGATATGAGTTGGTTCGACGAAAACAATGGGAAATATTCAGCAACGACAACAAATCCATAATGACTATTGCAATGGTTATTTGGGCCATTCTGACATTTATTATTTTTGTCGGTGCATGGCTTCCTGCCATTTTGAATCAGCCATCACTCAATGGAACATTGGTGAATGAATGATGCCGACAAATAAACAATATGTATTGGTGATGAAGAAGATTATTATTAGTATTACAACGCTGCAAGCGATGTGAAAAGATAAGCAGCATGGGAGCACCACGCCACACATTATTACGATAGCTAGCCCAGCCATCATGACCCAGAAAGGCGATCACCAGTGAGAAATGAATGCACGAAACAACCATATCGATATTGCCGCGATCACTAGAGCAAAGAAATCATAAACTTTGGTTAAAACAAGCAAACAAGCAAAACAGAGTAACGGCCAAGCTTTGAAAAGTTGTGAAACAAACTACAGTATTATAGAGGACCAAGCACAGAGCCAAAAATGGTTTTGACTACATTGACTCGTTCGATGCATCCTCAACGGTTGGATTTTCAAAATGACCACGATGCTCGATGAGACACACCATCATTATTCAATGCATACGCGGTATTAGGCAACCCAATCGCTTCCCTTTGCCAGTCAAAGTTTTCATCAATCAATAATCCAATAGAACCATCATGCCAAGACTACTATTATTGTCATTATGCCTTGCCTTACTCTTTACCATTGCTGTCCACACTAGCAATGCTCAACAACTAGACGAAGAAGACGATGAAATTATTGTGAGAATACCAGAACCTCCCAATCATTTGAGCACCGAGATTCCAAAGGACGAACAAGAACGTGCGGTGATCTTTCGTGGGCTCATGGAGACTGTCGATAGTATTTACTTTGGAGAAGAGCATGAAGGAGTCTCTCGCAAAGAAAAGGAACATTTGGTCTTGGCGGAACTCTTGAGGACCGTAAAGATGGATCCACTTTTGATGGATCAACGACCCTTGCAAGAAAATTGGATGGAAGACTTGCATCGCAAAACACTGGCGCTGGCACCCTCCGATGCCTTTTGGAAGGTTTATCAAAGACAACCCAATCAAGAACAGTTTGACAGCATTGTCAATTTGGACAAATACGCCCAAGAGCGATCCAAGGATTTGGACGATTTGCGTCGATATGCCTTTACCCCCCATCGGGATCGAGGAATGGTCTCGAGCTTGTCAGTGAGCTTTTCGTCCATGATATTGCAGACTCTTCAACATTTTGGGGGATATTCGACTCCTACCAACGACGCCATGACGGCTCTGGCTTCCAAGTACTCTCCTATTGTGGAAGTGGGTGCCGGAAATGGATACTGGAGTGCCGCCTTGCAATTGAATGGAGCCGATGTTGCGACATACGATTCGGAACCACCACGAAACTTGGAGGACGACCACAATCCCAATCTCTTTAGTCATGTTGGCACCCCCTTTGTCAGTGTGGAACAAGGAACTTGCGTTGAAGTCTTGAAGGCACATCCTGAATACAGCGAACGATCCCTCATGATGATATGGCCCAACAATCCAGATCATTTGGACAATCCCGATCAGTTCCATGAGGGTGCCGACAAGTTGCCCATTTGGGATGTGGAATGTTTGGAGGCCTATCTGGAAATGGGTGGGTCCACTGTCATTTATGTGGGCGAACGAGAAGAACAAATCTTGGTGAGACTGGAATACTTTCCACCAGATATCGGTATGAGCTCCTCCAAAAAGTTTCAAAGCATGCTGAAAGAGCAGTTTGATCGAGTGGAACGATTCGAATTGCCAACGTGGTGGGGAGTCGACGATCTCACGGTATGGAAACGAAAAACCAATTCGGAGAATCAGGAACAGGAACAGGAGCTGTAGTAATGTATTATGATTACTCTTAGTAGTATCCAAGTATCCAAGAATATACATAGGAAGGATACCAAAAAGTGGTTTTGCCCTACAAGGGAGATTCAAAAGTAGTCTAGTCCTAGTACAATAAAAGAGAAGTTCAAAGTATTGAAGTTGAGTTATAGTGTATAGTTTTACATTTTGAAACGCATCACGAAGAGCGTCTCGTTCTAGTATTTCATAGATCTTACAATCCCATACTCTTCATGTCATCATAGCCCCCGCCGTTGAGGACATTCTTGAATCCCCTCCCTTCCAAAATTTCCTTGGCTCGTGACGCCCTTCTTCCAGAACGGCAGTAAATGATAATGTCCGTTTCCTTGTCAATGTCGTCCGTGTTCAGATCCATATCGGTAGAGGAAGGAGTGCAGACAGTTTGCAGCCATTGATTTCCTTCCACTTCGATCTTACCCGAGGCTTCAATTTCGTCCATGGTTCGGACGTCCAAAAGAATGGTGGACTTGTTGGCGAGACTCTTTTTGATGTCGTCTGGCTTGGCAATGCTCATCTTTTTATTTTTAGAAGATAGTAGTCGTGAAGTAGTAGTTGCAAGGTTGGTGGTTTTGGGGGTTTTGGCAAGTGAGATCCTTGTGGATAACTTCTTTGTCAACTGTGAGATTGTGAGCATGGTTAGAAGTTTGTTGATGGGAACTCGGTTTCGGAAAAAGGCTGTTTTTCCTTTGTTTTTCCTTCCATAGACCTCTGACCGACGAAGGAAAGGCCGTAAATTGTCCGGACTCCCGAAAAATGGTTGGGCCTTTTGGAAGAATGACCCCCAAAACCGCAGGGAAAAGAATGAGACCCAAAATCGAAATTCAAAATGGAAAATTCCAAACAATCTTGGGAAGCCACAGACTAAATGAGCCGGCTCGAAATGCCGCGCAAAAGTAGTCGCGTTAATGAGTGAGTGCGTTGCTTGCTTGCGGACCTAGTCGTAAAACACTTAAGTGAACAAAATTGATGGTGACGAACAAGTGGCCAGACTCGGAAATCGTCGAAACACTCTTAAGTAAATAGCTAAATTGTTATCTCAACGTCGAGTGGACGGAATTCGAATGTCAGGGCGAAATGGCGTGACTCTAAGTCCCATAAGAGTTTGAATTCCGTTATGACGACTGCCTCCAATGTTGCCGTAAATTTGTAGTACTTTTTTCTACGCGGAAACCAATCCTGAGATTGGTCATGCACATGGTTGTAAATGTTTGTTTGAAGACATCTCACGGCTAAAGCTTCGTGTTATATGAGAGGTGAAATTTTTTTGGCGTCCCACCAAAGCAACTAAGTATCATGTCGGAACACTCCGCCTCGCCTACTTCTACTGAAAAGCGAAGACTCAATGAGGACACAATTTCCTCATTGCCAAGAAAGTCTTTCCAAGTCACTATGACAGGCGGAATCATGTACCAAGGCCACAGTTGCGCCACTCTGGCAACTCAAAATAGTAGTAGTGACAACGATGAGAGTTTTCTCGATGAAGAGTCTCGCCAAAGTATGGAAAAACTCCAACTCAGTGCCAAGAGACGCCAGGAGCGGGAAGCCCAACTCCGACTTTCCAAATTCCACGGCGAAGGTGCCATGGTGGACCCAGAATCCAATTGCAATCCCATGAACATCTCTGCCGACTCGACCATGGACTCTAGCCAACAAGGCTCCAGTGTGCAAGAATTTGGCGAATTGGTTTCAGATGATGGAAAGAAAGCCACAGAAGAAAAGACAATCTGTGGGTTTACCAAGAAACAGTTTTGTTTCCTGCTCGTGGCAACTTTTATTGTAACGCTTGCGGGGGCCAGTATTCCCACCGTCTTTGTCACATCCAAAGAGGCCATTGCCACACAGGCTCCTTCGGTATCCATGGTACCCAGTGCCGCACCATCTCTTTCTATGGTGCCGAGTGATCAACCATCCCTGGTACCAACCAACACCTTTCAGCCTTCCTCTATCCCCTCGGATCTACCCTCCACAGTACCCTCCATTGTTCCTACCGATACCTACAAGCCCTCTCAACGACCATCCAATGTGCCTTCCTTGTCGCTGGTTCCATCCTCCCAGCCCACCAATTCCATGGTGCCATCCGAAGTACCTTCCATGGTGCCCACGGACACTCAATCCCCGAGTCGGGCTCCCACACCTTTGCCAAGTGTGGAACCCTCGCTCAGTATGGAACCCACCTTTACCCCCATTGATCCCAATTGGCGATTCAAATTGAGATTGCACTGGAGTAAGGACTACTTTTGGCAAGAGGAAACGACCGAACGCTTTTGGTGTTTGGAATGTGTGCCTTGTGAGGAATATGGAAGAGTAAGTATATCTTATGCCATGGCAGTCCTGGATTGAACGCTTGGCTTGTGTGAATGCAACATACGTTCTAACCTTATCTTCTTATATTTTCTATTATCTAGGATGATGGATGGAAACATGGCTGCGAATCGTATCCAGATGGCTCGAATGGCAATTGCAAAGCGGGGGATTCAGTTTGGATCCGTGACTGCCGCAAGTACGGAAACGAATACAATGTACTGCAAAAGCACAAGGCTGGCTTTACCTTGCGATTGCACAATACCAATCTCTGTATTGAACGAAGGAACAAGCACCTAATGATGAAAAAGTGCAACATTAATGATCCGGATCAACAGTTTGTGGCCTGGGATGATTTCAGCAAGTTTGAGCTGAGACCTTTGGAGCATGCGGGAAGGAATGAACGAGAAGCGGATTGTGTCTCGCAACTGCATCACCCGAAATCGGACGAGGTGGTGGGAATGCACAGCTGTTGGTTGTGCCGACACTTTGAGACACGCTACTGGGAAATTTACAAGTAAATTGTTCAGAAATTCCACCTTGGAGGTCGAATGGATTCAATTTACACAAACTGAGCCATCTTGCTTGGCATGCACAACAACTACTATCCCAGTTTCTCATCTTTGGAAATTATATAAAATCACACTCATAATAATTATTACACGTAGTATTATTTCAATATTAGCAACATGCCATTCAACGAAACAGGAGAGATACTCATTGGATACGTGAATGGGGGGGGATTATTACCATGCAATATTAATTCAATACATAGTGCACGTACCTACCTGCATGTCATTCGACGAAAAAGGGCATGACTCACTTGATATCGTCATCAAAAAAATCTTCACTTCTGCAAACAAATGCGAAGTTGCAGGGTATCCACTTTTTTGGTGGCCGGGATTTTGCTCGTGGAATGGGCGGCCTCGTTTTCGATTATCGTTGATGCAAAAGAAACGACGCCTGACGTAACGGCAAGCGTTACAACTCATCCGAACGTATGCAAATTATTAGCGAGTCCAAATTTTCCGTGTGGTCCAAAGCACGTGCGTTTCTTCATTTGTGTCGATCGTAGAAAATGTACACTAATCGTACTCGCTGTATCTTTTCTGCGGCGTTCCAGCAAACTATCTTCCATCAAGATAGGTTTTTCTTCTTTCTCATTCATAGAGTCTCAGAACAACACTTCGTTCCAAGATGACACAGGAAGACAATGAACAAAAGGGCGGAGTGACAAAGGAGGAAGAGTCGCCAAGTAAGAAACAAAAAGAAGACGACGGGGAAGGAAAACCAAAGGAAGCGAAGAAGAAAAGAACAAGCTCCAAGAGTAAAAGAAAATCGTCGAAAGGAGATGCTGGGTCCGACAAGGAACAGTCCAGAAAGCAAGCCATTCTGCAAAAGCACAAGGAATTGATGTCGACAACAGATGAATCAAAACCAAGAAAGTCAAAGAGCAAAAGCTCGTCGAAGAGAGAATCGAAAGTTGATCAGGACGGGGCTGTTCTTGTGGAGAAGAAACGGCGAAGTTCAAAGAGCAAGGATTCCAAAAGACATTCGTCGTCAAAAGTTGATCCAAATGGAACGATCGCAGTTTCGAAACGAAAGAGTTCCTCCAAGAGTAAAGAATCTAAGAGTAAACGGAGCTCAACGAGCGCAGAACCGACCAAACGAAAGTCTCGGACGCATAGCCCAAAGAGGAACTCTGGTACCGAGCTGAGTGGGAAAGCTCACAAGACTGATGATGCACCAAAGAAACAATCATCGAAACCGTCGAAGAGACGGAGCAGTACAAAGGAAGGAAAAGTGAATGAGGGGGATAGCGAGGGACATCCAAAGAATAATGACACCCCTAAACCCCCAACCATTAAGGAAGCAACCGAAGAAGGAGAAGAAGGCACAAAGAAGAAAGAGGACATGCCAACATGGGGAAGCCTACTGAATAAATCTGTCGAAAATGATTCGAAGAAGGACGATGGCAAGGAAACGTCAAAGGAGGCAACTCAGAAAACAGAGGTGAAGAAGGAGGTTAAGCCAACGCCAGCCTTTGGATTTCTCATGGGCAGTCGTTCCACCTCCATCGAAAAAGAAGATCTTAAAGCAAAAGAGAGTGCACCAAAACCTACACCAGTAGTCAAGCAGCCCGATCTGAAGAAGGAAAGAAGCAACCAATCGCTAGCCTTCGGAATGCTCGCGGTCATGATGGGTGGTTCCAAGAGGGACATAGTCAAGCCGCCGCCAAGCGAGGAAAGTCCTCCAACATCTCTGGAAATTGGATCGAAAAAGGACGATGACATCAACGAGACGGCAAATACCCCAGTCTTTCAAATGTTGGAAAGTGAGCGTGCGCCGCCGCCGACAGCTCCCAAGCAAGATAGCAAGAAACCTATCCCTACCCCCCCTACAGTTCCACAGAACGATTCGAAGAAGGAAAGCAGCAACCAAATGCTAGGGCTTGGACTGCTCCAAAGTATAATCGGGGGTTCCAAAAGAGATGTAAAGCCGCTGCAAACACCAAGCCCTCCAAGTCCAACTTCTGTGGAAGAAGGACTGAAACAGGACGACGATGATATCAACGAGACGTCGAAGACTCCAATCGTGGAGGGCCCAGCAGTTGCCAAGCAAGATCCGAAGAAGGAAGCAAGTAACCAATCACTAGCGCTTGGAATGCTCGCAGCCATGATGGGTGGTTCCAAGAGGGATATCGTCAAACCTTCGCCCCCGCCAAACACCGAGAGCCCAACTCCTTTGGAAGATGGATTGAAAAAGGACGAGAAAGACTTGGAAGGTGGATTGAAACAAGACGAGAAAGACATTCACGAAACGTCCAAGGCTCCAATCTTGACGACAAACCCACCGCCACCACCAGTGCGTTCGGTCCAGAAGGATCCGTCACCGGCGCCTTCCGACCAAAAGGATCTTTCACCAGTTAGAATGGTCACGAAAGATCATTCTTTGGAGAAAAAACAGCACCACGGCAGGCACCACGGCAAGCACCATCATAGCAAGCACCACCACAAGCAGCACAGCAAGGGCAATGCTACTCTCAAGACAGTGGAACTTATGGAAAGCCCCACTAACAGTTCCGTCGAGGACACCCTCAACACTACGATGGATTCGGATAGCCAAGAAAAGATGTTCGCTGGCATGAAAAACAACAAAGGCAAGAAAGACGGAGAAAGACACAAGAAAGCCGGTCCTTCTCGTGTCAAACAAATTTGCTGCATTTTCGTTTCGCTGATTCTCATTCTTGGGGGACTGGCAACTTGGTACTTCTGGGACGAGTTGAACGAACTGGTAACAAAGTCGGAAGTTGCGGCAGTCATGATTGAGTCGCCAGCACCTTCGCTATCCATGAGTCCAAGCATAGCACCCACCATATCCATGATGCCCTCGGACCTACCATCCATTGTTCCCTCCTCCAACCCAACCCTTTCTGCCGAACCAACCATCCTACCATCGGAAAAGCCGTCCAATTCCATGGCACCAAGCGCAAATCCAAGTCTTTCTCAATTTCCATCCTTCGTGCCTAGCATAGAGCCCTCCACGTCCATGGAGCCTACCGCCTTACCCAGTATGGTTCCCTCAATCGAACCCAGTGTGAGTCAGAACCCCACTTGGACTCGGTATCGACGCGATTGGGATTTCAAAGTACGCCTTCAATGGCAAAAATCCTACTTTTGGCAAGAAGAAAACACAGAACGTTTCTGGTGTTTGGAATGTACCAAATGTGACGAGTATGGTCGAGTAAGTATAGTATTGTCATCACGTGCTGCGTACAAAAAGGAGAGTGATAGACTGACCGATGTTTTCTTCTTTTTTGTTTCGTTCACTCCACTAGGGTGACGGTTGGGAACATGGATGCAGATCGTATGGCAGTGGCGACAATCGAAACTGTCGGGCGGGAGATTCGCTCTGGATTCGCGATTGCCGATCCCGCGGCAATCGATTCAACGTGTTGCAGATTGATCAGAAGAGCTACATGTTGCGATTGGACAATACCAACCTTTGCATTGAACGACGAAACAAACATTTAATGTTCAGAGATTGCAATGAGAATGATATCGACCAGCAATTTGTGCCATGGTACGATTGGAACAAATTTGAATTGCGGCCATTGGCCATGGAAGGCTGGGGAGAACGAGAAGCCGATTGCGTGTCACAGTTGCATCATCCCAAACAAGACGAAGTGGTGGGCATGCACAATTGCCGCCTATCTCGAATCTACGAGACACGGCACTGGGAACGATACGGTTAGATGGTGATATTTTTGATGTGTATACATATATATATAGAAAATGTTGTAAAATAAAAATTATTATTCAAGAATGAGAGTATAGAAAATAGGGCGCTTATTGTGAGCCCGGAGTATCATGAGAATAATGAACAAATTGGCATCAGAAGCTAACCGCCGCCGATCTACCGTTATCGTCATCCTAGGTAACTGTACGTTCAAGCCAATTTGCCAAGCTGGCCTCACCAATAATTCGCGCAAGCCCTATTCATTTTTTGCTCGCGCCGAACGCACTGCCTGGAACTAAAAACCCACCGCTATTTCAGGACAGTGTATTACGCACGGTTTATGTGGTGAAGAAGTATTGGTCAACCAACAACCCACTACCACTACCATTCCAATCCAGTCATGACGACGGATACCTCCAATCATCATCTGTCAGACCTAGAAGGTCGAAAAGAAAAGACTTCGCTTGGTCCCTTTTTCCGAAAACAACACGAACAACAACAAAGCACCTCAGACGCGTCAGGAAAACATCATGATCGAAGCGACAGTAAAATAACTCTGGCGACAGCTTCATCCTCCTTGAGCGGTGACACCGAGTCGGACAAGCAAGCATCGTATGGTGACAAATCCTCCAACTTGAGTGGTGGTGGTTCTATAGAGGAAGAGGAAGAAGAGGACAGCCAAGGGGAGACCCAAACTTCTGCTGCTAGTAGTACTGATCCAGAGCAACCGCCGGACTATGATGATGATGGCAATGCTCAACAAGAAGGAGTCGAAGTGGACACAGAAGGTGGGATTTGGCAGTCCATGTTTGATGGAATGTCAAGTCTGATGGCTTCCACTGGCATGGAAGTTCCACTGGGTGCTGCTAGTGCTACTACGGAAACAACCGAAAAGTCGTCCTCTTCGTATCGATCACAGCCAATGCCACAAGGCCAAAAATTGCACGAAGAAGAAAAGAAGGATGAACATGATGCCAGGGCTGTGGAGCCAGCGCCAATGGCAACAAAAGACGAGATGGGAACCAATGATATATGCTCACAGCAGGAGGAGGAAGCAATGCTACGATTTGATCTGTTGAAGGACCTAATCATGTTGGGGGAGGCAGAAATGGACGATGACGACATTAGTCCACCAAATCCTTACCCCTTGGAAGACGACGAGGTGTCATCGCATAAAAAAGGATACTACGAGAAAGACTTCGAAAGCAGTGGTTGCAGTCCTCGTGCCAAGAAAACAATCCTTTGTACTATTGTCGCGCTTGTTCTGTTGAGCGCAGTCATCATTCCAATATACATGTCCAATGATGCAAACCGAAAAACTACAGCAGCGCTTGCTGTGGAGGACACACTCAGACCTACCGCCAATCCTACCACGCCGAGTCCCACCACTACCATGAGACCAAGCAACGTACCTACGGTTTCGCAGATGCCTTCCGAAACTCCGTCCGAGGCTCCTTCAGTGACCCCAACCATGTCCAGCCGGCCTACTATTTCTCCGTCCTTACGACCAACGGCATCCAATTTTCCCTCGCAAATTCCCAGCATTTCGCAAATTCCATCCTTGTCGCCTAGCAAAGAACCCTCCACGTCGAAGGAACCAAGTCATGTTCCAAGTGAGCTTCCTTCTTTGGAACCGTCAGTGAGTCTAATGCCATCCTATTCGACCATTAGTCCGGATTATTCCTTCAAGATTCGTTTGCAATGGCAAGAATCTTACTTTTGGCAAGAAGAAAAGGTGGAACGGTGGTGGTGTTTGGAATGTGTCCGGTGCACCAGTTACGGTGGGGTAAGGTACTTTGTTTTGCCAGCAGCAGTGTTGACTGCAGGAATGCAGGAACCATCGTCGCTAATCATTGTCACTTTTTCTTACACTCTATACAGGGTGATGGTAATCAACATGGCTGTAAATCTTACGGCACGGGAGACGAAGGTGCCTGTCAACGAGGAGATTCCATTTGGATTCGAGATTGCCGCGAGCGGTCCAATCGCTTCAACGTGTTGGAAAATCGCGACTCGGGGAATATGCTAAGGATCGCCACGACGGATCTGTGTGTCACACGGCAGCGACGACGATGGCTCATGGTGGATTATTGCGATCGCACGGACATGAAACAGCAATTTGTTCCGTGGGAGGATTATGACAAGTTCGAGTTGCGTCCCTTGGAACAACGAGATTTGGGAGAACGAGAGGCGGATTGTATTTCTCAACTGCACCATCCCAAACAGGACGAGTTGGTGAGCTTGCACAATTGTAGATTGTGTCGGATTTACGAGACGAGGTATTGGCAAGTGTATTTAGGCTAGAGAGGGGGGAAAGATTAGAGGTGTAGCACTCATCATACATGGTGAGAACTACTACGTGTATCTGGTACGGTAGAATACAGTCCATACTAGATTACTATTGCAATAGAGTATGCTGCACTGTACAATATGTTCAACGTACAGCACATTACTGTAGGTTCAAGAGTTTTCAAAATGACAAATACTGAACTTGGTACTGGAGTTTATGTGACGAAAGAGACGGCAGGTGGACGAGCGTTTTGAAATACGTTAGTTGTCCGCCGGATTTCAATTCGTGAACCAACGCATCGTGTGGACGTTTCTGCTTCAACATTGCGATAAATGTCTTTGATATGACATTAAGAATGTAGGATCAGACCATATGTCGAATTACATAGGGCATTAGTTTCAGCCAAGCTTTTGGATCCCGACATTCGATTCATTCAGCTCATGGTTTTCTGCCGCCAATTGCCGCCATTATTCCAGTTTCAAACCGCGTCCCGATATTTATTAAAAACTAAAAACACGACTACGTACACGTAAACGAGTACTGCGCATATGATAAAAGTCATTTTCCCGCCAGATAGTTGTCCGTCAAATCGTCCGCACGCGTTTCTCCGTGAATCAACATTACATATCCATGAAAATCGATGAATCAACAAGAAGATTTGATTTCAGACAGACGCGTTTTCAAATTCGTTCAATTAATTTGTACAAGCATAGATATCCAATAGAAAGGGTATCATCCATCCGAAATTATGACGTTCCCAACCTATTTCTCATTTGATTCCGAGAAGCAGGACGAGGAACACAACATGAGACCATCCATGGTGAAGAAGAAACAAGCATGGCAGAAAACCACCCTTGCTCCCTTTCTTACCCGCAAAACCGGTAGACACCAAAATGAGAAAGTGTTGGACCGCCAGAACAGTTACCTGTCGACTACGACAGCCACTTCGAATAGCACACAAACAGATCTAGGTGATGTGCTAGATCCTCAATCGGATGACAGCATATTGGAAGAAGAAGACGAGAATTTGGTGCAAAACCTAAAGACTCAAAGTCCTCCGAGAACTCCAGGAACAATCGCTTCTGAAGAATCGTTCTTATCTTCCGATGACTCCACTGTTGAACCTGTTACTTCCAAAAAATCCCTTTTGAAACGTCTAGACGAGACTGTAGACGAAAGCAAGTCAGAGGCGCAGGAGACTGAAGAAGTATTTCTTCCAAACGACGACTCGACCTTTTCAAGTGGAAAGGAGTCCATTTCATCAGATCCCGAGAGGCTTGCGGGTGATTCCGCCCATAGTAGCATCAGTTCCAACAGTACTGGTACTGCTGAGAAGGCAGATGTCTCAGCTATGGAGCAAGAGAGCCCTTCTTCTCCAACAGAGTTGGTAAGTGAAAACAGCCTTACCGATGACTCTGCCAACAGCAGCACCAGTTCCAAAACTACCGCTGAAAAGGCAGATGGTTTCTCAGCTCAAGAAGGATTGGTTCCACCAGAGCTGGTGACTGAAAACAGCCTTAAGGATGATTCCGCAAGCAGCAACATCAGTTCCAACAGCGCTACTGCTGCAGCAGTAGCACCAGTTCCAACTATTCTCGAAGCTGACTATGTTGTTCCCACTACTGGAGCTGAGCCTGAAGAACATGTGGGCAGCAGTGTCAGCGACAGCGCGTCGCAGATTCTTAAAAAATACCTCTTTGGTGGGCTGGCAATGTCGCTCACAACCTTTGTGACTATGGGATCTGTCGCAAGGCCTATACAAGTAGACACTGAAGAAGCTGAAGTTCAAACTGTACCAAGTCTGGATGCTTCTGAACAATCTTCTAACGATGGAGATGTCAAGAATACAATGCAGACCCCCAGTGCTGCCAAAGATTGTGAAATACCCGTCACCAATCTTCATGATGATGCCGATGATATCATTTTTGTGGACGAAGACGTGGAATCCACTCAGCTTGAACGTCCAGAGCTCAAAAGCCCACTGTCGCCGATATCCGAGAGGAATATTCGTCAATTACAATTTCTTACGCCGAACTCTGGACTCAAGGAAAAAGAAGACCTCTCCAAGGGCCCAACACAAGATATATTTTCGATTCCAAACATGCTGGAAGAGGACGAAGAAGCCCAATTTGCGTTAAGTCCAGGTCGAGTAAAAGTGGACGAGTTGCAAGAAGGCTACGCAGCATACGAGTCCTCCAAACTGAAGGGAGACAGCACCACGGATAATGGTTCTGATGATCCTGATGGATCAAAAGAATTATCTTTTGAGAGCGATGCACCAACAAAGAAGCAATCCGGAAAAGAAGAGGGTCCAGCTTCACATGCAAAATCTATCAGAATGCTCTGCTTCGTTGTTCTTTTCGCGGCCCTTGTTGCTGTTACTCTACCATTTTTTATGGATACGACAGTCAGCGCAAGTGCTGCCATTGAGACCGCGAGCCCCTCAGTATCCATGGAACCAAGTTCAGCACCAAGTCTTTCGCAAGAACCGTCCGACTCCCCGTCCTTGAAGCCGTCAATATATCCCACGATCTCTGACGTGCCAACAATCGCACCATCTGGTCACCCAACGCTGTCACAATCTCCTTCCATGGTTCCTAGTATCTCTGACGCACCCTCGCTAAAGCCCTCGATTGCGCCTACCGAATCCATGGAGCCAAGTGAAAGTCCAAGTGAAGTACCTTCTGACATCCCATCATCGGTTCCTTCCGAAAGCCCATCCTTGCGTCCTTCCGTGTCAATGTTGCCATCCAGTTTACCATCCTTGATGCCCTCGCCAGAACCGACTGATAGACCAACCCAACATCCCACGATTACATTTCAACCGAGCAGACGCCCTACACGATCACCGACCCGAGAACCAACTTTCGAGCCAACCGAATATCCTACCAGACGCCCTACACGATCACCGACCCGAGAACCAACTTTCGAGCCAACCGAATATCCTACCAGACCTCCGATTACGCCGCCTCCACCTGCTGATCTCGCCGATGCTTTTAAGATTCGATTGTATTGGAATGAGTCCTACTTCTGGCAAGAAGAAAACGTAGAACGTTTTTGGTGCATGGAATGTGTCAAATGTGCGGAGTATGGCAATTTGGATGGTTTTGATCATGGATGCGTATCTCATCAAACTGGTGACGAAACACGTTGTGCGGCAGGAGACTCCATGTGGGTTCGTGAATGCGAAGGGCGTGGCAACCGTTTTAACATTCAGGGCAGTGAGGAGAACGGCTTTATGGTGCGAATTGCCAGGACAGATCTTTGCATTGAACGAATTAAAGAGCAGCATCAATTATTGTTTGTCCAGCATTGCGATCGAGGAAGTCCTTGGCAAAGATTCCTTCCATGGAATGACTACCACAAATTCCAACTGAAACCCATAGGTTACAAAGGGAGACCAGAGGTTGAGTCTGAATGCGTTTCGCAACTTCATCATCCAAAATCAGGAGAACTTCTGGCGCTGCATAATTGCGCTCTCAGTCGCGAATATGAGACATTGTTTTGGGAGAAGTATTAAAGGCTGAAGCATACTACTACACTATGTAAATTATACCAAGAAATCGTAATATTATTCGACTTTGTGATATGGATAGAAGAATAGCTTGCTGATGTCCTTTTGCATGTACTCTAGGTGCTCATTATGTTGCTTTCTATCGATTGGACAATGGAGTAGAGCAATCCGACGCCATATCCCGTCGCACGTTCATCCTTCTTATCAAAGACGCAGTAGGCCATATCAATGTGAACCCACTTGCCACCATCTTCCAGGAAAGAACCCATGTGATTTGCAATAAATTGTCCGGCACAGGAGACTTGAGCATTGGCTCGGTCCGCAACCGAGTTCTTCATGTCTGCTACGGCCGAACTATATTCCGGACGAAAGAACTCGGGTGCATAGGGCATGGGATGACACAAATCCCCGGATGACTTTCCAGCTTTGACTGCGATCTGTTCCAATTCTTCATCATTACAGTAGAGTGCTCCAAAATACTTGCCCGTTGCCACTCCTTGTGCTCCTGTCAAGGTTGCCATATCAATGATGACTTGAGGACTCAAGTATTGAAAGGCGTGGGAGACTCCATCCGATAAGACCAGTCGACCTTCGGCATCTGTATTGTTTATTTCGACACTCTTTCCCGAGTGCATGGAAATAACATCGTCCGGCCGCATGGCATGAGAAGCCACTGAATTTTCCGCCAGACACAAAATTGCGTGCAAAGGCTGATTTTGGACAGCCCCCGACATGACCAAGGACAAAAAAGAGGCAAGCACTGATGCAGCTCCGCCCATGTCGCGTTTCATACCGGGCATGCCAGCCTTTGTTTTGATTTGAGTGCCACCCGTATCAAAGACAACGCCCTTGCCGACCATGACAGTGCTTTTCTTTCCCTTTGCAGCCGGTGGCTCGTAGCTCAAGATGACAAGTGCTGGTGGGTGAGGTCCAGCCTTGCCCACATTGTACATACCGCCATATCCCTGTTTGTCCAATTCCTCACCCTGGATGACCTTGGAGGACACATGTTCCATTCCTCGAATCAAACCCAATGCTTGTTCCATAAACGCCGTGGTGTGCAGCTCATTGGGAGGTTCGTCGACCAACCGTCGTGACAATTGAATCCCCAAGGCCAACAACGCAAATTTTTGTTGTGTTGTGGCATCAATCGATTCTGTAAAAACAACCTTGACGGCTTTGTCGGATTGCGAAAGGTCGGTTTGGAAGTCAATCTTATTCTTGGCGATTGCTCCATTCGAAGAAGAAGAAGAAGTCTTGCTATTGTACAAAAAGGGTCCACCGACTCGAGCAATGGCACAGGCCACACTGAACCAGTGATCCTTGGATTCACACAGAGGAGCGACGACTGTGACATCCTTGAAGCGAATCGTCTTTTTGAGGAGGGATGTCACCGCATAGGGCTGTCCGGGACTGTTGTGTCGGGATACGACGGAAGGGAGTACCCCCAAGACGACACGAAGTGGTGGTCCATTGCCATCACTTTTTGGAAAGTAACATTCGGTAGCATTTCCAGAATCAGGAGAAGGATTTAGACCAGAAAGAAGAGTCCGCAAGAGTTCTTGGGCTGCTGCAGAGCCTTCTGTTTTCTGTTTCTTGGATTTTGGCTTTGAGTTTCCTTTTGAGTTGGATAAGATTTTTTCCAAGATGCTGTTGCAAGCCCAATCGAAATGTTTTTCATATCCAGCCTTGGTCCCTATCAGAATCAGACTGTCAATGCCACTAGACTGAGGCTTTGGAGGCTCCGCAAAGAGGTCATTGACATGCAAGCAAAACTGAACCATGTTTTCACGGTGTCCTTGCTTCAATGCTCAAGGAATGCGAACGAATGAATCAATTTGAGTTGATCGTTTAGATGGGGTTCAGGTGAAATGTACTGTACTGTATGGAGCAAGATTTGACGTCAATCGTGTATTGCTCTGGTTCTCTTATCAGATATCCGTTAACAGCAAGTGAGTCTCGTTGCTATGCTCCCAAGTATGGCAATAGGTAGAAAGATTCTAATGATCTTGTGTGGATCTGGAAGATGGCACTTTTGCTATCACAATCGTCACTGTATGGTTCTCACATTGCGTAGAAACACCTCCTAAAAATTACTTAAGGGACATCTGGCTCGCGCTCGTGATCATGAAAACTCAATTGTTTCATTCGACTGCTGTATCAAGTCCCGAGTGCAGAATTTGAACGACGTTTCTCACAAATTGTTCGGGAACGAAACAACAAAATCAACAGTTTGTTTTATTGGAAAGGCTGTATTTGAATATCTCCACCCATACTACGAATTCGTTAATGAGATTGAACCAAATACGAGATAATATATAGAGGAAGCTACTGTGTGAATTTCATTAGCATTGAAAGCAAGAACAAAACAGAACTGGCGGGATCACTGTGAGCCCAATTGAGGCGCAATTGGCAACCATCGCTTCCTGGTTTCTTGAACTACTCTCGTTTAACCAAAAAAGAGTGTCTTGATCAAACGACGGAGGAGCTGCAACTTCGTGAAGTCACACTCACCAAAGCCGAAATCAAGCAGAACAGCATCAACCACTTCTTCATGAAAGTCAAACTGAAACACCAGGCCGAAGAAGAGCGGTAGAGTACCTCAGAAAGGAAGCAAATACGCTTGGCGCAGATCCAGGGAACCGGATTAAAGTCAAGGAGCTCTAAGATTTGTTCAAGCATTCAGCCGAAAGAAAGATGGCCGAAGAGGGAAACAACACCGAAATCGGCATCAAAAGCAAATGGTGGTGTCAGTCAACATCGCCACAGTTTTCGAACCGATGATGTCAATGAAAAGTTGGGGGAAAAGAGCCTTGACGGTTAAATGGTAGATCGATATAATAAAATGTAATGGAGACTCACTCGGATATGTGACATTGGGTTCTAAACTTTAGTTTGATGCCTCCACGCGATTTGTGTTTGGCGAGTAAGAATATTTTTTTGAAACAGTGGTGAAACCGGACGACGCAAAGGCCATGTCAATTATATATATCAACGTACGCGTAATAAAGGGGTATGTTCCGCGCCGGGGTTTCCCCTGGTAGGAAGTGAGAACCATACACTGTTTCATGATACGATCAGATCTCGAATCCTTTCCCAATGATGATCCTTCCACTACATTCCTTGCTCTATGTATGTCTGTATGATACGTCACAGCTTGTACAGCTGACCAATCGAATAATACCAGATCAGCTTGTGGCTGAAAGCCTGCGACCAACAAGAAAGATCTCACCACGTGCGTCACGCGTTTTGTGGTCTGATCAGTCAAATCGAAAGCATGCATCAATAATGCGATGCGGATGAGAACTGAAACCAGAAAAGTATAAAACAGCGTATATGTTGAGAATGAAAACGGAAACAATTATTAGGCAATAACAGCAGCTAGCACAGTGATTGAACCATAAGTATGAACTTGGCGGTGGATGAACCGCTTCGATTCCTTTACAGGAGTGTCACCAAACCAATACCACAGGGTGTGACTCAACTTGTCGTACAGCTTCCCATCGCTGTAATTGATGAAGAAAGGTTTCAAGGTCAGAGCAATCTCCAAGAAGTGGACATGGAAGAAGGTGTTCAAGCGATTGGCGATGCTGCCTTTAAAGAATGCCCAAATTTGACACGGGTATCGTTGTCTTGTACATTGGAACGATTTGGTTCGGAAGTATTTGACAACTGTGTTCGTTTGGTGGAAATCAATTTGCATCAGATGAGGCTCAAGGTGATTGGATCACGCTCCTTTTACAACTGCACATCCCTGAAGAAGATTGTCATTCCTGGTACCGTGAGACGTATAGGCTCCCATGCCTTCTATGGCTGCGATGCCCTTGCCGATGTACAACTATCTGAAGGTCTCAGGATCATTGATGCCTTTTGCTTTCAACAATGCAGCAGCCTCTGCAAGATTTCCGTTCCATTCTCCGTCAAGGCGATCAAAGCTGGAGCCTTTATGCATTGTTATCAACTCGTTGATGTTGAACTAAAGGACGGGTTGGAATGGATAGGCAACTATGCATTTTTTCTTTGTCTATCCATTTCTGCGATGTACTTTCCTCTGACGATCAACGCGATTGATCGCTCTGCCTTTGAAGGATGCCGGAGTCTTTTGGGCGTCGAGATACCAGACAACGAAAAGTCCAGCCTATTTAGTTTGAGGGTCTTTCACCATTGTGAGAACCTGGTCAATATTGTTCTTCCTGAGTACGCCGTATTGGGAAGACTCCTCGGATGTTCCGGTTTGGACATTTATGAGAGTGACGATGAGATGGAGGGTGAAGATGAGGAAGGCGACCAACACATTCATCGCGTACTGCATGATCGACACAAAGAGCTTCCTGTTCACAATGCATGCTATCATGCGTCCACAACGACTATCGAGGATCTTGCTGATGTGTTGGCGGCGGAAACAACTAAGGATAGTGCCTTGAAAGATGAATGGTACGAAATGACGCCGCTTCATATTGTTGCTACTTCCAGAAACCTACGCACAGACTTTTTGCAAGCTCTATTGGATCACTATCCATTGGATGTGTTGTCCCAAAAAGACTACCATCAAAAGACCATGATGGACTATCTGTTGCGGAATCGGTTGCCAAAGTCTGCCGAACTAATCAAGATGATACTTGAAAAGACGATCATGGCAAAAATGGATATGTGGGGCGTTGAATGTTGGAGAGAAGACATGTCTGAAAGGATCGAGTGTACAGAATGGGACGGTTATGTCGTGAGAAGACGAATGGCTCTGGAAAGAATCATTCAAAGATTTGAATTTTATGGAATGATCCAAGTGACATCAACGATGGAGCTTGCACTTTGGAAGAGCTCTATGAGCTCGTCGTTGTCGTCGACATCTTCGACATCGGCGCGTCGAAAACGGAAACGAGTCCATGATGGCGATCATCGTGAGAGCAGCCGAATGACACAGTCTGGAGCCGAAGTAGTGATCCCGAATGTACTTGAATTCTTGTTTTTTCATAGTGATGATGAAGAAAGAGAAGTGGGCGATGTTGCGATGACATTGTTTGAATATGATGTTTCTTGGATGGAGGACGTAGGGGTTGAAGTGACATGTGATTACTGAAGAAATTCCTGTTTCATCTTGTTGAAATTGGCACCCGAAGCTTTGCGACTTGATTGATTCAACAAACAAACCATACAATTCTCCCTATTTCTATTTGAAAGCATAACACATGAGAGTGCCATGGGCTATTGACTGAGAGATTTCCACAGCTTACAGTATCTCTTCACTAAGAGTAGACCATTTGACCACTTGGATTAAACTAGTCGGACCATGTCCCTGCTGTGATGGACCGAAGCATCGTTTGTTAATCCCATGGCAATATACATACAACATGACACGGAAGTTAAAGGATAATGAACTTATTTCTGTTACATGTTACTACTTGATAAGTGACCCGCAACCTGACTAAACAGGTCAGGTGGAAGATGGGCCCGGAGTTCCTCCAGTATGTTGGTTGGTGTTATATTCACAGCATTATCAGCATGATCTAGGGAATGAGCCATAGAACAGAGGAGTGGAATATTGGCTTTCAGTACCGTGTCCTTGTCAACTTCCATAATGTCGAACACAAACCAAGCCGCAAGCTCTGGGAGAGTTTTATTGTTGATTGGGTGACTATCATCACTCGCATTGGCGATGCACATGGAGATGGGCATGTAAGGTCCAACCATTTGATCGGGGTCACGATTGCCCAGGCGGGAGTAGAGAGCAAACAATGTTGCCGCATCGCCAAGATCTGCCGCTATACTTGTTGAGATTTCGCGCCTTCCATCACAGAGCATGGAATCATTTCTTGGATCATTGTATATCGCTGCCAAATCTTCAATTGGTATTCCTCCATGATGAATGTTCATTTCGCTGTGATTTATCTTTCCCATCTTGGTACCCCAGTAGGCAAGAAGAAGGGCAGTCTTGCGAAGAATATGGGTGCCTGCATAAAGATGATGACGACCGCTGCCAGACGAGAGGTCCATTCCAAGAACATCCTTGACAAGATAGTGTAAAGTGTTGAGAAAGTCATTACAGTGATAAGCCTTGGTTGCATTTGCTTCAAACATCTGCTCTTTCACAGGGAAAATGTAGCCCTGCATTCTTTTGGATGCTGCGATGAACAGTAGCAAGGGTCGAACAGGTGAGAATTCAGGGTAATAAGGATCATCGTGAACTTGGAAGTGCTGATCTTCCGACTCATCGTCACCAGTTTTCCTAGTAATCTTCACGCAAAGGGAAAGCACCTTTTTCTCTTTGACTGCAAAGTACTGGGGAACGAATGATTCGATCTGCAGTGACAGCACTTCATCAACACGGAGGAAGAGCCGGCAGCCAAGGATGATGATAGTCCAGTTCATAAGTTCGTTCAAGTTGCCGGAATTCTGGATGAGCAAGTATTTTCTCATGTCGCGGAGATGCTTTGGAAGAAAAGAGGCAGAGTTACTAGAATCTTCATGCTTGTTTGTATAGTCCTCCATCATCTTGGACTGTACTTTGAGTGAAGGCTTCACTGGTAAATGACGACAATACCGCAGACCTCCAGTGACCAGAATACGTAAAAAATAAGAACCCTTTTTGATGATTGGTTCCAAGGGAATTCCTTTGCAGGATCTGCAGGCTTTGAGGTATGGACGGTATCGCAGTCTTGTCTATTATTGCTGTCGTGTTGTCTGTGCAGTATATACCGGTAGGCTGAGGGCAAACCTAAAAATTCCAATGGTGGATTGACCCATTCAAATTCCAATAGCTATAATATATATAGTACCGGTAGGTAGGGGCTTGCCCAGAATTACAATTGGTACGCCAGTCGTCCTGTAGTAAAGCAACGAAGTTCTCGGCCTTTTAAAAACGTTGCTGTACGTACTATAAACCCTGATAAAGCAAATTCTGATCATGCAAATTTGCTGTATCATACGCAGTACGGAATAGGAGAGGAGTTAATCTTTAGCAATGATGGTCTATCACTATATACTGTGTTACGTTATTTACAAGTAGTGCCTCTTTTGTACTTCCTAGCTGGACGGTAGGCATTTGTGCAGTGGTGCTGTTTCCGTCAAAACACGATTTTCTGTACATTGATGGTAATTCCTTAGATAGTCAGCAAGTCATCATCGTCATCCATCTCCATCTTCTTTTCTTCATCTTCTTCTCGAAGTCGATCCAACTTCTTTCCCAACGTGGATCCTTGTCGAGTAACCTTGCCATGAGGATCGTTGGGATCGACAGCCAGTGTTCCCAATTGGGACACGTCCACGGTACTTGGACCTCGTCCCATGGGTCGTTTCCATCCACCATTGATGGTCTTGGTCATGTATGGGATGTAATCCTTCTTTCTCGAGACACGACCTCCGAGGTCCATGAGACTTTGATCGTCATTCAGATACTTTCCACCAAAGGTAGCTTCGGCCAAGGCCCGTTCGGTGGGTCCACAGAGCAACAATTGGGAATGCAGCTTGACAATGTTGACCACGGCCAAAAAGATGCACTCCAGACCCTTTTCCTTTTTGCAGGCCACCAATTCGGGAAGCAATTCGTCGACTCGCGACAGAATGGCATCGTCGTCAGTCGTTTCGACGACGGCAAATCCAATTTCCCCAGAGAAACCAGACGCTTCAAAGGTAAAGGTCTTTCGGTCACCATTGACGAGATTGACGGCAGACATATTCGCAAGTTCCTTGGACTTGGCCTTGAATTGCTTCGATGCGAGCTTGTCAATATCATCAACTCCGGCAATGTCGGCCAAGACGGCCACCACCAATCGATCCCATTCCGTAGTGGTTGGTCCTTGCAAATTCAGTGTATCGGACAAAATGGCACAGAGCAACATGCCGGCAATGTGCTTGGGTGGTCGACGCGAGTGCGTGAGATAAGTGTGGGCGACAATGGTGGACATACTGCCCCATGGACGAATGTCAATGTAAATGGGTTTTTCCGTGACAATGGTTTTGGATTGGAGTGCGTGATGATCAATGACACCGACAATGTTGTCGGCTTGAATGGCAGGATTCATTTGAGAGGTTTGTTGGTGATCCACCAAGCAAACACCCGCATCGGGACGTTCTTTGAGTAATTCCTCAATGGGTGTGGGAGTGGGTACACCCCAATAGTCCAACGCAAACTTGGTTTCACTATTGATTTTGGAAGCAGATGCCGGAACTCCACCATACAATGCCGCAGCGCCAATGGCACCGGCAATGGAATCCAAATCCGTGACCAAGTGTCCACAGAAAATGACATTTTTCAAAGATTGTGGCATGTACAAATTCATTTCCGGAACCTTGTCATCGTCGGCTGGCAAGGAATCGACAATCTTTTCAGCCTCCTTTTCGTGGCTGATCACTTGCTCTTCCACTTCGGTCAGTTGACGAACACCTCCTCCGTATTTGCGGCCGTGTTCACCGATTCCTTCTTCAATGGCAGCTTTGGCACCCGCCATGTGAGGATGTTTGGATGCAGCATCATTAGCATCAGATGACAATTGAGTGCGAGGACGCTTGTTGTTGTTGTTGTTATTGTTGTTACTTTCGGATGGAGTGGTCATTTTGTTGTCGGTGTTATCCTTGGTGTTGTCCGGGTCACAAGATGATATAGGTTGTTGTGGATTCGTTCCAACGGACGATGGAATAATGAGTACAAAGACTAGTATGGATACCAATACTACGCGTGGTATAATACGTAAACTCGTCGTTGCTGGGAAACCACGTAGTTGCATAGGTATGCATGCAGGAACAATTTTGAAATCGTGAAACTTGTGATGGAAAACAATTGGTCATTTGCTACTTATGGCAAAACCGTTGCCGTAAGTGGCCAATGTACCAGATATGTGACACACGTGGTTGGTCATGCGAGACAATTATCTAACGATTTAGAATCCAAATTGACGTGGTAGCCTACTTGTCTTCCCAAACCACGTCACAACAAAAATAACAGAGGTCGAGGAGCACGACAGACGGCACCTCAATCCTGGATTTTCCATTTTTGGGCACGTGCCAAACCACAAATTTGAAGGCACTGCGACAGTCGTACCTCGGAGTTTTGGTTTTCGTCCACTCACGCGCGCGCCTTACAACGGAGATAGATTTCTCTCAAGCAAGAGCAAGCTTGTAATCTTGGTTCGAGATCACCCAGGACACAGCCAACAACCAGGCATCACAGAAAAAAAGTCACCATTACACTCGTTTCTTGTGTCTCTTTTCTTTTGAATTGGTTTTGTTGATTATAATTGAAGCAAAACTTTTGTTAGAAGCGAGAATACATTTCTTGAGCGTTCACCTACAGTACAGATTTTCAACTTTTGGTAGTTTCCTGAATACTGCGACTGACAGTCTTGCTTGATCAGACAATACAACAACGACCACAGCCACGACTCGGCAAACCTACAGTACAGCAACTGCAACCAGACGCACAAGCAGACAACGCTTGTACAGCATCAGCATCATCTATCATCATAATATCTCTTTCAGTATGAGCTTTCACCTGAGAACCAGTTATCATCAATCCGTAGGTGTCGCGCCTGTTGTGGTGATGCCTATTACCACCGCCGCCGCTGCCGCCACGCCAACTACTACTACTCCTACTCCTCAAACCTATTATGCCTCACCGCCACCACCCACAGCAGCACCTCAGCACATACCCGCGGCGGCGGCGGTGCAGCACCATCCCATCACACCCCGCAATTCTCTGCACCAACGCTTGCCCACCAATGGTTCCGGATACGAATCGGCGTTGGATGCTTTGAATGCCTTGGACTTTTCCGAACGGGCCTTGGATTTTTCGAGACGCATTACTTCTGACATATCCACTCTGGAATGCGAATCGGTCAAAGCGGAACCCAACTATAATCCTGCCGTGGAGGATACACCCTTTGTACCACCGTTGGAGATTCACATTCCGGTCAATCTTGCACACTTGGCAGTGCAACAGAAGCAGCAACAGCAAAAGAAGCTGCAGCAATCCAATCATGGCAGTACTACTACTACAACTACTACTACTGCTCGAAGAGCATCCTTCTCTTCTGCCAATCTTCTTAAACCAGCCATCTTGACTCGGCAAACATCTTGCCAGTCGCGATTGGAAATGTCCCAAGCCTCTCCCAACAAGTCTTCATTGCATTACATATCCCACAAGTCGGCCATGAAACTTGCCATGAACAATGGTGGTGTCCTCCCGCCCCAGTATTCGCATTCCAGTGGTACAGTGCCACAAGAAGAGCTCGATCGGGATCCTAGTTTGGAAGACTATGCCAATGGTGCGGGTGCAGTCACCTGGGACGATCACTCACGGTTGTCCTACTATACCAGTCCCACGGATTTGTACACGAGCGATGACTCCGATCCCATTGCCATTAGCAACAATGCTTCTAACACTGCCACCAAAAAGGGCAAGGTCAAGCGGGAATTGAAAAAGATCATGACGCGATTCCGGCATTCCAAATCCAAACATAAAAGCAAGACGCTGCAGCCACAAGAGGTGGTGGAAGGTGCCATTAAGGATTATGACAGTTTTGGGAGTGAACGAGGGTTTTGTTAAAAGCAGCAAGTAGACAGGTCGGCAGGAAACATGACGGGAATGGTCCTGAATGGTGGTGGTGGTGGTGGTGAAAGAGACAGGCACTGACAACAGTTTCTAAAGTGCCGACCTTAAGATCTACAGGACGTAACGTGACTGAACAGCCGAGTCCCGATCAGATGAGGATCTTTCACCACAGTCATCGGTTCTACCGGTACCCTGTACTGTACCAAAGCAGTCATTCAGGCACCGCCCCAACTGTTGAGGCCAACGAAGTCATCACAAACCGCACAGCAGAACAACACACACACACACAGGACACAGTACATCAATAGAGACATCATTCTTTTTGGAAACGAAAAAAGGAAAGGAAAGGAAATAGAGTTTGAATGCAATTTGTATTACATGTATTAGCAGCTATTGTGAACGAGAATAATCACAAAACAGAAATAAAGTAAACGTATATTATTAGACCACGTTGCATACGGTAGACAATATTGTCGGGACGAAGCAGAAATGACCCAAAAGTGCCTTCATCAATGTTTGTTCCATTGATAAATGTATCTATCGAAGTACTTTGAAAAGTTGCGATTCCGTTGTACTGTATAGTCCTGACGTTGTTTTAGCATCGAATCGCATATATATCATACTAGCAATTCATCTTTAATTTTAAATCGTACGTTGCTAAGTTGCTTATGCCGCGGAATAGAATGTACAGGGACGACTCATTGGAATGAGTAATGATTTTTTTTGAAACCCGCTTTTTATTTTATGTGGTCTTGTTGGTTGTCAACATACAGTATTGAACATGCACTACTGCCATCATTACGATCATAATTCGAAATCGTTTCAGTTCAACTGCTTGGAAATCTACCATGAGCACCTCTCATCATTCAATGGGGTTCTTTGAAAACGCATTTGGCTTTAACGAATCCAACTATAGCTCAACACAAAAGAGTCTATTGGATCGAGCCACCTTTTCCTACACTCCTCCCAATCCCCCCACCCGTGAATACTGGCAAGAACACTGTTCCTTTCACGTTCCAAATGGGGACAAGGGAATGAAACAAATTTCAGCCGGAACCTTTTCCATGCCATCGGTGGAACAACTACGATCCCGTGTTCAACAGGAATTGGACTTCTTGTTGCCAAAACAGCAACAAGGCACTTCAGCCGGACAAGCTGAGAACAACAAGACGACTACGATTCAAGAATCACAACAAGCAGCTTCAAAGGTCACGGTTCGCAACATGGTTGGTGAAGCGCGATCTTTGCATTCGGAGCCATTTTCAGCCATTCTTGGCAAGACGAGCAGTAATAAGTACCCACCAGGCGACTTTCCACCTCAAAACCATTACATCTTTCAAGCTGCTAGCCAATTCAACCTTTTGGAATTCCCCAGTCCCAGGGTCACTCCAGAAGCTGGCATTGCTGGATACATTAATGATCGAACTCAAGGTCCAGCCTGTGCCATTGCTTGTGCAGCGGGTACAGCCTATCGCAATTATCTCTTGCCCATGATGAAAGATGGTGATTCCGGTAGTACTAGTAGTAGTAAGGAATCGACCAATCCTGCCATTGAGCAACGAGGTCAGACCAAAGAATGGCAACTGAATGGATTGCAACTTGTGGAGGACTACCTTAAGACATTCACTAGTCTCCAAAAGGTACCATGGACTGTGCACAATGGATACATGGAAGGACAGAAGCGTTACATTATGGAATTGAATGCCCTCTTGGAATCAGATCCCCATTTGCAGGATGCACTGACGAGTAGACTCCAAATTGGAGTCCAAGAAGATGCTACAGTGACGGATTGTTGTCCTGTAACAACAGCAACAACAAGAACAACAGCAACCGATCATGATGACTTATTTCAAGTCACCCAAACCTACAATTCGGCCATTAGCATTGGATACTCACGCCTGTCAAGTTCCTTGTGGAGACCAATGGCCACCATTGTCCTTCAAGCAACCTACGAAGCCACACTGTTGGTTGCGATTTTGAAAGCAATTCAGTTTGCTCTGCGGGGCGATCCAAAGCAGGTCACGGTGCTTTTGACCAAAGTAGGTGGAGGCGTTTTTCAAAATGACGACTGTTGGATTTGTGAAGCCATGAAACGGGCCATTGGTCAAGTAGAAGAGCTCATCACCAGCAAGCCATATGGGATTGGATTGGACGTTCGAATTGTCCATTTTGGGGAGATCCAAGACGAATACATGTCATTGGAGCAGTGATGAGATGATGATTTGACATAAAGTAAATTCATGTGGGGCATCAATAGAAGTAGGCTAGCTAGTAGAGGGATTTATTACAACATTACTACGACCTCGTAGCGGAAGTGGCTGTTGCTAGAATTGATGTTCATTATGATAGTTGCAACTGTCAACAGGGAAAGGATAATTGGCACAACAAAGGACGCACCACCCAACAGCAAGAACAGTGTTTCGTTTTGTGACAGCTCGGTTTGGTCCTTCCCAGAGAACATCTCGTCTTCCAATGTGATTTCAATACTAGCGTGCTTCAAGCCCAAAAGAGGACACAAGACAAAATGTCGGAATCCTAGTTTACAGTATCAAGCTGTTCCGAAAAACCCAAGTCCCCTAAAAAATAATATATTTGAAATATTCTTAAACATCCGCCACAACATCTGACGGGGTTCCCGTAGGAGCTGGAGCCGTGACAGTAGGTTGAGCCATTTGCGGTGGTGGCTGCTGTTGAGGTAGTCCTTGAGCGTGCTGTTGTTGTTGATGTTGATGTGGCCAGTAAGCCAAGGGGTTAAAGGTTGCCTGAGCGGCAGCGGCTACAGCAGCAGCCTGTTGGTGTTGCTGGTGTTGCAACTGCTGAGCACCATGACTCACTCCTACTTGAGCGGCCGGAGCTCCGTTCATAATGGCTTGGAGGGGGACAACATTGGGGTACTGCGTTGTGATAAATGACAGAAATGCAGCGGGTGAGAAAATGTTTGCTTTTCAGAAGATCATCAATCACATATCAAGAATGAAAAGGTTTCGTCAACGCTTCTGGTGAATGTGCACAGAATGCACAGAGAGCATATTGAAAACAAACAAGCTAGACACTGATGCGCATCACAATCCGATCATAATGCACCAGAAACCTTCTTGGGAAACCACTTCACACGATCAATTCTGAAATTCAAATTCAACTTACTTTTGATGCAATTTCCATAAGTTGTGTTCGCAAGTTATCATTTCTGTCGGTCAACTCCTTGTTTTCTTTTGATAGTGTAATCACAGTTCGCTGCAATTCTTCAATCATGGTCTTTTTGCGTTTGCGAGACTCTCGAGCTGAAATACGATTCTGTTCCAAGCGCTCTTTGCGCTTCTTTGCCTTCACATCATCATTGCCACCTTCAGCTGATCCAAGTGATTCCGTACCATCTCCAGCTTCTTCTTCTGCAACTGCGATATTCATGCCCTCCGGCATACCATCGGCTGCTGCAGCTTCTGCTGGAGAAGACGACGTGCCTTGCTTATCAGCACCCGCTGAAGTGCCATTGGATTGTTCGTCGACTGGTGCCATTGTGTGACCTTTAGGTTTCTTTGTTTGTCTCAATCGAAAGACTCTAGATTCTGATAAGTTTCAAGGATCCTTCCTCCTTCTAGCAATGTCGAAATGTGGTGTGTGGATGAGGTGATGGGTGTACACATCAACTTTTGCGATGTTCAGGATACTTGTTGTTCCTTCCTTTGTCTTGGCATTCTCTGCCTTGAAACTGTTCTTACGAAGGCTGCGCTACAATTTTCGTAGGCCGGCGGGCTCCGGAATGTGGTGTGGATGATGCGCTGCTGACGTCGATGACTGCTCAATCGACCCCTTCGACCACTTACTGTTCGACCATCCATCCGCACGGCTACCAGCATAGTCAATATGGGACCACTGACCTTCACGACTAGCAGTCAAAATATCCTTTTAATAAAAGCGCTTCTGAGATGAATGGAACCACGAGAGAGACAGATATGTGTGCCACCTAATTTTTCTTCACACGTCCAACACCTTATGGTGAAAAAACTTCTATTCCGGGCCTTCTAAATGACAAGCAGAAACAGTCATAGCAGCGACTTTGTTTTTCTTATCAAAACTGACTTCAAGATCACAAATATGGTTTGTTTCGCCATTCTTTTCTATCCCAACGCTAACACTTAACCGCACTGGTTCGTAAAGGCTTATGAGATGCCATATATGTTGGGTGCGAAAGCTTGGGTGTGAGCCAATCTATCCCACATCGAAAAAACCTGTGCTTCGGTATATTAGCGTTACGATTAGGCATTTACATTCCATCATGATTCATTATCTTGCAGGCTCCCTTATAAGCACCGAGACCAGCTTGATGGACCCGGTTGCGAAAAGTCAACATGCTAAAAAGCCAAGTGCCGAAGAGACTGACAACGATGCAACGCATGCAGAGAGTAGTAGTAGGCTGTTATTGTCAAGTCCACTGCCTTCCGAACTGCCAGATCCAAATGTCGCAGATGCCATGATTGCCAAAGAAATGTCAAATACATCCTCCCGAGAATTGGAGCGGGCTTATTTTGACGTGCATGGTGTGATTTCCAACGAAGTCCAAGAATCACCACAAATGATAGAACAAAGCATCCAGGCACTCCAAAACGAAATGGAAGAACGTACCTCTGACAACGCAGCCTTACTACAAGCGAAACAACAAGACGCAAAATACGTGACCAACCGAAACTTTCTGTTGCCATTTCTCCGCTCCGAATATTTCGACGCCAAGGCTGCTGCCTTACGACTGGCACGTCATTTTCAAGTCAAGAAGGAACTCTTTGGTGAGGAAAAATTGGTGTCCGACATTACGCAAGATGACCTCGACCAAGAGACTATGGATACGCTGTATAGTGGCCTGACCCAGCACTTGCCCAGTCCAGACCGAAGTGGACGATCAGTTGTTGTTTATAATTGCAATGGTCAACAAAGACTGAGTGCAATGGGAAAGGTACGTCTAGTATACTATATATTGTATGTTTATCTTTCTTTCTCTGGATTTTTTCAACTGACAAAATGGCGTTTTGGCTTCTCTTATTCCATTTCGTTCAATATTATTTCATCAGCTGAAACGATTGTTCTACACATCCATGGTTGTATTTCCAAACAATGAACAATCGCAAAAGCGTGGAGTCGTGGTAGTTCTGTACCTACTGGGACCACGGAGCACCCAGCTGGAAGCAGGAGCACCGGGCAGTATGTCCTCTCGAAAGCTGGCTTGGAAACTCTGCCAGTTGTTGAGAGCCTTGCCCTTTCGACTTTCGGCCATGCATATCTGCTATGATTCGTTGGCGTGGTCGCCGGTGCTAGTAACCATGAAGATGGCATTGGGTGCTTTCACGAGGATTCGGCTGCGGTCTCACTATGGTAAGAAGCTATCTATTTATCACCATAAACGTCCTCATCACCACAGCACTTACTTAAAACAAGAAACTTTTGCAAATGACTCACACACACTCTCTTTCGTCCCCTCTCGTACTTTAAGGATCCCACGCCCATTGCATAGCAGCGCTTCAGGGATACGGCATCCAACCATGCTTCTTCCCCATCAAAGAAGGAGGAACAATGGATACGGCAAACTACAAGACTTGGTTGGAAGGTCAGCGACGAACAGAGAGACGAACCATGCCCAAGCGAACCCGCGTATACGTTCCAGGTAACTTTGATGTTCTCTTTGGCAAAGGCAGTCCCCTTCAGAACCACATTGGCAATGTCAAGCTACGAGGACTCATTTCGGATTGTAAGAAAACGTACGAAAAAACGGAAAAGGGAAGGAAGCACGAGATATCACAAGCGGTGATTGAAATCGTGAAGGAGTCCTGTGGTCTCTTTCTGAAACAGGGCGGAGACGATTCTTGGATTGTCGTGGATGACGCTGCCGCTGAGCTCAAGGTGAGCACCTTGTTCCGATCCCTTCGTGGAGGAAAACGCGCCGCCAGGAAGGCACCACCGCAACCGCAACCACAATCTCTCCAGAATATGGGAGGAGTAGACACTTCTACCTTTCCCTCATCCTCCGCGAACGCTTCGAATCAACAAGTGAAAGGAGGTGATCAGTCCTCCGATTCCAAACAATTTTAACTGCAGGATTCCGAATCCGAGTTTTCAAGAATGCTACCGCACTAAAATTTTTGATACTATAAAATGTTATTATACTAGCTATTATACAAATTGAATGAAATAAGTTGGAGGAGGATAGACCATTTCCCTGTTGACTAATTGACTCGGAGCAGTCGAATGAATCTGGTTTTCAGTCGATTGAGTCGGATTTTTATTTTCGGTGTGTCGCGTCGTGTCGTCTGAACCAGCCTAGAAGAAGAGATAGGAATGGGTCACAACAGAAGTTATAGAGTCTCTCAGAAAGCCACAGAAAGGAGTGACGTGAGAGTTAGGTCTAATCTAGTTCCAAAGTCACTCCAAGGTCATTACACTCTTCCCTTCTATGATCAGAGCCTGTCGATTGATCATACACTAAAGTCACGAGGCGTCCTTACATCCACTTGATCCTCCTTTCAACTTCAGAGGTGGTTCTTGACGCAATGGGCGATGCAAGCATATCGTCCATTAGACTCGACAAAACGGCACAAGCCGTCTGATGTTGATCCTTTCATGGATCGCATCTGTGCGCAATTCTGTAATCAAATTATTTTCGCTTTGCGTTCTGTCTCCTCAAGTTTTCATTGATCTTGTACTGTCTCTTTTGCCTTATTTGGACTCTTCCCTTCAGACGGCTTCTCCATTCGCGGAAGCTGAGAGAAGCAGTCGGCAATCGCGTTATCAAAGAATAATACATCATATAAAAGAAGAATACATCATTGTGAGTTCAAGTTTTGTGATTTTTTTGTAGCCAGAACGACGCGCAACAATATCATCAATCAAAGGCAAGGGGTATACTTTACGCTTGACAGTCTTTTTCAGCTGTCTGAGATTGCTGATCTATTGCACCCTACCGTCCTTCTTTGGAATGATGAAAGTTGGCGACGCCCATTCTTGCGTCTCCTGCTCTTCAGGAGAATAGTTTTCCTGTTAAAAGTTGAAATGATCGTTCCATTGTTGATTTTCTTTTCAGCTTGATAATATTGTCCCTGATGCTGGTACTGCTCGGCACTTGGCATTCCGCCATAAGACATTCCGTCTTGGTTCCATTCCGGAACGCTGCATTCCGCAGCAAAGCTTTCAGCTTTTTGATTGTAGTGCGACTCAGCATAGTAGTTTTGACTGTTTGTTGCGTAGTGTGAAACTGGTGAAAATCTGAAAGGATTGATCAAATCAAACGGCGATTGCTTGTGTGTGTGAGTATACTCTTGTAGTCTTCAATCTAAGCCTTATGGCTATTCGAATAATGAACCAGCCTAGAAGAAGAGATAGGAATGGGTCACAACAGAAGTTATAGAGTCTCTCAGAAAGCCACAGAAAGGAGTGACGTGAGAGTTAGGTCTAATCTAGTTCCAAAGTCACTCCAAGGTCATTACATCGTCGCGGTATTGCTGTGCGTGTTCCATAAATATATTTGATTAAGTTCGGTCACTCACTGACCTCTTCATCCGGTCGACTGAATGAGTCACAATGGTCGGACCAAAGATGAGCTCATGAGCTGAGATGGAATGGCTCAATATGCGCGCCACCTGATCGTAAATAATAAACACGGCTATCGCAAGAGAAACCGCGATGCAAAATGGGCTTACACAGCGCGTGCTTATTTATTTGATCAGACAGTTTACATCATTGCAGAATAATATCATCTTACAGTAGAACAATACCTTTGATGCATATCATATTATCGATGAGAGGTTGAATGAATGATGTTCCTTTTGAAAAGCATCTTTAGCGGCAGAAGACAACCGACAAACCCTGGTCTATCTGATCCAGTGCTGGACGATGCAACAGCAAGGGCTCTAGTTGGTAGTGTTGACGATGAGATCACAGATCCAAGAGTTGTGGACTCTATGGTGGTTCAAGCCATCTCAAAATCCACTACCAACGCTGCGGAACGAGCATGTTTCGATGCGCATGACATGCCGGGTACTTTGAAAGATACACCAGAGCTCATTGAAAGGGCTCTTTCATTGCTTGACATTGAAATCCATGCTCGTTATGACAATCATGCTTACATTCTTGCGGAAAGCATGAACCCTTCCTTTGTCAAGAATCGAGACTTTAGGCTCATGTTTCTACTCGCTGATAATTTCAATGTGAAGAAGGCTGCCTTAAGAATTGTACGTCACTTTCAAGTAAAGCTTGATCTATTTGGGAAAGAACGAATTGCTTCAAACATTACTCAAGATGATCTGGATAAAGACACCTTCGAAGGAGTGTATAATGGCCATATGCAGGTTCTCCCACAACAGGATCACATGGGTAGAACCGTTTACGTATTTGTGGCAAAGCCGGCCACAACGCATGCTGGATTCATGATGAAGGTAAGGAGAAACCATTGAAACCTTGCGCATTAACGAATAATCCAGAACTAATGTGCTTGGTCTGGTTTAATTGACAGATGCGGCGAATGTTCTACTTCTTCATGGCGTACATCCAAAATGTAGAGGGACAAAAAAAAGACGCGGTGGCACTTGTATTCTATATGCAGAATGAGGCACCGGGGTTGAAAGAAAGTCGATTTGAATCGATTTGGAAGGCGCCTCGCCTGATTCAGGGCATGCCAATTAAAATGCCAGTGGTTCACCTTGGTTCCACTTCAACGCTTTGGTCTCCAGCTCATTCAGTCTTGAAGGTGGCACTAAATGTGATTGCAGGGATGCAACTTTGTCCTCATTACGGTATGTTATTTTTCTCTCATGAACAATGGTTTGCTCTAACTCTGCAGTCGGGCATATCTCACACTATTCACTTTATATTGAATGTATATAGGCTCTTTTGATGATTGCATTCGCGCAATGAAAGACCAAGGCATTGATACCAAGGACTTTCCATTGGATGGTGAAGGGAACGTTGCAACAGACAAACATCACGAATCGTTGGAGGCACTGAGAAGGAAAGAACGACAAGTTGAGCCAAAGCGAAACCGTGTCCATGTTCCTGGAAGCTATGACGTCCTCTTTGGTAAAGGGAGTCCCCTCCAAAACCATCGAGGGAATATCAAATTTCGAGGTCTCATTGCTGACTGTAGGAAGGCTTATGAGAAGGCAGACAAGGACAAGAAACGGCGAATCATTGAAGAGATTGTATCGACTGTAAGGCAGTCTTCAGGACTGTTTCTCAAAGCTGATGGAGACGGCTCGTGGATCGATGTTGATGATAGGGCGGCTTGTGTAAAGGTCGGATCATTGTTCCGAACTCTTCGGTTTCATCAAGATGGCGGAGGGAAAGCAAAGCGAAGGGCCAGAGCGAAGGCATCAAACTGATGCATTGTGATACGTTTTCTTTGAGAGGCCGCTTAGCTACTATAGGCGAAGATGCTTGATCCCAAGAGCATGACAACTAGAGCTCTCAGAAACTTCCTCAGCAAGTAAATCAAAGGGATGACGAGCGGTGGTCGCATTCCTATCGTTACGAACTACTGGTGCGAACTATGGTACAACTTGAGGATGCTTGCTTTTAAAAGTCAGAGACGAAAAGAAGAAGTGTTTACCAGTGTTTTAGAGGCAACTGAATGCGGTCAGCGGCCGACGATACGGAGAAGAAACATCTATCATTGAGTTTAGGAATGTGATCATTATCCTATCTGTACTGTGTAGAATCGTCCCAGAGTGACTGAGATATACGGTATTGGGTTGAAATATAAGTTGAGGTCTGATTGAACGACTAACAATATGTACAGGTAATACTGCAACGCGAAACGCAGGACTGTACTGTAGGTAGCCGATTGGTCGATGCGCTTTTGTCCCAGAGCGCATTTTGAGCCAGCAGTCCCGACTTGAATTAGTACTCGTATTTATTTTAAAAAATACCGTACCTTGAAGAATGATTTGTATTTATTATGGTTACGATAAGTTCATTATATTCACAAAGTCTTTATATGTCGATTATGTGTCCCACAACCAAAAGGTGACGTAATGCATGTTCATCACGGGACGGCCGGGAAAATCAATATTTACTCCCAAGAATTGTATGCTAAATTTCTATTTCCCGGCCGGTTGAATGGTCATAAAACGGTATCAAGCTTTCAATCGACCTCTGCATATTTTTGTTGCAAAATTGTTTTGGTACAGATACCGGTACAGGATGATAAGAACAAGCAGCCCCTCAGGCAATGAAGTCGAGATTCCAGGAGCTGATCTCTACCTTGAAGGATTCGAAGGATCCGAACCGGCGCACATCTTATCGGAACCAATTCCAGATCACGTACCAGACTATCAGCTCGCCGAGTCCTTCCAGACGCAATCCATCGCTGCAATGACACAAACAGATCGGGAACATGCCTATAATGACATTCACGCAATCCCAGAGGCAAAAAAAGAAGATCCAGTCCTTATCAGCCGAAGTCTTGAACTTCTGGAAGAAGAGATCTTAAAACGGGACGACAATGAAGCGTACCTTAAAGCACAATCTTTGAATCCAGCTTATGTTGGAAATCGAGAATTTCGGCTGATGTTTTTGCGTACAGACAGATTTGATGTTCCAAATGCAGCTCTGCGAATGGTCCGACATTTTCAGATTAAGCTAGACCTGTTTGGAAAGAATAGACTCGGGAGGGACATCACTCAGGACGATATGACCAAGGAAGATATGGAAGCCTTGAGGGATCCGATTGTTCGATTATTACCGACCAGAGACCGTGCTGGGAGGGCGATTATTCATTTTGTTTCAAATAGCGCGAATCATTTGTTTAGCTTGGAAGCGAGAGTAAGTGAATCATCATCGGTTGTGTGGATTCCGTAATGAGAAGTGCTTACAACCATTATTTCGCAGATGCGTCGGTTGTTCTATTTGTTTATGCTCTCTCTGCGGGATTCAGATACTCAGAAGCGAGGAATAGTGGTCATTTGCTGCTACATAAACAATACCGAGATCGAGGGTTTAAAGTCTGGTGGCTTCGATGGTGCGTGGAAGTCACCAAGGCTCGCCCTTGGTATCCCTATTCATATAGCAGCAGTGCATATGGGATACAACTCGATGAGATGGGCTCCAGTGCATGCGATATTGCGGATGACACTGGGTATTTTCACACGAATTCGATTTCGTGCTCACTATGGTAAGGCCTTAGATGACCCGGTGTGCGAGGTGTATATGTTCCTGATTTTGGTTCTAAACTCTATTCTTTTTGTTTTCCTTCCTGGTTTAGGCAGTAATGAGGAGTGGATCAATAATATGAAAAGTGTTGGCATCCAACCAGAACAGCTTCCCTTTAGAACAAATGCTGAGAACTTTGCCAATTTAAAGTTTTTGGAAGTACACAGGGCAAAAGAAAGGATGAAATACCCAAAGAGGAGCCGTGTTGGTGTGCCCGGTCCTAATGATGTACTCTTCGGGAAAGGTAGCCGGTTCCAAAATCATGTTGGTAAGACTATCGATCACGTAGCTCTTGTTAACAAATGGTTGCTCACCTTCGTGCCACCTTCGTGTTGGCCACTGTTTCAGGCAATGTCAAATTTCGCAGGTTTATCGCAGACTGTAGGAAGACTTACGAAAAGACAAAACGAGGAGAGAAGCAACATTTGATTCGAGAAATTGTCGATACAGTCACGCAGTCTTCGGGTTTATTTCTGAAAGAAGATGACGAAGGCTGGATTGTTGTGGACGATGCGGCTGCAGCATACAAAGTCGGTGCAGTCTTCCGCACACTTCGAACATTAGATGGATAGAATAAAGCCGGGCTTTCGATGCTACTTCTGAGTACCTGATAACACCACGTAGGAGTGGCCCCTGCAGTGCTTATTCCAAAGTCTACATATTACTCTTTTCGCTCGTATTTTTACATATTTTGGTGGCGGAAGTACAGGCAGACGATGGCGAGTGATGAGATGAAAATATATAATCAACAAGAAACTCTTGATGTCAAACAAGAAAACGCACGACCAATTGAGCGACACCTGTTATAATAAATGGTATTTGCAGGTCTTTCGGTCCTCAAGACATCTATTATTTTCCTTGCAACCTCATCAAACGACATGAAGGAAGAAGGCAGAAGAGCAACAATGGAGGAGACATACAAGAGGCTCACAGATAAACTTCGATCACGAGTCGACGGCACAGGCGAATCTACAAGTCCATACTGGGTTGCCGTTGCGGGAGGTCCAGGAACTGGGAAGTCAACAGTGGCTGAAACCGTTTGCGACGGGCTTAACAAGATGTCTCCAGATTGTTCCATCGTCATTCCCATGGACGGATGGCACATACCCCAAGATCGCCTAATGGAAGAATTTGGGTTGGAGGAAGGCATGCAACGGCGAGGTGCACCCTGGACCTTTGACTGTGACCTCCTGTACGAACAACTAGCGGATGCGAAGAAGAATTCGAAAGCATCACTCCCCATGTACAGTCGAGAGATTTCAGATCCAGTCCCTGACAAAGTCATGTTGGAGCCACATCACAAGGTTGTGTTCATAGAAGGAATATATATGCTGTATAAGGATGATGAAGAGAAAAAATGGAACCGTCTATTTGATCTATGGGACGAAAAATGGTTCATCCAATGTCCGTCTAGAGAAGATCAAATTGAACGTCTTGTCGGTCGATCTTTGAAGACCTGGACAGACAAGAAGGCAAAGCTTTGGGGAGAAGGACGAGCGGGTGCACAGGCAAGGGTGGAGTTCAATGATCTCAAGAATGCAGATATGGTTCGACACTGCAATCAATTTGCCGATGAAGTCATTGTGACGCATTAGCAACTGAGGAAGAGAAGAAAAATAGAAAGAAGACACCTATAATTCAATCTAGCAGTATCTATTAATATTTCATGATTTCTGTATTTTAGAAGCTGCAAGCGTTAAAGATCAATAAAAATCCGAGTGATTCTTATATTGATGAATACTTCAGCTATATACTGTGTCCGCTTCAATCAAGAAAAACATGATTCGAATCTCCGAATGTAGATATCAGCATATGAAAGTTTAGATCTCTGTCTCGGCCATTTCACACAGTAGACAATACAGCCCATCAGGAATACAGTGAGACAAGAGATGTAGAAATGGATTCTCCGAATTCATGCCCAATCCAATGCAACGCCCATGGACGAGGATCCATATTCAGTATTTAGGAATTGGAAGAAGGACAGGCCAGTCAAAGTGAAACCACTACAGTACCACCTTCCAACGAGTCCCACCTTGTAGTATCGAAAAAAAGGAGGTCCAAACTCGTGTTGAACTTGGAGATTACGGGACGTGGCACGGGAAGTTACCTGGAATGACAAAGGTAGTGACGAACGACGTGTGGGTGAGATCCATCGTAGCTTGAATTCTGCAAAATAGCAGACCAAAAGTATTCTCTCGGAACATGTTGGAACATAATATATTCTTTCACAAGGCCGGTTAAGCCCCACTCAGTCGAAAGATGGTAATTTAAAGTTATTCGTCACAGAGAAGTTGGATCATGGATTTGTATTCGGTCCAATGCAAAAGATGACATACCTGGTATCTCTTGACTTCATTTCTTGATTAGGACAAATTAACTTTGCCTCTTGTGTGGCATATCCATCGTACGTACAGCAACGTAGTCGACATCCTTGGTTGATCCAATGTCTGTGGTACAATTTGAAATTACAACGACCATCAAAGATGATGATTTATTTGTGGTGGCACGCACGGCATTTTGGTTGGTTGGTGCGGAGAACGACGCGATCGGGGGAGCAATGCTTTTCCCTACATATATCCCCCTATGAACGCACCAAATTCCAAATGATCATTACTGTAGCTGTGGATATCGCATTTCAGCATATTGAATATTCAATATCGCTGTCAATGTCCCAACACTACCAGTACGCATTGGAGCCCATTCAGCATGGCCAAGAACAACGACCAGAGGCCTCGTGTAACCTTCGATGATGGCGATGACTGTGCTGAAAACGATGGTCCCCAAAACTCAGCGCACTGGCAGAGTTTGAACCACAAAGAAGTCACCGATCAAGTTTTACACAACATGAACGACTTGATATCCTGCTTTCGAAAGGAAAGTGCGCATCCGACGAAAACTACCTTGGCGGTTTGGAGTTGCGTGGCAGGGTATTGTGAGGCACTAGCAACGCACAAAGAAAAAAGATACTCAATATTCCCGATACCGATTGATGCCATTCGACGACTGGTCCAGGAAGAGTTTCAGCAGTTTTTGTCAGCCCTTCAAATTGATTCTTCTGACAAGAGCAGCCATCGCGAAACTGTCCGAACAATTTCCAATGCCATCTGGGCAAAGGCACGACCAAAGCCCAATGTCCGAGATGAGCCACATGCGAATTCTGTCTATGTGTGCTTGAGAGGTGACATTGACAAGAAGAGTCTGGATTGCTTTGGGGCTTGCTTGGCTACGATTGCTGGGTTACGAATTCTGGGCATTGAATACTCCTATCTTTGTCTCAGTGAGGATCATGCCTACGAGAGGCATCAGCTCGATCCTGATGATGTAACTTCGATAGGCACCTGTGAAGTTGCAATTCCAGGCAGAACCAATCGAGACAAGGCCAAACGGGGAAAGGATATTGCTTCAACATTTGAAGATACCAAGGATACCAAGCCTTATCTCACTCCCGAAACTTCGTGGCTGTACATGGCCTCGAATCCAGTGGTATGTGACACGGATGCAATGGCATTGGTTGCGGTAATAGGAAACATCAACTGTACAATTGAAGAGTCGGGACGAAAAGGATACTTCTTTGAGAGTGGCGGTTTGTACGCCATGAAACGAGAGATGCTTTGGGTCTTGTACGATCAGGGACACATGAAGAAGTTTCCCTTTGGCCTCATGGAACTGGGAAACTGTGAAGAGAATCGTGGCTCACCTCGTTCCGAGGAATGGGTTCAAGTGGAGGGTATTGCAGAACCAATATTGGTCAACGAGCAGCTCTTTCACGATGCCATTCAAGTCAGTCGAAATGTCTATCACGATGCTCAAGTCTACCCATACTACTGTAAGTCACCAAACCAGCCTGCTACTTCTTTCTGAATTGTTGACCATACATGCAGCTCACACAGCAAGCCCAAACAGATGCTGGTCACTATCACAAGGATGCAGGAAAGACACTGTCGGACCAAGAAAGTCGTCTTGTCGAATCATTAAAGATGTATGCCCAAGCAGCTCGAGTCACCAGCATGTACCCTTACGAGCTCCAGCTGAACAAACATCTAACCAAAATTGCCATGCTGATCATGGATGATATTTTGACGTCGACCTTGTTCGATGACGACGAGGGAGTACAAGACGCAAACGACATAAACAAGAAGAACAAAAATAAGCCAGAACCAAGAAAGTGGTTAGAGCCATCCAATGCTATCCACTCTTGCATGTGGCTGCTGAACTTTTTCGATTCCTTGCTTTTCTGGGAAGAGAGCCAACAAGTAAAAGAGCAAGAGTATCGGCGGCAAAAGTCCCAAGGCAGTGGTAGTAGTCGTGGTCGTGGTCGAAGTGGTGGTGGCGGCAGCAGTGTCAACCAACAGTTTGTGGAGATTCTGGTGCCATCGCACCCGCATTCAATCAGTAAACTGATGGCCTGTTTTGATAAACAGATTCGTCACCAGGCCTTAACAAAGTTGCAGAAGCAGCCCTCAACGAGTTCCATGCCAACAAAAACAGAAACAACAACAAATGAAGGTCCATACCAGCTGATACTCAGATCAAAACGATTGCAGGCTGGCAGTCTCCTGTGCAAAGGAATCATGAAACCAAAGGTGACCATACGAGAAATGGATTTAGCAATCATACTAGAGGACGATAACACAGGTCAAGATGATAGCAATGGTGGTGGTGGTGGACGACGGAGCAAGAGAGCTCGGAGGGGCTAAGAGGAGCTAGACAATAAATGTGTAATGAAAAATGATAATGATACAATGGGTAGGTCCAGGTGGTGGTGTTTTCCTGGTACGAATAGTGTACGTGCACTTGTATTCAACTTCTGATCAAATATGATGCCAATGGTGATGAATGACGTAGGTATTTGAGTGGAAAATGAGTGAGAATTCGGAACAAGAGGTGGCCTGAAGAAGAATCGATACTGACGATAGTGTACTTGCACGTGTGTCAGTTTGCAAGATTGCATTTTCATTTATACCATTCGACCAACTAACGACAGCCTCACAAATGCTTGCTACATTCCGATCTGATCAAAATCTGATGATACTCCATCTACTTTCTTCGCTCGTTCCCACCCGAACTGGTTCGGATAAATCGCAAAACAGATGGGAAGAACGTTAACAGCCGTTGAGTTGGGTGGCTTTGTTAGAGGAAGGCGAAAGACACTGTTTTGCGACTCCCATTGTTTTCTTCGGGTCTGCGACTCCCATTTTCTCCAAAGGTTAATAAAATCGCAAGTTTTGCAACGAACCGGTAAAAGCCGTTGTAATTTAGTGGATTTGTTAGAGGAAGGCGAAAGACACTGATTTGCGACTCCCATTTTCTCGAGCGTTACGTGCGTGGTTTAGTTTTCGCACGTGTTTTTTTGCTCTGGATGAAAACTCCGACAGGTTATTTGTACACGTCGTTTTTCAGCAACAATATGTGCAACTCGGTCAACTCCGACTTCAACAAATGAGGTGCGAATATCAATCCCATAACAAAGAAATTCGATACAAATATCCTCAGATCCGAATATATTTTATATATTTCCCGCGATCGGAAGACAAACCCGGGTCGATCGGATTTGAATCGAAAACTCGTTCCCATTTTTAACCCGAACGAGAAATTCACGGTCGAATAAATCTGGTCGTCTCATTCTTGTTGAAATCATACACGACCATCATACAAACTATTATGCTTCATCAGATAAAGAGCGAAAGATGTTGGCTGCTGCTGGTAGTCCTATCCACAGTCATGCGCGCATCCTTTGTATCCTCACAAGCCATGTGCCCGATCATCGAAGATCGATACGCTCACACTCGTCTGAAGAGCCATGATCCAAACGGTCCTGATTTCAAAGAAGTCAGTGGATTGGCAATCTCGCCGACACAAACTCACAATGGTCGTCCCATATTCTTTGCAATTAGTGATGGAGGCGGCGATTCCCGTATTGGAATCTTTGATTCCGAAGATGGACGACGACTTAGAACATTGAGAGTTGACAGAGGTTTCTTTCGAAACGCCGATTGGGAATCACTGACGATTGGATCCTGTGGAAAGTCAGGCGAGGGGGATACTTGCCTGTACGTTATGGACGCTGGTGATAACCAAGCTAGACAGAACAATGGTAACAGAGGACGAGGCGACTATCGCATACTGAAAATTCGCGAACCTCGATGGACAGATTACAACGACAACGACTACATTTCAAAAAATCGAATGTCGAGAATGGACTTTGACTACCGTCATCACTCTTCACCGACTAACTACGCAGATTGTGAAGCCATGTTTGTGGATCACAAAGGATGGGGCAGTGGCGAATCCAAAGGAGGTGCGTGTCAGACGAATAATATCAAAACACCTGTCGTTGCGTCGTTTCTAACTCTTTCTTTCTTGATTCATTTCATTTCATTTCGACAGACATTTATTTGGCTACCAAATGGGACAAGGGAAATGAAATATCCAAGAACCGACTCTTTCAGTTACCTGCTTCTGCCTGGTCAAGTGGCTACGACGGTGCCGTTCACCGGTATTCGGTCAAGTCTGTCGGCAATTACGACTACAATAGATACCAACAGAATGGAGGTATCCATTTTATGAAGACAACATGGTCATCGGCAGAAATGAGCTTTGATGGAACCATGATTGCCTTGGGCAACTTGCAAAAATCCTACGTCTTTTTGCGATGCCCAGGCACCTCTGTGGCCGATGCCATTGCCAATCCCCATGCCAACGCCAAGCCTTGTGTGGAATGGTCACATCCAGCGACTGGACAAGTGGAAACCTTGGCATGGACACCCGATCGTCGGTATACTTTGGATATTCCAGAAGGTGACTCACCAAAAATGGGTTGGACCAAGCTGCGATTTGACCGAAATAGGTCGAGCAAAGTTTGTCCTGGACCACCTCCACCACCCACCCGACCTCCAACTCGAAGACCTACTCCTCAACCGACTCGAAATCCTACTCCTCGGCCGACGCCTCGGCCGACACCCAATCCAACTGGACTGCCATCAATCAGTCCGACAAAAGCACCCACCACGACACCAAGCTTGAGTCCAACTCGACTGCCATCAATCAGTCCGTCAGAAGTACCCTCTCTGACGCCGAGCATGAGCCCAAGTCTGAGTTCCAGCCCGACATCTTGTGATGGACACATTTTTGAACTGATACTGCAAACTGATGACCAGGCAGCAACCACTCAGTGGAAAGTGTACAATGGTGTTGAAGAATTGGTGGGTGAAGGTGGCGGCTACTCCAACCGTGCCACCATTTTTTACTCCCAATGTCTCGAACCTGGATTGCATTCCTTTGAAATTTCCAACGAAATGGTCGACGGAGTTCCAGGATTGTACCAAATCTGGTATGACAAGATTCTCATGTACGATTCCCAAGGCCAATCTGGAAGCTACAAGGAAATTTTTTTTGCTTACGAATTTGACGACCAGTCCTGGGTGCCCAAGACACCCACTCCAACTCAAGCTCCTACGCTAACTACCGAAAATGAAATCTTTGGAGTCTCCTGTGGAGGCATTTGTCCTGGCAGCTTTAGTCAGGTCGCCAATGCCCAACAAGTTGTTTCCCTTGGCAGAAATGCTGGCACGGAATACTTTTGTGGCAGTCTCGACAAGCGATACCAGCAGCTCTTTTCCACTCCTGATGCATGCGAAGCTCTTCAAGTATCGGCGCAACGAGCCGGATGTGAGTGCGAAGTAGTTGGTCAAGTGACCAACAGTGCCACGGCAGGACAACAAGCCAGCAGGGAAGCCGAGAATGAATCCCAATCATTGGAAATCCAATGGGGATTGATTCTTGGGATAATCGCTGCTGTATGTTGTCTTGGAACGTGCTGCTTCAAGTACACTGGAAGGCGCCGTAACTCGGAAGAATCCGACAACCTCAAGGGTGATGCCAACGAAAAGGCCCGCGATGTGGAATCTGTGGACGAAACCGGACGCATCTCCATCAGTGACGATTCCACTACAAATTCGGCATCGGATGAATCTGGTGAAATGAGCGACATCAACGATAAGAGCCTACCACTGCCTCTTCAAAGAGTAAAGTCCGCCTTTGCTGTTGTTCAAAACCATGGTCACCAGTTGCTTCCTCTGCGAAGAGTCAAGACCGCCATGGATTCTTCTGTCGTTCACGAGAACGATGGCCAAAGATTGCTACCCGTTCGAAGAGTCCAGTCTTCCATGGAGCATCGATTTGTGCAATCTTGGCAATTGGCCATGCCCGAAGGGAACACTGAGCACAGTGAAGAAGGCTTTGAAGTCTGCTCCGACGATCAATGTGCCAAGGGCAAAATGTTGGACTTGAATTCGCCATCATCTGTCGATGACTCTTTGGAATCCCTGGAGCTACCAAAATTCGATCGTAGCTTCGAATCGAATCGATCCAATTGCAGTGACGAATCTGCAACCATCATGTCTGCATGAGAACCTTGCTTGATACTTGGTGCTGCCGATGATATGCAACGATACCAGCAGCTATGCTCACAGACAAGTCCGCACGATTTAGAATAGAGCGGCGAGCTACACACTTGTACATTTATATAGACATAGACGTATTATAAAGAATGCACTAGATCATTACTACACACGAATTTGTAAACTTTTTTCCTTCTTTGTAGTCTTCAAATATTTGAAGCCTAGATCCTTCGTTGCAACCCAATCGAAGTAGAAAAAGAAGAATCGATATCTGTGCATTATACCACGGTGCAAACTCTTACTATCTCTTTCGTTCTCCCTTTATTGCTTTCTTACGTCTTTCTTCTTTGAGTTGTACTTTGGATTGCTTCTGCTCCTTGGTCTTTTGCTGTTCTTCCTTCTTGGTTGTTGTCTTTTTGCTTCGTAGTTCTTGGGTACGTTCCACGTTGGCCGCGGCTGCCGCTTGTTTGTTGGTGACCACTCCAGCAACCTCTTCCTCTTCCTCATCTGGCATTTCATATCCGAAACGTTGCATGAGCGCCTTTTTTTGAGCATCGTCAACTTGTGATGACTTTGGAGCAGCCTGCTTTGGTTGTTGCTCGGCTTCTTTAATGGCAGCCTTGTTCTTTTCCGCGAGTTCTTGTTCTTTTTTCTGTGCTTCCAACTTTTTGGCATTCTTCTTTTCTTGATGAAATGTTTCATCTTGTTCAATTGCTTTCAGGACATCCTGGGAAAATGTTTCCCAAACACTATCCTCTAGCTCCTCCTCTTCACTCGAAGCCTTTAAGAGCTCCATCACATCTGGCAGCTCCTCTGCATCGCTTCCAACCACATAAGGACCGTAGGTTTCCGCATCTAAACCAAGTTCTATCAAACGTTCTTCTAGTAGTTTACACAGATTAGGCCTTTCTTCTTTGGTACTATCGTCCATGATGGATGCTGCAATAAGGGCAGTGTTGTTGTTTTTATATTGCGCTGAATGTATTTATATAAATACATCGCATGTAGTTTTTTTGGGGTTTGGCAAACAACAATGGGGGATTTGTGGCGATGCGTTTGGGGCAAGACGCGTCACCAAATTATCGTGGCATATATTTGTATTTGTATTTGATATTCACATATTCGAGCATTATATTGAATATATCATCAATCATATGAATCTCGGCATATAAGATGCGGTGACAACATACAGAAACATTCCAATAGAATAGCCAATCCTTGGTATAGCCACTCTATACGCAACAATTCATCTCAAGCATCTCTAGACCAGTAACGACATGTGGTGGAAAGGACCTTACTTCTTGCCCTTGGCGCTCTTTTCATTTTCCCCGGATAAGATTGCCACGTATTGGACCGGAGAGATTGCTTCTGACGAACGTATTATCTTTTTTCCAACTGCAGCCCATGAGTGGAACGACACGCATTATTCTGTGCCTTTGCATGGTTGGGTGATCGAGCCAGAAGAAGATAGCAAAAAGAGAAGAGTATTCATCAAGTTTCTATCGAAAACGCTTAAGGTTTCTGACCCTAAAGAAAAAGAGATTCTGAAACGAAGGGTATGTCGCATTGTGATATCTATGGTTCCCTGAGGTGGACGTGTTTTGGTACTGACGAGTTTCACTCTTCTTTCCGTTACTTAACATCTCCTCTCATGGTTTGCTAACATGTACTTTATGTACCTCTTGCCAATGCACAATCGCCATAACCGCATACAAATATGTACAAATCCTCAAAGATACGACCCTTTGTCTTCGACAATAAAAGCTCAAAGAGCCCCAAGATTGAATTGGGCGGACAGATATTCAAAATGCCCCGATCAGGAAAGAATGGTCATGTGTATGATACGCGACTGATACCCAAAGAAGAGTTCGAAAAGCATCTACTAGCAGAGGATGGTGGTTCCAGCAGCCAAGATGTAATAGAAGAAGAAGTCAAGTCTGTTTCCTACCATGCCTTTGACAGCAAATCACATCGGAATTTCAAAGGGAAGGTGTTCTGTGTACCGCCTACGGGGGTTTCTGTCATTTCGGACATTGACGATACCATCAAGGTGACGAATTCCATGAACAAGAAGGATCTTTTGAAAAACACATTTCTCAGAGAATTCAAAGCGGTGCCGGGCATGGCCAAACTGTATCAGCAATGGAAGTCGACGACCTACAAGAATTGTTTCTTCCACTTTGTGTCGGCGTCACCTTACCAACTTTATGAAGAGCTGAACGATTTCTGCCGTTCGGAAGGTTTTCCAGAGGCTCGAACCTTTCATCTCAAGACGATACGACCCAAGGACAAGACACTGTTGCAACTGTTTGCAGATCCAGTAGAGTACAAACGACAACATATTGAAGGCATCATACAGAAATATCCGAAACGTTCGTTTGTGTTGGTGGGGGATTCAGGGGAGAAGGATCCAGAGATTTATGCTGAAATTTATCGAAACTTTCCTAAGAATGTGGAAAGCGTTTGGATTCGAAATATCAACAACTGCACGATTGGCAGATTACAAGGTGTTCCGATCGACCGATGCCACTTTTTTGAAGATGGGAATGAGCTGCTAGGTCTTCCAGTAATGTAGAAAAGATGTAGCTAGTAGTATTAAAAAATATACGATACAAAGTACTTGAGAGAGTCTACCATACTGACTGTATTTTACAATACATCTCACCTGGATTGGCGTCACCAAATGTGGAAAGCGTTTGGATTCGAAATATCAACAACTGCACGATTGGCAGATTCAATGTGTTCCGATCGACCGATGCCACTTTTTTGAAGATGGGAATGAGCTTCTAGGTCTTCCAGAACTGTAGAAAATATGTAGCTAGCTAGTATTATAAAAAAATATACGACACAAGATACTTGAGAGAGTCTACCATACTGACTGTATTTTACGATACATCTCACCTGGATTGGCGTCACCAAAACACATCTGCTCGCTGGGAAACTGTCGGTACACGATTGCTGTTTAGAATCATGATTGTGGTGGATGATTAATACTCTTTTTATTTATTTAACGAGCAGCTGTTCGAATGTTCTTTTCCATAAACATCCGAAGCGAATTTTGTTAGAGCTGTTAAGGTCCTCACGTGGTTACCATCTGCCCTTGGTGCCATACTTAACAACTGTCACCTGGTGGGTTCATTTCTGCAAGAAGACGTGTAGCACGTCCAGCTGATGGTCTCTTTACAAACAACCTTGCATGAAACTGAAATGAAAACAAAAGAAACAAAGAGAGATTAAGCAGGACAAACAATGAGAAAGAGATAGACAACACTGTCAACAATAATAAGAGCATAAGATAATGAGTGAACCAGAGGATAGCACGAGGAAAAAAGGCAGAACGAAGGTCTCGGCAGCGTCCGCAGGCAGTCGTGGGGACGCAACCACCATCAAAAAGTCAACTGGCACAAGATCGTCCACATCTTCGTCCACTCCTTCCACAGCTCCTTCCACTTCTTCTTCTTCCACGTCTTCAGACAATTCGAGACGTGGATCCAAGCGATCAAATGAAGATCCTGCACAAGAGGGGTCTCAGCCGAAGAATCAACTGAACCTGCTCGCGTCCGTCTCGATGGGAAGGAAGGTGAATGGTGCAGAGCAAGGTGGAAGCGATTCTGGAGTCTCCGATGAGCAAGACTCTCAAGACATACCCAAGAGAACACTACATCAAGAAAGAGAATCAACTCTGTCAGGCCAAAAGCAGCTTCAGCAGATACCGAATGTTGCGGCAGCGCCACCGGAAAATCAGATGGCTCGGCGAACCTCAGATGAAAAAGACACTCAAGACGTACCCAATGAACCACAACACCAAGACAGAGAAGCTGCTCAGTCGTCAAGTCAACAGCCGCTTCAGCAGACGACGCCAAATGTTGCGGGGTTACCGCCAGAAGTGGAACAGATGGCTCACCGAATCATACTTGAAGCGTTGCAGATCATCATGAACCAGCCGTCCGATTCGAGCCAACCACCACATATGATGCTGATTCGGCAGCTAGCTCAACATCTTGCCAACGCAGGAAACACCATAGTTCCGCCTCAACCTTTTGAGACACGTTTATCTGGAAGGAGCGCGGCTGAGATGTACTTGGCCCAACTGTCCCGAAATGGTAACTATCAGAACTCAGCAGTTGCATTAAACTCCATACAGCAACTTCAGCAACTGATGATGCAGCAACAGTATCCTGGTAGCACTTCCAATCCTCCGTCATACAATCCATTTGCAAATGTTGCAGCACTCCTCCAACAACAGAATCAGCTCCAACTACAGAATCAGTTATCATCACTCCTGGCAATGAGCCAGTACACAAATCCAGGACTACTATCAGCAGCAGCAGCAGCTCAAGACCCGAGACCTGCCTCGAACATTTCAATAGCAGCAGCTGCTCAAAACCTGGTGAATCCATTAGCTGCCATGTTGAATCATCCTGGTGTTGCTGCTGATGGTACCACTGCAACGAGTGCTACTACAAGTACTACTGGTAGTGTGCTACCCGCATCCGCAGCATCAGCATCCGCCGTGGCAGGAGAAAGCCAGCAGCAGCAGCAGCGGCGCGATCGAATCAATTTCATCTTTGAACCTACCGGTCGCCCATCACTCCCTTTGGCGACTGACTCTGATGAAGCCAACTTGGCACCGTATCAGTGTCTTTTGCGACAACAGATTGAACTCTTTGAAACCAGAGAAGATGACATTTACCTCAAGGCCCAAGGTCGGAACACTCCGATTCGGGTAGGTCAGGTCGGCATCCGATGTCGCCATTGTGCGGCCATGGGCCGGTCGAAGCGTGTCGAAGGGAGTGCCGTTCTATACTCCAAGTCTCTGAATGGGATATATCAGGTGGCCCTGAATATGGGCCGACTGCACTTTTTGAACAATAGTTGCCCCATGATCCCCGAATCTACCAAGAAAAAGTTGAATGAATTGAAAGAACTACCGCGCAAGGTAGCACGGGGAAGACAGTATTGGAAGGAAAACTTGGAAGCACAGGGTGTGCTGGAAGAACAAGAATATCTTCGATTCAAACCACTTTGATCGTCGGAAAAGGGATGCTCCTTTGATTGATTCATGGATTGATTGATTCACAAACAACATGGGCCAGACTGATCATCATCGATTTCAACAATACAAACTATCATGTCTAGGATAAAAATACTAATTTTAATCCTGACTCCAATCATTGATGGCTATTAATATTAGTTTTCATCCACGAATGAGATCGCTGCTTTTGTAATTTTCTATTGATTCGCAATGGGCCTAATCATCATCATCCTCAACGATTTCAGCAATGCTAATGGTATACTTTCACAAAAGTCACACTTAAGAAACACAGTACTGGATGAAAAGGATACTGCACAAATCTAAATATTGCATGATGCAAACAACAATAAGAACTACTGACTCATATCATAATTGATGGATTATTATTATAGTCCTAGTAGGTACGTAATTCTGATTGATATATGTGTAATAGAAAGCAACTAAATCCTACTACCCTCAAAGAGAGATGTTTAGGAGATTCCAGCCAAGAGGAGCAAGACCAACAAGACGGAAAGTCCCGCCACAGTCAATTGCAACCTCCAGACGGATTTGTCCTCTTGGAGTTGTGCAGCTCGTCTGGTTTCCGCTTCGAGTCCCGCATGGGCCGAATCCAGGTTGGATTCCATGTCATTCAACAAATTGACATGCATCCGAGCTTCGTCTCCAATCACTTGAGTTTGATCGCGTAATCTTGAAACTCCAATTGCCAATTCATCAATCATGTCGTCCTGTCGATTAATGGCATCCTGCATCAACGATTGTTGTTGTTGTTGTTGCGGTGGTTGGGCTGCTCCTCCTCCTTGTTGCGGAGGATTGTAACCCGCACCAGCAGCGCCAGCACCGTTAGTCTTTAGACCTTGTATGAGACGACGGCGACGTTGAACCTCGGCAGCTGGAAGAGGCAAAGAGATCAACGCTGCGTCAAGTCGTGACAAGTGTTGATTCAATTGCTGCGGATCTGCACTTCCGGAAGACTGAAGACCTTGGGTTCTCATTTGAGAGGAGACGCGGGCAAGGCGGGCATATTCATTGTCCCATTCGGCAACTGACGCCATTGGCATTGTTATACTTCAGTTGGATGGAGTTGGATGGAGTTGGATAGAGTGATAGAGGACAATGAAAGCTGCCTTTTTGTTTCCTTGTTCTTTGCGGATACCGGAACAACGAACGCTGCTGGAATGTTTCGATTATCTTCATTGCTTTTTGCACGCAGGCCATGACCCTTGGCCGGCGATTTCGAAAAAAGTCAACTGACAGGTCGAAGGGGTCCAACTTTTGTCCGACATTGTCCGTTTTACAAGAATTCGTATCAATATTCTCACATGCATGCGTGTCGAAGATATTGCGCATTCTTTTCTCATTGTTTGTCCCATGATCATTGTCAACATGCCTTTCTGTATTTCCTTGATATTATCCCTTTCACTCATTATCAGAGAAGCAAACTCCTTTCAAAGCAGCTGCAATAATCTCAAGACGACGACAACGACAAGGCATCGGCATCATCACGCAAGAACAATAAGTCATGTATTGTTTGCGTCATCCAACAACAGCAACAACCAAGACATTTTTGCCAATGAAACTCCCGAAGAACGCGAACAGCGCATGAAACTTGTCCGACAAATACAGGGAACTTTTTATCAGCAATCGGCAGAAGAGGTCGACGATCACGACTCTGCTGCTGCTCCCCGACCTGCTGATCTAGTATTATCGGAAGCCTCCGAGAATGGTGTCTTTACCAGTGTGCCACTCTTTCGAGTCCAATGGACGGAATTGCCCGGATATCAGAACATTCTCAATATTCACGTGCCTCATTACACGCACATGTTTCGCAAAATCATGGCGGGCCCAAAGCCTTGGAGGTTTGGACATTTGTTGCTCGAGGGAGGTTCGGAAAATTTGAGCAATCCAAAGTACGCGCTCCACGAAGGAACGGATGCGACGTTGGTCGGAACCCTCATGCAAATATCGGATGTCTTTGAACAAGAGGATGGACGATTGGCCATGATTGTCCAAGGCGTCGAAAAGATCAAGGTGGTGAAATCCATCCAAAGTGAACCCTTTGCCATGGCAGACATTCAACTCTTGCCCGACGACGAAGTGGCCCGAGACTTGTCGTCCAAAAATTCCAAGGAATCTCCGTTTGCCAAGTGCGCCACGGATTTGGACGAATGGAATCAATGGGAAATATTGCCAACGATGTGGGACAATAAAGAGAATGGCCTCCAACCCATTTCACCGCTGTCCAATTACAATTCGCAATACTTTCCCGATGAAGTGGGTTTTGGCACCGCCACCAGAACAAATGAAGAATCATCATCATCATCATCATCATCATCATCATCATCATCACCACAAACACAGCAACAAGACGCAATGGAAGAAATGGAACGAAAGGTATGGATTGCCTTGGATGAAATGATTCGATTGATGCAAGCAGCGGTCAGTGGAAATGTTCCAATTCCCTCCCAGCTCTTGGGCCTCCTCCCCACCCAACAAACAGTCGATTGGCCACAAGGCTTTCAGCTGGATTCCTATGCCTCTCAATTGGAAGCCAAGAATGCCAAGATTGGTACCTACACCAAAACTCCCTTTGTCCGAGTCAGCCTGTGCGAGTCCTATCCCTCCATCCGACGGGCCAATCGATTGAGCTATGCCGTTTGGATTTTGTTGAACACCTTGCTGGCCAATGTCGGTGCGAAGGGATATCCGACTCCGCAAGAATTGTTGGAACTTGACAGTACTGCCGAACGATTGGAATTGGCTTGCACTCATTTGGAGAGCATCAATACGGTACTTCGGCGGTCATCATGAGAATAAGAAGAAGAAAAAGAAGTATACAAGACTGCGCGTCCGAATCAATCAATCATGGTCAATCATCGAACCGACTAGGTTTTGCTGCTTGTCACGATGATAATGGCAAAGCAACAACCAAGCTACCACAGTTGGGCTTAGGATAACCCAATTAAAAGTTGCTGAAGCGTACTGGCACTATAGTCCGCTTTGTTTTTCGACATTATACCTCGAACAATAAAATGATTTAGAAAAGTAGTTGAAATGGGCGTCAGATAGATTGTCTTTTGCTTTTCACTGTTACTACGGGTATACGGATATACCTGGTATCATGATTGTGAGAGAACCTTATTTTTCCGATTATAGCTTTTTCAGTCATTTGGAAAGTACATACGTACTGTATTATAGAGTATGGGCAGCATATCGTGTTGTACATCGGCCAGTCTGCCACATGACACGAGCTGGAACAGTACAGTGCGTTTGCTTGCACTATATGGCCGCAGTGTGCGAAATCTCATCCCCAAAGCAAAACTGGACACAATGTTGGCACATCAATAAAACTTTTTGATTGTCAGACACTATGATCAAGCGGTGAAAGTAGGCACACCGGATTTTCTTCTCTGTACAGTATAATATTTAGCCTCGTACATGGTCCGAGAAATGGTTTCACCATGTTGCAACCATTATTTCCATGTCGTCCTTGGACAGCACACGTCGTGTTCTCGAAAGAATATATGTATCCCTTAACGCTTTAGACGATATAATATATCGGATAAAAAAAAATTCCACACATTTCACGCAATAACTTCCGTCACGTACAAATACACCTTTTACTGCCATCAATAAGTTTATTGCCAGTGAAATAAGGAATTCATCGGTATGCTACATGTTATATCTCAGCCCATCACAGAAACAAGGATGAACCTCCGAAGTCGGACAGACCCATTTGCCCCAAAACTGACACCAACACAAAACTGTCTCGTCAGGTCATGAAGACGGCATATTCTTCCACCCTACCATTTGCCATTGATATGTATTATCACAATGGCACTTCTCGGCCCTATCAGAAGGTGCAATAGGCATGGGAGAGGACCATGCGGCTCAATTTGGTGGTCTGATGGACCAAAAAAATCTGAGTATGTTGCTCGTCATCCCGAATGTAAATAGTCATGCAAGACAAAGGCCAGCACCTTCAAGGGTGAAGGATAGTCATTCGAAAGTGATTCTAGTGTTGATTGCAGTGTGTAACTGTATTTTCATGGCTGTCAATCCTGCAAAGTAGGCTGTTGGCAATTGCGTTGTGGCAGAGTTACATGGCCAACGCATTATGTGACAATATACCAAGCGGAGCACCAATGAAGACGTTTAGAATGATTGCCACATCTAAGCCATGGCTTCCTGCGCCTAGATTCAGTAGAAAACAGTAAAAGCACACTGTTGCTATCAAGAAAGGAAATGAGCAACTCCATGTGGCCGATTTCGCTTATCAGAAGGCTCTGGAGAAGCAAAATGGAGCTACAGCGACAACTAAGCTTACTGTACCTGCTAGGAAGTATTCATATTTAGATTTGTCCCTTTGTAATGATCATTTTAATGCTTATTATTGTAGTAGTATGGTGTAAATAGTAGTGCGTAATTTTTTTTATATCCGATATAATATATCGGATAAAATCGAAGCGTTAAGGGATATATACCGGTAGCCCTAGAGCCAACAAAGCAGATCCTCTTTGTCTTTGGCATTGAGATTTGCCTTTTTGCACAGACAAGTGACCTTTTTCAGCTGGCAGTGCAATTGGCTGCCTTGCTCCTTGAGGTACGGGTTGGCCCTATAGGTTTGGTGGAACGATTGATAGCACGTCCCTTTTTGGATTCAGTCATAAGTGGGTCATGAAGCTTCCATTTCCATTTCCATGCATGAGAAAAAAAGTGGTTGTGAAATGCTGTCCTGTTTTTAAGTTGATGCCTCCTTTTTTATATAAAAGTATAATCGTTGTAGAATGAACGTGTGCATACGGGGAAATGACCAAACCGTTTTTTGCGAGACCGTTTGGGATCCTCATCGAGGAAGTGGAAATCCATTTTCCGATTTTTGCTTCTATTTTGTTGAGTTTGGTGGTCATGGATTATATGGCGCATGTTGCTGTTTGGGACTATTTGATCTGTTTATGATGCATATTCATATTGGTATTACCGATGATGACAGCGATGTCAGATGTACGAATCAAAAGTACGTTTGTACGCTACAGTACATATGTGATGTGTAGTTTTGATTTGATTACCACGACTAATGAAAAAGGTATGACAATAAAGTGTTATTCTGATCCATTCATTGGCAATGGTTAAAATCTACTGTTAGAGTCCAGAGAAACAACCCCATCTATACCAGCCGATGTAATCACTGGACAATAAAGTTCACGCAGCCACAGCAGCCACCAGGCCAGCACCAGGAGCAGGGGAGACCCAATGAGTGAGTCATTACTATTCTTGCGGTGGTTTGTTTTCGTCGTTGCTACTACTTGTTTATATGTGAATAACGTGCCGGTATCTTTTGGAATCTTCCAGAGTCGCAAAGTTTTTCCCAGAGACATCTGCTGGTTTGGCTACTGTATGTGATAGCGTCTGCAGGAGGACGGAACCACACCTCGGCCACTCACCAGCCACGAAACTTGTTTTTCTGATCATGCTGAATCATGAACCTCGCTCAAAATGATCGGAAGCAAGTTGCTACTAGAGTTCAGTTATGTATGTACAGTTGCCAGATAGACAAACCTGTTTCTACTCTGGCGCGCAATTTTGTATCTGGGGTATCTCCGAAAGTGTCCCCCCAGCCTTCTTCTCCACCTTGCTGCGGCAATAATGTATTTCGAGCCATCTCTGGAAGTGTCCCAGATACCTATCTGGCGAGCGTTTTATGCAATCGGAACCGCTCTTCGGCTACTACTGAGCACCAGTAGCAATTTATTTCCGACCAAGTTCTTGAGGAGGCTCATGTCGGCAGATATTTCGAAAAGTCAAAAAGCTTTTTTTCTTCGGAAGCACTGGAACTGCTGCTTTGTGCGCATCAGAAGTTCTGGTTTTTTTCCTTAAGTTTTGTCGGCATTTTCAGCTCTACTATGGTCGATTAACCGTCACCCACATCATACTAAAAATATTATTTATGATTTTGGACTGTCGCATTTCTCTCTTGTATGATCCTTTCTGTTCTTATTCTGGTCCGCGGTTATCCGCTTTCAATTTCTCCATGGCACAAACAATAAAAAGAATGAAAATAGACATTTTACTGGCATATTGGCAATGTCACCAGACAGTTTTTTGGCTCGGACTTTATGTAAAATACTTCGTGTGGCGGTCAAATGGTTTCACCAGATTGAACAAACGCATAATATTTCTCTCGAATATGCCTTCGCTCATGACTTCACTGTGATTGAAAGTATGGGGAGTTATCTCCGCGTGCATAGGTACAGTACCTGGTAGTTGAACACTAAATTCGATCACAAAAGGGTCATTGCGACTTCCACTTTTTCGAGACAAACTTGTAATTTCGCTCATAAAAATTTTGAAGCAAGAAAATCAAAAGGATGATTTCGAAAATGAATCTTCTCGTTTCGTTGCTCTGCATCTTGGCACTGATGATCGGATCGGCTTCCAGCAGTGACCTCCAGTGCACCCATGGCGCCCGAGAGGTGCTCGTTTCCTCTGGAAGCTACGAAAAAAGCAAGGGTTCTACAAAGGGCTCATTGTCTACCAAGGGCGTTACCAAGGGTTCCACCAAGGGTTCCACCAAGGGTTCCACCAAGGGCTCGTCCACCAAGGGTTCTACCAAGGGTTCTACCAAGGGTTCCACCAAGGGTTCTACCAAGGGTTCCACCAAGGGCTCGTCCACCAAGGGCGTTACCAAGGGTTCCACCAAGGGTTCCACCAAGGGTTCCACCAAGGGTTCTACCAAGGGTTCCACCAAGGGTTCCACCAAGGGTTCTACCAAGGGTTCCACCAAGGGTGCCTCCAAGACTGCCTCCAAGACTGCCTCCAAACCTGCCCCTAAACCTGCCCCTAAACCTGCCTCCAAACCTGCCGCCAAGAAAGCAAAGAGGCGAGCTCTGGGTGATGCCAAGGGGTCGAGTACCAAGGGTGCTTCCAAGGGATCGTCTACCAAGGGATCATCTACCAAAGGTTCGTCTACCAAGGGATCATCTACCAAGGGTTCGTCTACCAAGGGTTCGTCTACCAAGGGTTCGTCTACCAAGGGATCATCTACCAAGGGTTCATCTACCAAGGGCTCCAACAACGGATTGTCTTGTCCCTCAAGGTTTGGTAACGGTGAGGGTACCTCCAAGGCTACCAAGGGTTTATCTACCAAGAGCGCTACAAAGGGTTCCAACAAGAGTTCCACCAAGGGTTCATCTACTAAGGGTTCGTCTACCAAGGGTGCTTCAAAGAGTTCTTCGAAGGGCTCGTCTACCAAGGGTTCATCTACCAAGGGCGCTTCAAAGAGTTCCTCCAACAGTTCCAAGAAGCGAGCTCTCAGACAGCTTGCTTTTAAGGGTTCTTCCAAGGGATCGAAGGGCTCCAAGGGTTCTTCCAAGGGATCGAAGGGCTCCAAGGGTTCTTCCAAGGGATCGAAGGGCTCCAAGGGTTCTTCCAAGGGATCGAAGGGCTCCAAGGGCTCTTCCAAGGGATCGAAGGGCTCCAAGGGCTCTTCCAAGGGATCGAAGGGCTCCAAGGGCTCTAAGGGGTCCAGTAAGGGTTCTGATTCTTGCGATTGGGGAAGCATTTTGGACATTGTTCCACAACAAAGTCCAGTTGATGTTACCACTGTTGCATCTGACGGTTCGTCCGTTACATTCCAAGTCACCCAAAGCTTTTCTTCGTCCATGATGTCTGGAATGGCAGTTCTCTTCGGTTCCGACGAAGAACAAAACGTATGCGATGTCACCAGCAACGTCGATGCTGATTGGGTGAGCCAGGAATATACAGCCTATTGCAATGCTTGTGGAATTGCGGAAGTCAAGATCTTCTTGTTTTGCGACGAGGTTGCCACCGAAGGCGACTACTGTCCCGGAGACTCCAACGACTTCTATGAGTACACCTTCGAACTCGAGTGCAAGCCAATCTGCACTCCAACAAGTGCACCTTTTGAACTTCCTGATGTTCCAACTGCATCACCTGTAAATGAACCTACTTCAGAAGCAGGACAACCTACACCTACAACAACAACAATACAAGCATCACCACCAACTCCAGGTAGCTTGGGAGATCCTCATTGTAAGTAACTATTCACTCTTCGCATTCCTGGTGCGCTAATATGCTGACTCACCTGTATCCTCTCCTTTCCTATTGCAGTCAAGACTTGGATGAATGAACATTATGAGTACCATGGACAGTGCGACCTGGTCCTAACAAAAGATCCAACTTTTGCCGATGGCCTTGGTCTCGACATCCAGATTCGTACCAAGTTGGTTCGCTTCTGGAGCTACATTAAAAGTGTCGCAATCCGCGTCGACAATGACATCTTCGAAGTACAAGGAGGGACTTCACACGACCCTAATTACTGGATCAACTTGGAGCGCGATGGTCCATTGACCACGATCGGTGGCTTTCCAGTGAGCATTGCCAGTTTCGTTCGTCCTACCAAGGGGATGCAAAAGGTTACTTACGAGATCGACTTGAGCGCCAAGTATCCCGGACACATGATTGTAATTTCAACTTTCAAAGAGTTCGTCAAGGTTGAATTCGTCAACGCATCAGACGAAGCTTTTGGCAATACTGTTGGTATGCTTGGAGACTACAAGACAGGTAATACACTCGCAAGAGACGGAAAGACTGTCCTGGACAATTTCCGAACGCTTGGAAACGAATGGCAAGTACAGCCATCGGAACCTATGCTTTTCCATTCCACAGAACAACCACAGTTCCCTCAGAAGTGCATCGAGCCAGAGGCCGCACGCGGAGATCGACTCCGTCGCCGCCGTCTTGGTGAGACTACCGTTACCGAAGAAGATGCCGAGAAAGCGTGCTCCAGACTGACAGACCCGCTTGATCGTAAAGACTGTGTCTATGACATCTTGGCCACCCAAGACATGGATATGATCGGAGCATTCTAAGCCGGATAGATTCCATTAAATCACATTATATAATAAACTCAAGAATCCTTCCACTCTTCTTCTCCCAATTCGGATCCTGCATTATCTCACAGCCCTCGTTTGTTCCGCTGTGTATGTGCTACATCTGACTCCTACTTTCCAGCTAGGCTATCCTTAGTTTGCGTGGTCTGACACTTTATGTACACCACGTCAAAGCAACAAAAGACGAGTCGCTATCATCGAACACTTTAAAGATCAGTTGTTGCATCTTTCATTTGGAATTAATTCGAGGACATGATGCTTGAGAGGAGCAGGAGGAGTGGCACGGGCTTGCTAACACTTTTCCTTATGGCTACAATCAGACTAGCTTTTTCGAAAAGTCTTAGATGATAATCTTATACTGATAACGTTATCTTTTATCACCGTCTTCCAAATCTTCCTTCAAATGTTCCCAGCAATGATCGTGACGTTCATAAGATCAAAAGATTACCTCGCTGCTATTACATATGAGTTACTGCAGCTGATGCGATTCCTTGAGTATCGGTAAGTTCAAAATTCCAGTGATGGATGCCCTTCTTGATGGCCGGTACAGACTTTGCTCGGCAGTGATGGATGCGAAGCGTGAAGCATGTTGCAGGCCTTCATCGTTGAAACCAGCATTCCTCGTAGAATCTTTTGCTAAGGCAGTGACCCATTTTGAAGTTGCGCTGCTGTCGATAGCGTTACAGGACTTGACAGATCTCGTAAGGGCCTCAGCCTGGTGCGCTTCGCGCCTTCTGAGACGAACGCAAGAGGGGCTTCGAATGCGATCGTCGACAATGCTTGTGATTTCCTTGTCTCTGAAATTGGATCGTAGAAAGCTGGACAAGGCTGGTGATGCCTGTGGCGATGATTCCGTGAACGGGGGTGTCATGATTGTTGATTGAGTGCTTCTTTTTATTGTCCTGATTTCAAATTCAGGAAAAATGTGCTGCAATGAACAAGTTCTCGTTTGTTAGCGGCACTATTCCGAAGTCCTTTCTTCCAGCTTCACTTTGTCGCGGTAAAAGTTCCGTAGTCTTCCATCGAATTGCTTTGCGCTCCCAATATTTCCACGTTTCCTAACTGGGTTGAAATTCGCGGAGAAAGAAAACCTTATTTGTTTTGTTCACAGAACCAAGTAAAATTCACCGGCAATAAGTTGAGGATGCTCCTAAAATACTACGTACACTGTATTTTATACCTGGTAAACTCGGAAGGAAAGCAAAATTTCGAAAATACAACTTTTGACGAACGGAAGCAAAATTATGAATTATTTTGAATAGCGCACTGATTCTAGCTTTGCGTTTATCAGGCTTCTTCGACGAGGGTTTCATCGACGGTGTCGCCATCGAAGTGTTCTGGCTGCTCTCCTGCCCAGAGCGTCCATGATTGGACATATGTTGGTTTTCTCTTGTTGGAATGATTGGATAATCCAGCTAAAGCAACTTCCAAAGTCGCTTCGTCCCCTTCGCTCCGTGCGCTCCGGTCGTTTCTGGATTCGTCAGCAGTAACTTCGTCTCTAGATTCTCTCCCTGATTTTCCGAGACGACAATACGCGATGACACATGCAACGACGAGAACAATCCCCATTCCGAGAAGTGCCCACATCTTGGAAATGCGTAGTTCTGGTTCTTCATCCGGTGCTGGGATGATTTCAGCGGAACTAACGGCGGACGACGTAGTGGGGTCAGAACAGTCGCATCCTCTGGATTGTGCTGACTGTGCAAGGGATCGACATGCCAAAGGAGTTGCATAGAAATTTCTGTATTGAGCGTCCAGAAACGCGCAAGAAACTTCGTTACCGGAAGAGAATATAGCATTCTGAGATGGATCTGCCAAGGTCCCGCTGAAGCAGACGCCAGGACAGTACACGCCAATGTCTTCCTCGTCTGTTGGCGCTGAGGTTGGGACTAGCGTATCGCTTTTTGTTGGAGCCTCCGACATTGTTGGTGTCATGGATGGATATGATGATGGATGTGCGGAAGGTCCCGTAGATGCTGTAACTGTGGGCGATTGAGATGGTCGCAATGAAGGGCTGAATGACGGGGCAACCGAAGCAGTGTCGGTTGGCGATTCTGTAGGACCCATAGACGGTCTTGCGGATGGGCCTGCTGATGGTACAATTGTCGGTGTCGAGGAAGGCATCAGACCGCTCTCTGAAAAGATGACGGTTTCTTGTTTTCCAAACTTGCCATCCGAGCTATGAATGACAACACTATCGAACCAGAGTTGATACCATCCTGGTCCATACTGGCAACAAATACCATCCCCAAAGGAATCCGTAATGGTAAAGCTGTAGGTATCCGCAGGAAGACATTCTTGGACTTCAAGAAGTTGGTTGTTTGGGTACCTTCCACCTTGTAGTACGATTTCGTCGTTGCTGTCCTTGAGCTCCCAAATGACTTCATCTCCGACGTAGTCTGTCTGAATCACAAAGGTGAATTCATGAAGACCACGCTGGTCACATGGTGTTTCGGTAGGCGATGGGGTTGGCGCTACCGTTATTGTCGGCGCCAACGAAGGAGCAGTAGTCGGGCGCATGGTTGGAGCATCCGTGGGCTGTAGCAATGGACATATCCTTGTGGTCTTGTCCTTGTTGAATTCGAATTTGGTCCAGCCGAGTTTTGGAACATTACCTTCTGGGAGATCAAGAGAATATCTCTTGTCGGGTGTAAATGCAAATGATTCAACTTGGCCAGAGGAAGGATGGGAGAAATCGAGACAAGGCTTGGCATTCGCGCTTGGGTTCACAAGAGCATCTTTGACCGATTGTCCAGGACATCTCAAAAAGACAAATGATCGGACACTGTTTCCCAATCCAATCAGAGTTCCATCAAAACTCATTTCAGCGTTTGTCCAAGTGAACTTCATGAAATGGTCTGAGCCGTTCCGTTGATAACTGTCGTAGTTGGTGATACCAATGGATCGAACGGAATGCTGTCGTGTGGAACCATTAAAGTTGGGGGCCCATACGCTGGCAGGTATCCGGAATAGTCGATTTTTGGATCTTTCGTTTCCCTTGTCCCATTTGGTGGCTAAGTATATATCTGCAGGTTATTGAATCATGATCAATGATAGGTGAGAATTGTAATATGAAAACACGAGGAACTAGATCAAGTACAGTAGGTAACAAGAAAACAATAAGTTTCGTACCTCCAATTTCAGCACCACCTCCCCAACCAGTGTGATCCAGAAACATAGCTTCGCAATCCGCATTATTGGTTGGAGAGGAAGAATGTCGATAGTCGAATTGTAGCCTTGATGTCCTGCTTCTTGGGATTTGGTCGTTGTCCCGGTACTCATTTATTCGAGGCTCTTTGATTTTCAAAATTTGATAATTGTTTCGCCCTTCACGGCCACCTGTTTGTCGGGCCTTGTTGTCACCAGCATCCATAACATATAAGCAACTGTCGTTGACGCCGCTTTTCCCACATGATCCAATCGTCAAAGATTCCCAATCTCTGTTTGGAAAGAACCCTTTGTCAAGCCTGAGTGTCCTTAATCTTCGACCGTTTCCGGAATCAAAGATTCCTATCCGAGCATCGCCACCACCATCACTGACGGCATAGAATATTGGATTGCCATTTACTTTTTGCGTTGGTGAAAAGGCAATTCCACTAACCTCCTTAAAGTCTGGACCATTTGGGTCATTGCTTTCCAATCGGGCCGTGGTGTAGGCATTCTGGACCACAGGACACATCGGTGGTTGAGCCTTGGAAGGTTCCAGGAGCAGTGCCAGTAGGATGGAGGCACAAAGTATTAGACGTCGTTTCATCATTCTCTGTATTGGCATTCTATTTTGTGTGTGTGTTCTGTTTTATGTGATGAATCAGAAGTCCGATGGTATGACTGTAATCCAGGATCAAGCTGATGGTATTGGCCATCACTTTCTCATTTGTGTGTGACAAATCGGTAATCTCAGGAAATTTCCTCGGTAGCATTTTTTCCAGCCCTAACATTAAATGTTACCGTACTGTCCCATCCGTTGAATCCCCCACCCGCTCGCTGATTAAGAGCCGGCAGTTATTCGTGGGTTTGGTATTATATGTGTTCGTTCATACTGGTGGCGCTAACTTTCACGTCCAGCACGTGCATGCGTGTTGCATCCTACGATTCTGTGGCGAACTTCTGATTACATAAGCGAAGCGAAGACTTGTGGAGTATCAATGAGAATTGTTGGATGACTTTTGATATCCATGTTCTTTGGCTTCTTGTTGTTTGTTCCTTTGCATGGGAGCTTTGCTTCTTATCAAATTATAATGGCTTGCTTCGATGCAGTAACTAGTAAGTGTATTTTCCTTCCCCTATCATTGACAAGCAAATCGTGACCTTGGATTTGCTACTTGTTGAATCTTTCGTTTTAGAGATGAAGCCAATCGCGATGGACGACCAGTCATACGCTCCACTGACATTTTTCTTGTTTAAAATCTGGCGAGACAATGATGGCGAATTAAAAACATCTTTGCCACTAAAACCACCATCTACATTTTCTTTTCTTCCATTTGCGATTGGAGTCTCATGCATGCATGTGCAATATTATGTGTAATGGAACAGGCTGTGTGGGACAAAGCAGCAGCGATCAATCCAAGTAAGACTGACTGGCTCCTCACTCATCAATACTCATCTTGCCTTGTTAGGTTTATACAATATCATCAGACCAACCAACAGCAGCCCACCAAGAAATTTCGTCCTAATTTTTTAAAAGCATTGGTGATCTGGGCCACATACCGGTACCAGGTTCCGCAGAAAGCACAACATACTGTAGTCTTTTGATAGTCATCTCTAAATTTTGGAGCGGGGTCCCTTCGATATGAAAGCCCCCCCCCCCTCATTTCAAAATTAGAATAGATACAACTCAGAACTGGATGGAACAATTCGACCCAATTGTAGGATGGACCCACAGACACCGATTGAGATTGAGATTCAGATACGAAAGTTGAAGGATCCAAGTGCAAGATACGTTTGTCAAGTTCAACCAAGTTCAACCAAGTTCAACCAAGTTCAACATCTGGTTTTCACCACCCCACACGACAACACAAACCCGTCAACGACAGTACATTACAGTTCCAACCCAACAATCGAAAATGAAGACTGCCATCCTTGCCTCCCTTGTCGCCACAGCCGCTGCCTTTGCTCCTGCCAAGCAAGCTGCCCAAACTAGTAGCTCTCTTTCTGCGTTCCAAAACGAGATTGGTGCCCAAATGCCTCTTGGATTCTTTGATCCTCTTGGCCTCGTTCAAGATGGAGACAAGGCTAACTTTGACAGATTGCGTGAAGTTGAGGTTCGTCACGGACGATGCGCCATGCTTGCCGTCGTTGGTTGGTTGACCACTGCCGCCGGTGTCCGCCTTCCAGGTATGGAGGAAGTCGGTGCTGGCTTCAAGGCCCTAGACATGAGCGGCCTTTCCACTGAAGTCAAGGGAACTCTTCCTTTGACTTTGGGAACTGTCTTCCTTTTGACAGTTGCCATGAACGACCAAGACGGAACCTCTGAATTTCCAGGTGACTACCGCAACGGATTTGTCGACTTTGGATGGGACAAGCAGTCCGATTCTTGGAAGGAAAGAAAGCGTGCCATTGAATTGAACAATGGACGTGCCGCGCAAATGGGAATCTTGGGCATCATGGTTCACGAGCAACTCGGAAACTTGGCCTCAATTGGCCTTCCCCAACCTTAAGTTTGTACAGCTTTTCACATCTCCTTTTTTTCTCCTAAGCAAAAAATAGAACAGTATTATAGTTTTGACTTATTACATTTGGATTTCCAACTTTCAGTGTGATTGCGATAGATGATGCTCTCGTCATCTTGGTGGAATGAATCAAACAATCAATCATTCGAAAACGCTGCACTGGTCATTTGATCGATACCTTCATATCATTTTTGCAAGTTATGTGGCAGCAAGAAATTAATAGATGTCAGCTGCGAATTTATAAAAGCGGTCACCACTACTAGGACCAAGGTTGATTGCAAAAGTGTATTTTGCCTTTCTATTTGATTTCCACAATCAAAACGGGCTTGTCAACAAAGCAGCCTTGGGTATAGCCATCCAATATCGTTTCCAGCTGAACGAAATCGACAAAACTTCGCAAACTCTGCAGCCAATACAGAACAGGTCCAGGTCCACCCCCATCTTCTAATGTTATGTTGATTGTCAAATTCCTCCCACCAGATTGACAGTGACTCGCTCTTTTGAGACTCCGGAAAATTAGCCACATATCAAGCTACTGTACTAATTGCCATTCGCATTACTTCTGTTGTTCTTTTCGGCCATCTAGATTGTCACGGATAAGGATAAATGTGTCTCAGATCGATCCCAATGAAGTGTTGCATTCAATGAAAAGTTTTCGGATGTTCATCTGAGAATAGTTTCTTGTCGCCAGCAAGGAGTGACGCTTTCAGAGCGCCAGGTAGGTAGAAAGCTCTGTGGAGAGCACATTCAACTTTCTAGTCGCCGCCACGATCTAGGTATGCAGGAATTGAAAGCAGTGCGGCGTGGTTCGTGAGCACCTTCACTCTGTCTCGATTTCACGGAAGTGCCTCCCATATCGATAGCGTCAACCATCTGATGGTCCCTGCCTGTTGCCTGGATTACTCGAACAAGTCTGTGCTGCTGTGCTGCTCAGCTGCTCAGATGGGGACTTGAGCCGAAAGTCTATGTATGACATGCGCGCTTTCAATCTGCCTCGATTCATGGAAGTTTCCTCCAGAATCTGATGATCCTACTGCTGGTGCATGCAATCCCCGAAAAAGTCTTTGTCACTTGAATTGCAGGTACCAGCAGTCGCACCAGGCCGAAGTATCCCGAACGGCTGGTATATTATATTTGCGAATGAACCTGTTATCACTGTTATTGCAATGGCAGATATTATATTTACCGAGCGAGAGGGTGTTCATTGACTGACTAACGCGCATCGGACCCGCTTTCAGCCCGCTTCTTCAAGCGACAGAAGACTGATGATTCTCCGACATACCGGTAGGTGACAGGCAATGCCATACAGTATAAGCTTCGCCTGCAAAACCCATCGTCATTGGATGGTGAAGAATGAATCAATCAATCTTTGACATTGGGAAGAAGAAATGGGACCAGTTCCCATGAAACAGAAACTAAAACCGGAATGGTCTTGGCAGGACCGCATTGTCGTCTCCCTCCTCTTTGCGATTTTAGTGGTCCTGCCTTTTCATTGTTTCTCGAATCCTCTAGCCCCATATGTCAGCAGGACCCCAGCACTTTTAACGGCTCCTCTTGCATCGTGTTGGGGAATTTAGGTGGGTGATGGTCCCCCTCGCAAAATTCTCCCACCACAAAATTCTCTTCGCAAAATGGAGACGGTAAGAACCCATGGGAGCAGTTATGACTGCGGTTATGATGGCAAAGTAGGTTCATAACCTGATACCAGGATTTTCTTTCTTTTGATTGGTTGATCTGATCCACCAAATGATCAACACTTTTGAGCCACATTTTGTGGACTACTGTAGCTAGCGCCGATACGTTCTGTCCACCGCCCATTAGAGACCAGAAACATTCAGTTCTACCAATAATGATCATAAAAGCCTTCTGTTTTTATATCATCCAGCAATAGAAATTTTTCTTGGAACGCCATGGGCATCTATCTACATGGCGATTAAAAAATCCACTCCCGATCACATGCTGTACGTAGTGCGTGCGTGTGGTGTCGTATTGTTGCTTGTCTACTAGTATGAGTACTCTACCTATTGTAATGGTCTAGTACCAAGTTGAAAGTACCGTACACAGTAGGTACCAGGCAGCTTCTCAGCCAGAAGATAAGACATATCACTTGCAGTTATTTATTATGATAAATGCACCGTGGCGGGCAGTCATTGTTGTTTCTGTCACACTGCATGATACGGTACAATAGATAGTACTATACTGGTACACGTACAGAGCTACTACGATAGTTCTATGTTTGAACCATGGACATGATTTTAGGGGCAATAATGGGGGAATACGCAATCTGGGAAGAATCAATCATAGTATCGCACGACAGAACAGGATACTATGATTACGTACACGAAGCATCATGTATCGTATGGGGGCACTATCATCCAGAAGTGCTCATTACAGGAACGCGGGAAACGGAGCAGCTGATCGGCTACCTGATCGGCTACCTGATCGGCTACCTGATCGGCTACCTGATCAGCTACTACAGTATCTGCTTGTCTGATAAGCTGTCTGGTACAGCACGAATAATATATAAGAATCCAAGAACACGATAGTAAGAGGAGGTAAGAGGAGCCCGGCCGGTAATCCAAAATGGGAACAAATCTCGGCGGAACGGGGACACGTCTTGAGTCTTGGAACTGTCACTTTTCATGAACCATTTCTGTTGAAGAATCAATCGCGCATTTTTAGTAAAAGTCGGATGGCCGGTGACTCTAGAAACAATTTCTTTAGCTATCTGTCTGTCTGATCAGCTACCTGCTTGGTGTCTGGTGATGGTGGTGAGCAGGGTGGTGAGCTCAATGATACGGATGACACGATACGACACGATACGACATGATATGACGGAGTGCACAACCAGGTATTTGTGCGATCAAGATCGCCTGGCTTTTTCGGACTGATTACTGTCTGATCAGAGACCTGATCAGCTGTCTGATCGGTTTTTTACTTGTCTGATCGGTTGATTACTTTTATCTGATGAGCTCCCTCTTCTTAAAACGTATCATTCGACTTTTCTTCCCACTTACAGCTATTAGGTTTCTCGAAACAAAGAATGATTCGATCGTAGCGGGAGTGTCTGTTAAAACGCGAACCAAACCAGCTTCGATATGAGGCATTGGTCGATGTGTGATCAAAAAGTTGGTTTGAATGAGCTATCGGAGCAGTGAACAGTCCGTTCAATCTTTCTGATCAGACAGCTGATCAGCTATCTGCCTGACGTCTGGTGATACCAGATCCTTTACCCAATGATACGGATGACACGATCGGCATCATACGGCAATTATACTGCAGAGTCCACCAAGAACCAGGTACTGGCAGGTACTGGTGGTGCGATCTAGAGGATCAGGTGACGTTACCAGGTGTCTGATCAACTGATCCGATGGTGTCTGATCAGCTATCTGATCGATTATTTGTTGTCTGATGAGCTGTCTGGTTTTTTTAAAAAGCGTATCATTCGACGTTTCTTCCCACGCCAATCTTCCAGAATCAATGAATCGAACGCATCATGATTCCTTGTCACTGTAGCTGCCTCCTCCAGGTTTCGAAACGAGGGATGAGACGATGTGCGATCAAAAAGTATGTCTAGATTCAGCTGACTGATCAGTGCACACTTTAGATCAGCTGTATGATATCTGTCTGATCAGACGGCTGATCAGCTATCTGCTCCTCACTGTATGATGTGCGGGGACAACTCTAATACGACATCTGGGTGGGGTCAAGCACAGAGGAGGTAAAGTTCAGGAAGTTGCCAAGAAGAATGTATAATTCTTTCTCAGTCGCTGGACCAATACATACACAGTTGGACCCCACTAAGGTTGTCAACATACATAATATATGTCCTGTATCCATTTTGGGAGCTGGTTTGGAGTGCTTTAGTGCACAAGTGATTCTAGGCTGTGATCTCTTCACGGTCGTGCCTGTGGCGCTGCAGCAGCTTCATGGCTTTCTGGCTGGCTGGCTGGGGACGATTCCTAGAACCTGATAGTAGACTGTACGAGTACACCAAACATTGTAGTTCAAAAGTGTACAAAAATCTAGCATAAATACACATTGAAAATAGCGCAGATCGAAATAACGCGATGAGTACCTACTCACAACAAGGCCGTTTGTACCGTACTGTACCTGGTACAGGGTACCATCACCTAATGGGCAATGAAGTGTAGTCGAAGAAGTCAATACTCATTTCTCTCCCCCAGTGTTGATGCGGCCCCTAAAACCTCCAATGTTGGACAGACGGATGTTTGAGACTTGGATATTTTGATGATGCGGTTTACGATCGAAAATTGAATCATTCAATAAGTTACCTTCGTTCATCTCTCCATTCGTGACATCAAAAACGCTTTCCCTCTACCATCACAATGTTATTACTTTCCATTTGTCGAGGTAGAAGATGCTTGCTTCGAGTCTTATTCTGCTTGATTATCATGCAAACGCGACCAGTGGATGCTCTGTTGCAGTCCCATTCAACATCAAATAAGTCTTTGAGAATCTCCCGTTCGTCGACATGCAGAAAACTACCAACACCACGAATGGCTCAAGTTGACAAGGGATTCAATCTTTTGGAGATTGCTTCAAAAGTGGTGCCGCAAGGACGAATTGTTCAAACGGCGAAGGAGTCGTGGAAATTTGTTTGGAAGGTACGAAGATTTGATTCATCAGTTTGTGTTGGATGGCAATCGAGACCTGTGGTTTTGTACAGTAGTATCTCATTGACTCGAAATTGCCTTTTTATTTTGTTTTATTCTATGATACAAATCAGCGAATGATGACCGAGCTGGCACCCCAAGACAAAACTGGAAGCTACCAACGACCCAAGTATAGCTTTTCCAGAACCCTTGGAAGTAAGCAATTTCCGGTTGAAGCTGGGCGATACCATGTATATGTGGGGAATCCATGCCCGGTAAGTTGCTCGTATGGTGTTTGTATTGTACAGGGGATATCAATTCAATTTTTGCCAGGAGGCCTTCGATCGTGTTGTCTATCAGCATCCACTCACATTCATTCATTCTTCGTCCATCGGCTCCCCGGACTTTCAGTGGTGTCATCGGGTGCGACTAGTGGCAAAGTTATTGAGTTTGGAAGCAGCAAAAGGCACCAATGGTAAACCACTCTTAGGAATGACCACGCTGGTGGATGATCCCATCAAGGCCAGTCGTGGTGGTTGGGTCTTTGCCACTCCGCCAAAGCAACTGCCAGCAGTGAAGGATTTGCGTGAACTCTACGAGGCTCTAAATCCCGGTTTTCAAGGCCGGTGTACTGCGCCCCTCTTAGTAGATTGGAAGACACGTCAAATTGTCTCGAACGAATCCAGTGATATTGTGCGTATGTTGCCTCTTTTGCTGTCAGCCAACGACGACGACGACGAGCCGAATGAGAGTGCACTTGATTTGTATCCCTCTGATCTTGCTTCCAAGGTTGATGAAACCAACGAGTGGATCTATAGGCTGTTGAACAATGGAGTGTACCGATGTGGATTTAGCACGTCTCAAGAAGCCTACCAAAAGGCTTCTAAGGATGTTCTGAAAGGATTGGATCGGGCCGAAGCGATCTTGCAAGAACAAGATTTCATCTGCGGCGGCGAAGTGACCGAATCGGATATTTTCCTCCTTCCGACCATGTTGCGTTTCGATGGAGTATATAGTCCGCTATTTGGTGCTGGTGGCAAGCACCTGCGATTGCAATGTGACTATCCTGCCATCTTTGCTTGGCTCAAGCGGTGCTGGCAGCTCGAGGGCACAAGGGAATCCATCGACATTGAAGACGCTTGTTCGTCTTATTACCGACAGTTGTTTCCTCTCAATCCAGGAGGAATCCTTCCCACCCCAGTCTCCGCGAAGTCATTGCGACTGGAAGAATAGTTGCTCAATACAAAATAGTGCGCTAATGATGAAGCTAATGTATAGTACTATATATTCTAACTAATGCTAAAGTTCCCTTGGGCTATGTGCGTTTGCCCAACCTATAACTTTGTTGTCCCCATCATGGTTCCCAAACTCTAACAGAATGCAGGGTTGCAACCTTGACCGCAAACAGATGGAAATTCCCCGCCAACTCGTTCACATGCTTGCTGTTCCGTAAGAGCCACATTAGCAATCACCCACTGAATGCGATCTCGACAAGAGAAGCTTCCATTAGAGTCAGTGGCTATGCGGTCCAAGACTTGTCCTGTACAGGTAGCAGGGCATCCACAGTTGGTCAAATCAAACTTGGGAGTGATACCAGTGTCGCCCCCTGCCGAAGCTCCTCCGACTTCGGTCCATTGATTGGCGTAAAGTCGAACGTAATCAATCTCATATCGAGCAGGAAATGGCGCGGTGATTTGGTTGACGTTCAAGAGACCACCAGTGTAAGTTCCGCCCACGGCCAAGTTCAACAAGAAGAAATGAAAATCGTGAAATTCACTACATTTTTCGGACGGACACTGTTGAGGAGAAATATCCATTGCCCAAATCTCCTTCCCATCGACAAAGGTAGTAATCATGTTGGGAGTCCACTCCATGCTGTAGGTATGGAATCCTCGAGTAAGATCCTCTCCCGCATCCAGGTACAGGCCATAAGTAGCACGGCCTTCTGGATCATGGAACCAATGTGCCGCGGATCCAACCCGTTGGTTCAAAATTGGATTGCCAGGGGCGGCATTTCCCTATATTGCAATAAAAAGTTTGTGCAATAGTGAGCAGAATATCCATAACCTTATTGGACATCATGATAATCACTGGCAAATGGCCAACTTACCATTTCCATAATATCAATCTCGCCGCATTTGGGCCAACCAATGACGGGAAAATTATTTCCCAGTGTCCAAAAGGCAGGCCATAGGCCATTCCTCAGATCAGGTACCTTGATGGATGCTTCAACACGACCGTACTTGAAGGTGAACTTGTTCAGCGTCTTGATGCGTCCCGAAGTAATTTCACTTCCACGCCGAATGGCTGTGATGACCAATTTTCCATTGGCAACTTGCACATTTTCTCTCGTGTTCGTATACCGTTGTAACTCGGCATTGCCCCAGCCCCAATTTCCTAGATCATAAGACCATATTTCAGGGTTGGGTTGATCGCCCGAGTTGAATTCTTCGGCAAATACCAATTCCCCCTCTTGAATAGGACCGGCTGGCGATACGACAGGTACTGGCGCCGGTGCCGGTGGACCCGCATCATTGTTACAAGTTCTTGGATCACAAGCACCACATGCATCAGCATATCGGCTGGCCACCATGGCACATGCATTTAACGGCGTCAGACCAAAACGGTTAATGGCAAAAACCATCCGAGTCCGGCATTCAATGCTAGCCACTCCATCCGTTGCTAATGATGCCAAGACATCGTTTGTACAAGAGTTGGGGCAACCGCAATCTGTAATGGGACTCGGCGGCGGCGTCGGTGGCGCTGGTCGAGGTGGTGGCGGTGGTGGTCCAGTAGAAGTACAAAACAATGGATTGCACCCCTGACCACAAGTATCGGGAAACCTGTCACCAATAAAGACACAGGCGTCTCGCTCTGGCATGTTGAAATTATTCATCATGAATTCTATCCGTTTCCTGCAGGAAATGCTCGAGACTCCATCAGATGCCAAGGTTTCCAACACACTATTCGTACAAGTAGAACACCCACAGGTCAGACTATCTGACGGCGGAGAATCAATAACCGGGGCCTCAATCCTTTCGGATGGACATGGCCCGCAGGTGTAGCTATCCGTTGGTCCTACCAAAAAATCTTCAAAGGCATTGACACATCGACTTGTCAGTTCTCCAGATACTCCATCTCTGTAGCAGACCTGTGAATTGGCAAAGCGTGAACGCGGAATCCGACAGGCAGCATCTCCTCCACAGGGTGGATTGGAAGGATACTCGCAATATGGACTTGTTCTTGTCGTCAGCGAAGCACTGCAGCATCCGCAAGATTCCAGACTTTCCCATCGTCTTATTCGATTGACAAATGATTTGCGAGTGCACCGTGATCGATATCCACCTCCCCGAGAGTCATAGACGCAATTGGAAACCATGTCTTCCATATTGCCATCGCTGTCAATGTAATATCCACAAAGATTCGCACTGCACTGACCACCCTCTTCATTATAAAATAGCTGTCTGTCTAGTACATCGACGGTTCTATTATCCTGAACGACAATGGTTGTAATGCCATTGACCACATTCGAGGTTTGGTTGCAAGCGGCCGCTATCAGGGCTGCCAATTGGAGGATTAGGAGGAGGCGCAAACACAAAGCCATGGTTGCATGCGTGACTTGCTGTGTGAGACTTTTAAAAAGATGTGTGCTCTTTGGTGAATAAATTGTATTAACGGATATACGTGTTGACAACTACTATTGCAACGGGTATCAAGGGTCGGCAACCGCCACGGCAACGGGTATAAAGTGTTGGCAACAGCTCTTAATTTCAAACGAACGACGATTGGGTGGCATGAAAAAATCGGCATGACTTTGGGCTTCACTCGTGATCACTCGTTTTGATTTGGGTCGCTGCAAAATAGGTTTAATCGGGGGGTGTTCCTGCTTCTAGGGTGATCCGTTTTGGCGCCAAAGCCTGCGCGAACACACGAAATCCTTCAACGGTTGCCCCCAATGCCCTCAACGGTTCACAATTTACGAATACTTAGAATGTGACAGTACCTACTCTGTCGCCGGCCGATCTTGTTGCTGAACCGGTGATGCTAGTCCCTCCTTTGTAATTACACCTACCCGTTTTATGTAGCAGGAGTAGATCAAACAAAAATGAGGATCTAGTTAGGACTATAGTAATGATGTTTGCAAGCTTACGCGACAATACGGAGCTTTCGTTGCGTATCTAGATTCATTATTATGTTGCGCCTTTGCCGAAGCCCACAATGCAATGGGTTCAATTTCCAGCACAGCTTTCTTTCCTCAGGATCAGTTTCGAATAGCAAACTCTACAAGTCTCTTCTTCTTTTATTTCTTCTTTTCCTCCTTTTTCTTTTTCTTGACTGCTGCCGCCTCTTTCTTTTTCAATTCCTCTTCCTGCTTGTATTGATCCATTTGCGCAATCAACTCGGATGGCAAGACGGGTCGAAAGCTGGGAAGCTCTGCTACAAAGAGTAGGGAATGTGCCCATCCAGCCTTGTCCGGGAACCGGGATCGAAACAAGTCACCAACCTGCTTGTAGGTGGTTGGAGACAAGCTCTTGACCTGTTCCAAGGCATTCCCTGGATCGTAATCACGGCGGGCAATGTTCCAAACGTGAACGTCCACTGGAATGGCATCGTCTTGGCGGAGCGAAAACAAGGCAACGCAGTCAGCAACCTTACGGCCGACTCCGCAAAATTCGCATAGTTTTTCTTGGACCAAGTTTGGATCATCTTGCATGGAACGAAAGTTGCGAAGGTACTCCTCGCCACCGTGCTTCTTTAGTATCTGCAGAGTTTCCAATATGTACTTGCTTCTATACCCCAAACCGCACTTCTTTCGAAAGTCATCATCGTTCCCTTTGGCTAACAAATCCTCGCTACTGGGAAAGGAATAATACTTTTCGTCACCAATCGTCAACAACTCTTCTCCATAGTTGGCTCGAATCGAATTGACCATTTTAGTAATTCTTGGAATATTGTTGTTGCTGGAACAAATAAAACTAATCAAACATTCAAAGGGATCCTGTTCCAATATCCGTACACCGGGGATGCACTTGGCAATGGTTGCCAAACGGTCGTCTGCCTTGGACCACTTTTGGTACAAGTGACCGAGCGAATCATCCAGTCGAAAGTAGGATCGCAGGTATTGTTCAATGTCGGCAGTCGGTACTGTTGTAGTGAGTGGGCGGTATAACGTCGAAGACGGGGTTTCTCGGATGGCCAACACACAAGACCTGCCATCTGGTAGTCTAATGATTCCAACCCATTCGGCTGATACAGTTTAATAAAATTGAAGGAGGGAAAGAGTCAGTCAGTCAATCATTTGAACATGAATTCGATTGCTGTTCAATATTTCAATTCCGTGGGCTGTACTTACTAGCATCGTGAGTTCCCCATGCAGATTCCTTCTTGATCGTTCCATTTTCATCTTCATCAGCTATCGCTACAACAGCCTTCCAATGAAAGCATTGTCCAGTCGTCAACGTGGCCGACGGTCTCAATTCGGCCGGAGGAACAACTAGATCGATATACTTTTGATCAGGATTGATCGACGCCACTAGTTCTGGTGTCAATGTTGTTGCAAAATTCAATTCCTTCTTGGCGGTCGCATCGTTCTTATTCTTATTGGGTGATGATGATGATTCATCGGTTTTGGTGGTCCGTCTTCGCTTTCGGCTGGCGGGGGAGGGTGTGACCACCAAAGAGGATTTCTTCTTTTCCTGAGAGACTATTTTGGCAGCGGATAGAACTGTCAATGGTAGTAGAGAGGAGAAAGTTATGGTTGTCGTTGAGACTCTGGATCTTGTGGAAACCATGTTCTTGATGATTGGACTCGAAGAAGAATAATCCAATCGTATTGCTGGAAATGAAGAGAACTGTCTGACAAAGGCTTGGCTTGGAATCGATAATAACAAAACGGTAGCAAATGATGCTCGAATCCGTCCAAATAGAAAAATCCTAAATGCTTTCGTTGGCATTTGGATTCAAGGCGGATTGTAATGCGGGTACTCGTATTATTCTCAACGGCAGATGTTCTTGTATTTCGTGTCTTTTTCAGTTGCTTTGAGACGGATGGGTGGACGAACTTGGGATCTTAAAAGAAGGCACTTTCCTCTGAATACCAACCTATCGGTACTGCCATGCGAGACTGGTCTAATGATAATAATAAATATACAGACTATTGATCTAGTAATCAATTATATTGTACAACAAAAGCGTTGTTGGCTTGGTCGAAAAATGGACCAGCGTGCAGTCTGCCAGTGTCTACCCCAGGTTATTGCAACCGATTCATCCTCTGGGCAGACGAATGAATGTGCATTCTACTACTAGCAAGTTCGTGGATCACAGCCTCTAGCACAGCTGCTTGGAAATTGATCGCTCACAAGTGAGCAAGCATCCTCTTCCCCCAATCCATTGGCTCCCATGACCCAATTGATTCGATCCCGGCAGCTTGGTCCAGCAGCATCTTGATCGAGCACCCGATCCAGACAGGTACCAGGACATCCACAGTCGCGTACTGTGGTTCTTGGAAACACACTGCAGCTTTCAGGGTGACATCCTTGCCCACAAACAGATGGGAATTGGTCACTGACTTGTCCGCAGGCCTCCTTGACACTGACATTGGTGGTTTCCACAAGCGAATGTATCCGGTCGCGACACGTTTGGGTACCTTCTTTGTCCATCACCAATCGATTCAATATCGATGACTGGCAACTATTTGAGCCACAGGAGCAATCCATGGTACAAGTATCGGGATTGCAATACTCGCCACCACAAATCTTGGGAAATTCTTCCCCAACGAGGCGACAGGCCTCCAATTCCGACTTGTGTTGGGTCTCCATGAGCGATGTAATTCGTTCCAAGCACGTGGAATCGCCTACACTGCGATTTAATACTTCATCGTTGCAGCTGGCGCAACCACAAGTGATGGCACTCGAAGCGTCTTGGTCGTCTTTGCGTTCCTCGATATCGTTGCCGTTTGTGCTGTCAAGAGGAGGATTAGTAGAAGAAGAATCATTGCCCCCGTTGTCGTTGTCATTGTCGTTGTCATCGCCATGATTTTCACCAAACAAATCACAATGGAAGAGATTGCAGTTCCTGCCACAGATGGATGGAAATTCTTCGCTGACTGCAAAACAGGCTTTTTTTTCGCTCATTCTATCATTGGGGGTATGATCCATGAGCCATTGGATACGTGCCCGGCAAGTGAAGCCGCCTGCTACCTGGTCAAGTTCTCGTGCTGTGCAATGATTGGGACAGCCACAGTCTATAGGTTTGGGAGTGCTGGATGGTGGACCTGGTGGACCAGGCGGATTGGGCACAGGGGCTGGAGTTGTTGTTGTTGTTGTTGTTGTTGCTGTTGGTTCACGAGTGGCAGTAGGAATCGGCGTTGATACTAAATCATCTTTGGGACAGGTCATGGAATTGCAATCAGCACCACAAATGTCCGGAAATTCATTGCCTACCACAGCACAAGCATCCTTTTCATCCAACTGCAAATTGGAAATGACCCATTCGATGCGTTCCCGACACGAAAAGGTCCCTTCCGGTCCGGGAGCAGAACGGTTCAAGACCGTGTCGGTACAAGTGGTGGGGCATCCACAATTCACAAGCTCATAACTTCCTTCATTTTCCCCAAAGTAGGATCCTCCAACATGAGTCCATTGGTTGGTATAGAGTCGTACGTAGTCGACTTGGAGTTCGGCTGGAAACGGGGCGGTAATCCCAGAGGGTGTCAAAATGTCCGTATATCGTCCTCCAATGGCCAGGTTGAGCAGAAAGAAGTGCGGTTTGTGAAATTCGGAACACTTGTCCGCCGGACAGTTGGGATGCGAAATGTCCATCTTCCAGACTAAAGTGCCATCCACGTAGGTTTCGAGAAACTTGGGAGTCCAATTCAGAGTGTAATTGTGAAAGGACCCATCATTCAAATTGGATGGAGCCGTATAGTAATCAAAGTAGTTTGCCCATGTATCGTCTTCATGTTCCCAATGGGCAGCCGATCCAACCTTTCGATTGACCGTTCCTTCTTGGATCCCGGAAGAATGTCCCATTTCCATGATGTCAATTTCCCCACAGGCCGGCCATCCGACAATGGGAAAGTCATTCCCCAAGGTCCAAAACGCAGGCCACAAACCATTCCGAAGATCCGGCATTTTCATAAAGGCTTCCACTCGACCATATTGAAAGGTCACCTTGTTCAAGGTCTTGATGCGGGCCGAGGTGAATTGACTGCGGCCAGCATCCTCCACCCTGTGAGCCCGGATCACCAGCTTGCCATTTTGGACTTGCACATTTTTGGAATCGTCCGTGTACCGTTGGAGCTCGGCATTCCCCCAACCCCAATCACCCTTGTCGTAGGACCATACCAATGGATCGGGTGGACCCGGAACGTCGAATTCGTCGGCAAAGATCAATTGGGCGGCATGACAGGACGTGGAACCAAGGAAGGTCGTTGCTGTTACCAAGAAGAGGTGCAGTAAGGCTGAACTGGACATGATCATCGTGAAGCTTGTGGATAGCAATGGATTGGATTTGCGTCTCGAGATGGCTCTTTTATGTGTGAGATGAAACGGATCTCTGCTATCACCGCAAATATGTTTGACGTCAGTTGAACTACAACAACCAAAATTTCAATTTCGTGGGCGTTACTGGGATATTGAGACAAACCAGTGAGAGTTAAATGTGTGACACTAGATTTGCCGTGTGTACAGGTCCGTTGAGAGAAAAAAGTTGCATTGTCGTGAAGGCAAAGGATCAAAGGAAAAGTGAATCACATGGTCGATGCACATGTTTTGTATCCGAATGAAAGCTTCAATCGCCGAAACCAACGGACAAACGTTTCTCGCGCGATGCGCGTGACATACTTTCGCGCCATATTATTTTAAAGCCAACGTTTGACTCAAAGGACTTGATGGCCGTTTCAAGCGATGAAAGCAATATCGAGGACGAATCATTCAATCACCGTCCCTTCAGAGAGCCTACGTCTTCAATGGTGTAAACGGACATGAGATTCCTGCCAATGTTGATCATCTCATTTTCCTTTCTTGCGTCGACTGGGAGGATTCTGACTACTGTTTTCTTGATGACCTTGCTGATCGACTAGCAACTCGGTCTCAAACTGCTGCATATGGCGTCTCATATCATAAATTGATACAAACAGCTTTTCGGGGTTCAAATCATTGCGTCAAGTATCACTACCGACCACAGTTAAGACCATTTGGGAAGGTGGATTTTATAAATGTGAATCACTTGTGAATGTGGAACTACCAGAAGGACTTACAGAGATATCATTCATTCATTGCGAGGTTTTTCCGTTCTGTATGTCACTATCTCTTGTGTCAATACCTTCCACGGTAAAGATTACGCATTTCTGGACTGCGTATCATTACGTACTGTGTCGATTCCATCTAACACCGAAATGATTGACCAAGGAGCTTTCCTGGGATGCGATGGTCTTCTTGGAGTCGAATTTTCAAAGGATCCAAATCTGATGTTCTTGGGCGGTTCATGCTTCAATGAATGTCCAGCACTTGTCAATGTCTTCCTTCCCTCTCCCACCTACGTCTATCCGTACCCACGTTCTAGCTCTGTCATGGATGTCAGCCCAATAGCAAATGAGTTTGCGAACGAGCATCCATACTTGTCAAGAATAGTATGGACTAATACGCGCAGTTACCAATCCACAAATGCTGCTATTCTGCATCGCGAGCAGCACCGCAAGTGAACTGAAGAATCTGATCCAAGCTTCCAGCGATGATGAGAAGTATCAGCATGGCACCTTTGGAATAACCCCATTTCACATTGTGGCAACGTCTGCAAAGATTCGTCTCGATATATTCCAAGTACTTTTGGACGAGTATCCTATTGACACTCTTTCATTCAGAGAGAATCAGGACAATACTATGATGGACTACTCATTGATGAATCCAACCTCAAAAGCCATTCCACCAATCAAGCTATAGTGCTTCAAAAGGTCATTCTCGATCAAATGTGACGATTTGGCACGGAAGCCTGGACGATGGACCTACCGTCACTAGAGTCGAGTCAATGGATTGGTGGAATGGTAATCACCAGGCCAGACCTCACTACTGTTTGGACACGGTATTGTCACTTGTATCCATGCACATCAAGCAAGAAGTGATACCTCAAATTCTGGACTTCGCGCTATGGAAGAAAAATGCCAAGGCTGCGGAGAAGGAGTAGAAGTACCAAGCGACGAAAGGTGGACCGAGCTGCTACTTGTCGGATGAAAAATGGAGCTTCCATTGTGATACCCAGTGTGACTGCATTTCTTTGGGACGGGGGGATGGGGGGGGGGGCTCGATGGTTCTGGTTGATCTTTCCATGCTCCCATCATCAGAGGAGTAATAGGTACAGTAGAACGAATGAACGGAAATGCCACCAACGGAGTAGAGGTTCCCGCAAGCTCTTACCTTTTGCGGGTCTGGATATATACTCTTGCTCGATTGGTATATATAGATCAATTTCATTTGTTCAGTGGACAAACTCAGTAGATGGAATTTACATATATGGCAAGGCAAAATTGTCTAATTTTTCTTCGTTTTACACTTTTTTTCATGTATTTCCATTCTCCTCGGTATCGACGATGCACTCTTCACTTTCTTATTGTGGGACAACAACAAGGAATATCATCGCTAGAAGCAAACATTTACCAGTCATACAATTGCAAGCAAATATTTAGTGATAGTACTCTGCATTATAGTCTAATCTTGCAATAACTGCATTCTTCAGCTCAGTCCTCAATACAGAGCGTATTGGTCTTGCTTTCCGGACGAGACGAGGTGCCTCTGCTTGGGTAGTGACAATGGAGTCACTCGCTATGTAAATATCATCCAAGAAAGCTCGGATGGGAGTGTGGAAAGATCATTCAGAACCGTCGAGCCCTCGTCCCAAAGGAAAGCAGTCACACTTGGTATCACAATAAAGGCTCGATTTTTCCTCGGCTGGTAGCCCGATCCACCTTTTGTCCCTTGATACTCCTTGCAACAAAGAATGACTCCTTCTCAAGAGCCTTGGCATTTTTCTTCCATAGACCATCACAACATGACCTTTGGACTAGCAGCATGACCAGATCCAATTCATCATTGCCACACATCATTTCAAATGGCGTCATTCCAATTGTGGCTTTGGAATACCAGCACCGTTCTAGACCAGCAGCGTCTTGATCACCTCCAAATGGCCATCATAACATGATCTTTGGACTAGCAACAAGACCAGATCCAAGCCATCCTTATTGCAACACATCATTTCAAATGGCGTCAATCCAATTTTGCCTTTGGCATGAGCATAAGCACCCTTTTCGACTAGGAACTTGACTACATTTAAATGACCCTTCCCACATGCCCAATGTATCGGTGTCTCCCCACCTTTTGTTTTGGCATTGACAGCAGCGCCTATTTCCACTAGCCATTTGACAAGCTCCAAACGACCCACACGACATGCCATATGCAATGATGTCTTTCCTTCATCGTCTGTGGCATTCACGTCAGCACCCTTATCGAGCAACAACTTGACTACCTCCAATTGACGACTCTCTTGTGCCTTGTACAATGGTGTCTTTCCATCATTGTCTGTTGCATTAATGTCAGCACCGTTCTCTACAAGCAATTCGACTATCTTCAAATGATCCCAATAGCATGCATTGTACAATGGGGTGCGTCCATATTGATTCTTGGCATCAATGTCAGCACCCTTCTCGAGTAGCAACTTGACCATCTCACATTTACCTCTAAAGCATGCTTCATGTAATGGTGGGCCTTCTACTCGACTCTTGGCATCAATGTCAGCACCCTTCTCGAGTAGCAACTTGACGATCTCAAAACAACCACAACGGCATGCCAGATGCAATGGCATGTCTCCATTATCGTCTGTGGCAGTAATGTCAACACCATTCTCTACAAGCCATTCAACTACCGTCAAATGACCACCATCGCTGCATACTCTATGTAATTCTGTGCCTCCATAATGATTCTTGGCATACATGTCAGCTCCCTTCTCAAGTAGCAAACTCGCTATCTCCAATTGACCTTTTGCGCATGCTGCAGAGAATGGCGTGCATCCATATTGTTTCTTGGCATCAATGTCAGCACCCTTCTCGATTAGCAACCTGGCTATCTCGAAACTACCCTTGTAGCATGCATTGTACAATGGTTTCCTTCCAATATCGTCTGTGGCATCAATGTCAGCACCGTTCTCTACAAGCAATTCGACTGTCTTCAAATGATCATCAGTGCTGCATGCATGGTGCAATGGCGTGCTTCCCTTTTTGTTCTTGGCATTAATTTCAGCACCCTTCTCGAGTAGCAACTTGACCATCTCACATCGACCTTCATCGCATGCTTGATGTAATGGTGTATTTCCCTTTTTGTTCGTGGCATGTATGTCAGCACCCCTCTCGAGTAGAAACCTCGCCATCTCGCAATGACATCTGTTGCCTGCACAGCAGTGCAATGGCGTGTCACCATAATTGTTTGTGGCCGTAATGTCAGCACCGTTCTCTACAAGCCATTCGACTATCTCCAAAGGACGAGCACCACGTAAGCTGCATACATGGTGCAATGTCGTGCATCCATCATGATTTTTGGCATTAATTTCAGCACCATTGTCGAGTAGCAACTTGCCTATATCTAAATGACCTGCAGCACATGCCCTTTTCAATGCAACACATGCTGGTGTGATTTCATATCGACACTTGGCATGTTTGACAGCACCGTTCTCGAGTAGCAACTTGACTATCTCGAAATGACCTCTTTCGCATGCTTCGTACAATCCATACTGACTCTTGGCATCAATGTCAGCTCCTTTCTCGAGTAGCAACTTGACTATGTCGTAATGCCCCGGGAAGCATGCTTTATGCAATGGCGTAATTCCCCTTATATTCTTGGCATCAATGTCAGCACCCTTCTCGAGCAGCAGCTTGACTATCTCGAAATTACCATAAGAGCATGCTTCATGTAATGGTGTTTTTCCATCGTCGGTCGTGGCATGAATGTCAGCACCCTTGTCGAGTAGCAATAACTTGAATATCTCGAAGTGACCTCTTTCGCATGCTTTATGCAATGGCGTAATTCCCCTTATATTCTTGGCATCAATGTCAGCACCCTTCTCGAGCAGCAGCTTGACTATCTCGAAATTACCATAAGAGCATGCTTCATGTAATGGTGTTTTTCCATCGTTGGTTGTGGCATGAATGTCAGCACCCTTGTCGAGTAGCAATAATTTGAATATCTCGAAATGACCATAAGAGCATGCTTCATGTAATGGTGTTTTTCCACCGTAGGTTGTGGCATGAATGTCAGCACCCTTGTCGAGTAGCAATAACTTGACTATGTCGCAATGCCCCGGGAAGCATGCTTTATGCAATGGCGTAAATCCCCTTATATTCTTGGCATCAATGTCAGCACCCTTCTCGAGTAGCAGCTTGACTATCTCGAAATTACCATAAGAGCATGCTTCATGTAATGGTGTTTTTCCATCGTTGGTTGTGGCATGAATGTCAGCACCCTTGTCGAGTAGCAATAACTTGAATATCTCGAAATGACCATAAGAGCATGCTTCATGTAATGGTGTTTTTCCATCGTCGGTCGTGGCATGAATGTCAGCACCCTTGTCGAGTAGCAATAACTTGACTATCTCGAAGTGACCTCTTTCGCATGCTTTATGCAATGGCGTGCTTCCCCCCATATTCTTGGCATGAATGTCAGCACCCTTCTCGAGTAGCAACGCTATCTCGAAATGACCATAAGAGCATGCCTTGTGAAATGGTGTGTTTCCATACTTATCGCTGCTCTTTGCATCGGCGCCTTCATTCAACAAAGTTTGAACAAGAACAAGCGACGGGTCTTGGTATTTCAAAGCTTCGTGTAGACGCCCGTTCTTCATTGCATTAGGAGCGCTCTCGTTCATTTTCTTCTATCCTTTCGGGGGTTTTGAGAATATTGTGATACGGTAGTGTAGGCGATACAGTATATTATGGTTTTTGCATCGAGATCATATTATTGTACCGTGTCGATTGCATGTTTTTTATGCGGAGTATCTTCAAAAAAAGGACAGCCAGCATTATGGGCTACCAGGTACTGGTACTGTGCAGTACGTGTACTATACGAGTGCGCGTCAGCAGGGGAAAACCAAAAAAAGGGGAAAGCAAGACTGTACTAACGGATGCGGTGCAGTATAAAAAATGTTGGAGAGAACCCAGAATCCGTATAACAACAATCACATCAACACTATTTCGCCTGGACCCTCCGCAACTCGTCCGTCAATCGACCGTTTTGTGGATTGATAATCTCGACTAGTTTGACTACTGAACAGCTTTCCCCGCACCCCTGAGCTGGGGCATTACTGAAGCAAAAAAGTCGTTTTGA